CGTCGTTCATCTCTGGACCAATGACTAGTTGCATGATCATGTTGCTTGGCGGCAGGACGGGGTAGGTGCTCCAGTCGGTGGTGTACAGCGGTTGCTTGCGATCGCCCCAGCCGATGTACTGAATGGCAGGGCTACGGTAGAGGATGGGTGTCGGGATCATGGTTGACGAGAAGGAGGGCCTGGGGTAGTTGGCGGCGAAATACATTTCGAACAGAGTGGCTTGGGTGAGGCCACCGTCCAATGCCACTTGCTCATTGTTATTGGTAGCGACGACGAGTTAGAGCCCTCCTTGTAATTGATGCACATATATGGTCCATGCGTCGGTGTCGCTAAGGTCGCGTAGATCCTCCATTGTGCAACTGTGTTGGGGTCAAGCTCTTATTGTTTACCTCGTCTGGCCCGGAGCATGCAGTATGGAATTCGCCAAAGTTCGCGAACAATCGTTGAGTTGCTAGGGATTTGTAACACCCAAGTTTGTCCCAGGTAAAATACTACGTTTCCTTGCAAATCTAATTGTTTTCTACCACTGGTCCAGGATGATCACGAGCGTATTCTAACGACTGATACTTGATCTGGTACATTGCCTCCCTAACCGCCGTCCGCTCGTCGTTCCACACCGGCAACACACTGTCGAGCTCTGGCCTCGCTTTAACGATGTCCACCCTTAAACCAGCAGCAAACTCCTGCTCGTACGGGCCCAGCACGCTGTAGACGATCAGGGAAGAAGGATCCGCCACCGTCTGCCGTACCCGCTCCACCGTCTCGAGTCTTTCTTTCTCGAAGACAAGGCGGCCTTCGGGAGTGTCGGGATATGGCACCTCGCCACGCCATGCAAGAGCGAGCCAGGTGCTCATAAGATCCGCAATCGGGAAAGGAGTGTGTGGAAGCGGGGCACCGAGGAACGCCAGGGAAGGGTTGTACGCGTATAGCACCATCCTGTGTAGAGACGGGATGCGAGGCGGGTAGGTGCTGTCTGACACGATGGAGACGAGCTTTCCCTCCACACCTTGTTCGAACACATGCACGAAACTGGGGAAAGGGCGATATCCAGTCCCCAGCTGCACTGTATCCAGATCCGCTAGCAGCGTCCCGTCCGTGAGCAGAGCGTCGAATTTGTCGTCTTCCTTGAGGATGTACTTGGCGACAGGCGAGACCTTGACGATGCGCTCGTTCTCGAGACTGACGAACTTGGCGAAAGGGGGTCGTCGGATGCTCTGATACAAGGGTGCGTGTACGACAGGTGCAAGCTGAGCTGCGATGTCGTTCGCCGAGTTCGCGTTCCCAACGACTAGGGCTTTCTATAGAATAAAGTCGTTCAGCTGGCAAGCACGTAAGATGGATAGACCATTCGTACCTTGCCCTCATAGCCCTCGGGACCTCTCCACGAATTGGCATGTTTTGCCAAACCCCGCTCTCTCAACGCGTCTAGCCCTTCAGTCTGCGGCCACACGAGGTTATCCCACCATCCCACAGCGACAACAACCGCGTCCCACTGTTCCTCCATTTCCCGGCCGGCATGGTTCCAGTCCCTCGAAACTACCTGCCATCCCCCGCCCAAGCCGATTTCCTGAACGCGAACAACCTGTCGATTCAGCTTGATCTTGCCGTCCTTCAGAAAGGGCTCAGCAAACAATCGAAGGTAATCGTAAGTTTCCTTCAGGGTTGGAAAAGGTTGATGTGGCGAAGAAGGCGGCTCGGGGAAAGGGTGACCAGAGAATCCAAGGAATTCCGGCAGGACGTTGCCTATGAGGCCTTTGTATGCGGGCGATGGCCAGCGAGGTTTGTTCGAATCTTGGGGCTCATCATAATACCTTGATTGCTGTCAATAATTCGTTGTAAAAATCCGTGATAAGGATGCTCACCAGACTCCACCAATATCATCTCGACGTTCGTACAGTTCAACATGGTCAAATTGGCCTCTGTCGAGCAGATTTCGTAGGGTAACAAGACCCGCTGGCCCGCCCCCGATAACTAGAATCCTAGAGATGGCTTGCGACATCGCTGGACTGTCTCTAGGTCGATGAACCACCTATTGAAGGGGTGAGGGGTCAGAGATGAGCCGAGGACAGCCAGAGCCATAGGTATGAATAATCTGGTCAGGAGGAAGATGCAAATTCACAGGCTTGCTGTCGCGATATTAGGTTCAGCAGGCGCAATGAGGTACCGCCCAGAAGTGTCCATTTATTTAATTTCCAGCAAACATCCAAAATGACCGAAAGGAATTGAGATACAAGAGACACGACTTCCTTGAATGTAGCTACAGTCCATAGGTAGGCATACATTTAGTAAAATGAAAGAATAAGGATAGATGTACGGATAGACCCTCACCCTATTTCATACGACTTGATAATAGTACCAAAATAAAAGAGATAAAGAAGCTAAATGAGAAAGAAAATAGAAAAAGAATGGTGGAAGTAAGAGAAAGAAGGCCTCACTATTTGAGGTTTAGCCTCTTCAGCATCTCAACCCAGCCTCCAGCTTGCCCAACAGGTCCGGTGGTGGGAGGACCCGACATGTCGAAAGATCCAGGCATACGGATGTCTGGGTCGTCGTCGTCTGGGTCGCCCTCGGGCTCTGCATGAATCTGTGCACCCTCCGTAAAGACACTCGACGGCAGGTTCTTCTCCTGAACTGGCGGATGTGCTGCTGTATGGTTTTCCCTCTTCACTTCATGAGCATCGGTCGGTTTCGGCGCAGGTAGAGCAGTCGCTTGTGTCGCAGTAACAGGAGCAGCTTCTTCCGCTGGGGCAATGACCTTGACAAACTCGTTTGCGCCGGGGTCCTTCTGCAGCTGCAGAGGAACGGAGGAACTGGCTTCATCGTCGGACGTGTCTTCGTGCAGCCAGCCACCGCTGGAGCCGGTGCTTGCTCTGCCGAAGGAGTTGAGGCGGGAAATGGCGCGAGCAGATGCGATGGCGGACCGCCAGCGGGCTTTGGGGTCGAAGTGATCACGCAGGCCGCTGGAGAGGTCATGCTCGACAGAGGCTTCGTGGGTAGTTAACCACTGTTGGGAGTTAGTTGATGAAGGTCAAGTTAAATGAGTATACGCACGGCATCGTTCACAGCTTGTGTAGCTGTTGGTCTTTCTGATGGGTCTGGCCTTAATAGCAACCTGATAAAGTTCTTCGCTGGAAAGTGGTCAGAAGAGTTACTGACGACGATGCTGGAACAAACCTTCGTCAGAGACATTCTTCCAATACCGGTCATGGAAATCAATCTTCGCCACAGTCGTCTCCTTGATCAATATCTTTACATCGTCCGACCGGAAAGGTGAGTACCCGCAAAGGAGCACATAGGTGATGATTCTGGGTTTTTGATGAGGCAGAGTACACAAGCCAAGATGAAGACATACCCAATTGCCCACATATCCACCGGTTTCCCATGACCTTCCTTCAGCAACACCTCCGGAGCAACATATCCAAAACTTCCAGCAAGCGAATGGAGTTGTTCGTCAGGCGAGTGCAGGTGCTTTGCACTGTGTTCCATTAGCTGAATTCAGTAAAAAAACATCATAGCCTACATTCCAAAGTCAGCAATAACAATATCGCTGTCTGTGTCCTTGGTCCGATAAAGGATGTTCTCTGGTCTATCGTACAAGAAGAATAAGCGATTGCTGAACTCGACAGGGAAGAACGTACTTAAGATCCCGATGCACGATATCGTGATCATGAAGGTAGCTGACACCTTTAAGTACTGATCTTCATGGGATAAAATTAGACTACGTCGGACCCACGAAAGCAGCGAATAAAGCGTACCTCACGACCGCAACCGCGTCCTGTTCCGTAAACTTTCCTTGCTTCAAAATTCTCTCAAACAGCTCCCCTCCAACAGCGAGTTCAAACGAAAGATAATACTTCGTGCGTGACTCGAACCACTCGTAGAATTTGACCTTTTGAACGGTCTTATTAGCGCGGGAATGAGACACACGAAGCAAGCACGTACAATGTTGGGATGATCCAGTCCCTTGAGAACCTCCATCTCTCCCCACACGCTCGCTTCATTTCCCTTAACTTTCTTCTTGGGGATGATCTTCAGAGCCACCTCCTTCGTTATCCCGCTAAGCGTTTTATCTCCTGGGCCTGGAGACGAGGGTCGAGAGATACTCAAACTCTTGATCGAGAGCGTCGGCTTCGACTTATTGGAGAGTTGGAAAGAGTCGGTCTCCGCGGCTGCTCCCCGCTCTGCCACAGCGATTTGGTCTGCTGGCACATGCCAAGTCGCTCTCTACCCGTACACGCCGTGAACACGTATCTCCTGCGATATGCGAGCTTGGGAACCTACCATGACCTTCCCAAACGTGCCGGTGCCGAGGACCTGGTGCACATCGTATGACCTCTTCTTGTTGAAGCTTGGTGGCTGCGGAAGAAGCGATTCGGACAGGTTTTTCATCATTTTTGGACGAGGGTTGGGCGCTAAGCCGAGGCAGGATGGGAAGGTGATTTGTTGGCCGTTGTTTCTTCAAGGCGTGTCAAATTGGACGGAAAAGGTAGGGTTTAAACGTGGCGGAGGTGCGGTGCGCGACAGAAGGAAGATCTCGCATGCAAGACAGCTTGAACTGTTCGATGTTGGATGCATAGGAAACTCTTGGGTCCTCGAGGCAATCGGCTCCACACGTGTTAGGTAAGGGACCGGCAGATAAGATTAGATTCCTTGGTCGAGCACAGCCTTTCGAGTAGTGGTGTCCGAGTCGAGGATTGCTCATGTTCGAGGATTGCTCATGTTCGAGGATTGAAAAAATAGACACGATGGAATGTCGAGGAAAAGGTTATCAGACGGACTAAGCATATGCGCCTACCCGGATAGGTTTGAAGCTCGAATCACTGATCGACTGTGCATGACTGGTTTGGGAATGACAGCACCCGGACGACAGAATATCCTTTGCGAATGAACAGAGGATGGATATCAGCAAGGCAATATAGTCTTGAGACATACTACGCAGTTTATGTAAGGGCCGGTGTGATTCCAGAGTTCAGACGGTTTACGGTCGCCATCCTCAGGACAACCTAGCTGCAGCCCGTAATCGCAGTCGCAAAGCAAATTACAGCAGCGAGATAAGGTCTATCTATTCGGCATCTGCAACATTTTTGCCATTATATTCGCTTCACGATTCAGATATAATGAGGGGAGGCGCACCTAATCGCATCGATGTCACCTGGAATCCGGCAAACCGGGAATTGAATGGAAATTGTTGAGTATATGCGTCTTGATTGCACTGCTCTGAGAGAGTGAAATTAAGTACGTGGCGGTCCAAGTAAACGCATCTGCTATAGATGATAGGCAATCAGCTCCAGCGGTTCATCTTGAACAAAGAACAGAAAGGATGCAAACCAGTTACGACCAGAAGAAGAAAAGAGGAACACCCTCTAAGTGTCTTTGTTCAGTCTTATGGAGAACTTGATATTTCATCCGTGTGCATTTTCGTGCGGTGATCACTGAAGGATTGAGTCCTCAAGGTCCGCATGACGGTCAGTCCAGTGTAACAGATCCAACTGCCTTGGTTGCATGTTATTGAGGTCGATGTCAAGGTCTCTCGCTCTATGTTGAAGGGATTGAGTGGATGCAGGGAGAAAAGGGAGAGATATGTAAACGAAAGGCGATGAACACATTTATATCTGTTTAGGTTTGTGGGGTTAGCAGTGGTTTTCGGGGAACACTATTTTTAGAAATAAAAACCTGAATAGGAAAAGGCATTGCCACGGCACGCCTATAGCGATCAACTCGGCCTTGGAAGTATCGGACGCAGTTGCAGGTGCAGTTCTTATTATGTATACCCTTCTTGATAAAAGAAATAGCAATTATGTGGCTGAGATGTCCAAACCATGTAACAGCCATGACTCATTTCATCTGGCGGTATGAGAACATTCTTACTGTTCAAGAATAGGTCTTGTTGATTACGAGTTTTATCATTCTGTTCATTCATTAGTAAACTACGATCCCAGGCCAACCCACCTGGAGGATGCATCCTTGAATCTAGTTCGATCTTTTCCCTAGAATTCAAAATTCCCGGTAGGTAGGGAGGTGCCAAAGTTGCGAAATCTTATCTAGGCTTCACACTGGAAGTCCTGCCTTTGGCCTCTCCGAATGCCGGAGGAGGCCAGGTTAGTATGCATTTCGTCAGGACCGAACTAACTGGATACTCCGACTTCTGTCGTGCTTGCTCTTCGAGTGATTGCCAACCATGATACGTTGATGTCTTGCTCTTCATAGGATTCAATTATTCTATAGTCCAATATGAGAGGTACAAGTCCGTGCCTATGACCCGTATGACAGAAATTTGAGCAACAATTAGCACATGCTGGAGTCCGTGATAAGGAATGTGTTCGACAAATTAAAGCGAGTACTCTGGTATGAGTCCGTGGGCATAAGTATAAGAATGTCCTTAGTGAGAGGCTTTGATAAGGTCCGCGGCTTTCTCCGCAACACCGTACAGAGTGGCCGAAAGGTGGGCGCTAACTTGAAGTGGCATGATGGAGGCATCAACAACACGAACGTTAGTGGCGTCGTATACCTTGAGCTGAGCATCGACAACACCTAGAAGAAGAGTCCCGTCAGAGGCGGGAGACCAAGACTAGTTATGTGCCCCGTACCTCCTAGACTACGCCGCATCATCGCAGCGGTGCCAACCGGATGGGCGACCGAGTCGAACTTGCTCCTGATCCACGCTTTCCAATCAGCGTCGGATCCTCGCTGGGCGTTATCAGGCACACCGCCGCCGGGAATCTGCTCTCCTGTGGACAAGGAGCTACTGAGGTGTTAGTAGGCGATAGAGAACAGGAACTTGATATTTACCTCATAGGAGCAGTAGTCAGGATCTTGCGAGCGAGACGGGCACCATTCACTTGGATGTCCATGTCTATGTCGACGCTGAAATAGTTGACTTGAACCTTGGGCTTCTGGAATGGATTTGAGCTCTGAAAAATAGAATCAGAAATTTATTCGGCGTCGGTGGGAAGGCACACACTGTAATGGAGACGCTTCCCCGACTGAATGGAAGCAAGTTCCAAACGAGTATGCCAAGTTTGCTATGCACGTAAACTTTCGTCAATCGCCGCATCCATTGCACGAGGACGACACTTACGTAGGATAGCCAGTGTCAGAAAAGAGCTCGATGACTGGTGCATTGTTGTTGATGATCAAATCGGCTTGGACCTGGAAGATCTGTTGAAGGGCATTTGAAGAGAGACCCGCACTGGCTTGCGATGCGGCCCAGGACGAGATCGATGAGCGAATCTTGTTGACGGCCGCGCTGGCGTTCGAGCCGAAGATCTGGTAAAGGTTGGGGTACGCGATAGCGTTGGAAGGTCCACGACCACCGACGTCGAATCCAGTTCCCCCTGCACCCATGGTGCTCATGGTCTAACATGACGCAATGAGCGAAAAGAGGGAACTTCTCGACGAGAGATATGATATGCCTACCTGCTCTTGAAGATTCTTACCGACCGACTTGAGATCAATTTTCGTCGCGATGCCCAGGGGTCCAAGGACATCAGAATCCCCAATGCCGGATAACTGAAGCAAAGCAGGGGTCTTTACGAAAATAAGCATGGTCGTTCTAGGCACACCAACAACTGAACAAACCTGGATCGCTCCGGCAGCAATGATGACTTCTCTCCTAGCGTTGGCGGTATATCGTGTCGATCCTCCACTCGCAGGGGCAAACTCGACACCAGAAGCCGTAATCGGGATCCCTCCTGCCTTCCAGTTGATCTTGGTGACCTGGTGCGTGACGAGCGTCAACCAGTTCGTCCGCTGACTCTCCACTGGGCTGAGATATGCGGTGGCGGAGGACGATCGGTGGTCATCTTCGTGCCAATTGATCATCTGAAGGGGCCCGAAATCAGAATCAGCAATGACATGGTTATTATTTATAGCGGGTGGGTACCAGAGGGGTTATCGAAACACAATTCGGCGTGCCTCCGTTCAAGTCTTTGTAATGGTTGATGCCTGTGAGGCCAACGATCGTGTTGACGAATGCGGTCTGTTGGGGTCCGCCGTACATGTTGTTTGGGTATGTGACTTGGACAGGGCCGTTGAATCCATGGTAAGAATTAATCGACTGAGCTCCTCTAGCTGCCTGTTGGCTATTGGGAGGAGAGAATGTCTCCGACTGTGAAGGAGAACAGGTAAGTTACTCTGGTAAAGAAAGGAAGACGGGTATAAACCTTCTTCATGTAGTTCCAGAGTCCTTGCCAATTCCATCCAACGTTCGCTTCTGAAGGTTCGAGGAGACTCGACCAAGCATCGTACTGGGCATTCAATCCCCGGGTAAACGCGGCACCATTGATAGATGCTTCGAGAGTACGTTAATTCTTGATGCTCCGAGGAGGTACGACGGTACTCACATCCTCCACCCAAAGTCTTGCCACTAGTGAAGGCGTTGAATCAGTTTCTGGAAGGAAGACAAATGTAAATGTATCGTACCCAATGATTGCTTTCCCTTGATCCGCTGGCCAATTCCACATTAGCTCACTCCCGAACGCCTGACCATAATTGTAGATATCATAGACGCGAGGATCGCCCCGATTGTCCGCGCCTGCCTCGATCAGAAGGACAGTGACGGTTGGGTCCTCCGCGAGCCGTGCAGCTACTGTCGTCCCTGTCAGACCTCCACCGACAACAACGTAGTCAAAGGTTTGGCCGTTGGCAGCGGAGGCGGAGGTGGTCACACCAGAAGCGCGTTTCTGCAACGAAGGGGACGCGATCACACATCCCAGGGAGAGGGCCAACGACACGAATTGGAGCAGGACGGTCATAGGGAGTAAGAAATGGAAGAAAGGGAAAGGACCGGAATGAGTGGCGCGGCCTTTCAAGATGAGGCTTGCCGCTTATATCCCCGCCATCATCGAAGAGGCATGTGAACAAAGCTTCCGCCGTAGACCCGTTTCAGGTCCCTGAGCGATGAGGTCGCAAGATGGTAGCCAAGTATAATGACGAGGCCCACTTGTGCTACCGATGCCGAGCTAAAAATAACGCGACGCCGTCGACCACCGACGCCTAAGGTGTCGGGGCGCTGGGGAGATTCCGTCCTTCCAGGAATGACATTCCACTTTGGCATCGAGACTTCGCCACCGTCAAACAACCGACACGCGAGGCTCCGAGATTGCACATGGCGCATTCGGCAGTTATCCCACTATTGACAACGTGAGTACGTTCCTGGGGAAACCAGTAAGACACGAGAGGAGTAGAACTGAAAGGAAACTTGATTCTGACATTGATATTCATCTTGCGTAAATCTCACACGAACGTCCAATCCATCGGATGCCAGTTCATGTTGCTACACCATTCGTGTTGAAACTTTGGGGTATGTGGGGTTTCGTTAGGCACCCGTAGCTAACTTATGTAACGACAATCCGCGACTTTTGGGCAGTCCTGTGTTTCAGCAAATCAGCAAGATACTGGAGAATGGAGTTGCGGCGGTTTTCCTCGACGCACTGCACGCACTTCAGCTTCAATGCGGATCAGCATCCCTCTGACGGTCATAAATGACCGCCACTTCCGAGCAATTGTCCACTTCGTCGCTTTTGGGCCTTGTAAGTATATTGAGCATAGAAACACTAAAAGAGGTTGAGAGCGATGTACGGCTTTGTCAGAGATGAAAAGAAAGCGATGTGGACTCGAAAGTTGAAAGGCAAGAGTCGGCGGCGGGTTTGCTTACCTGTAGTATCTCGTAATCACTGATATTCCCACGCACAACCAACAAAGCTTCGTCGTCACCTCTTTCCAGAGTTCAGGCATCTGGATCCGTCGTTCCCTTCTTTTAACTATTCACCTGCCAAGAAGAAATATGTGATACTCATGTTACTCAGTGGCTTATTTCAGGTACTTGACAGAAAATCGCATTCAATGCCCAATCTCCGACCTGATCTGCGACTCTATTTTTTCAACATGATTTCTTGATTCGGATTTCTGTGAAAAGGGACTTGGGGAGAACGAATGCATGGTGGTAATTAATTGTCCTTCCTGGACGATAAAGCTGAGCTTTGTCCCTTCGTCCCTGATACTAGAAATAAAGAATTCGAACTAATAGCGGCGTCTGTCTCTTGCGAACGGCGACGGTATTTGAGCGTGTATATCGCGCCAGTGGATGGAAATATGCAAATGTCCCGACTTTCCTGGATCGGACAAGTGGACCTTATCGCTGCTTAACTCGGCCCGGTTCGCTGTGGAAGCCAAATTATTCTTAGTGGGCTTGACGTTCCGACTCTCGTTATATAGTTGGGCGGTTTCTTCGACGGCTCCTCGTGCGGCAACGGTCCTGACGTCGCCATTGGGTCAGATGGCGAAACACTTCGCCGATTTGGACACGAGGAAAAGCTCAACTAACGATATGACCTTGGTGGCGGACTTTCTCTGGAAATTCAGTCGCCAGGACTTGACTTGCAAGGCTATCCTGGGCTTTTTTACCTACAGAAATACACGTGAAAAGTCTATTTCATTATTTCTTCTGTTTCACACCACTGGATCTCTTTGGGAAGGTAATCAACTGTCCAGATGGTTTCAATCGACGCAGGCGCTCTATTTGAGGGAGGATCGAGCCATGGAGTTTGTCTTTACCTTTCTCAGAAAGTGCTGGCATGGTCGCTGTATGTCCCAACCTCTGGGAATGGTTTCGTTGTGGCTGATGAAAGGCTCGCCTCAGAAGAAGAAGAATTCACAAAGAACCTGCCAGTGATCGGTAACCTGCCCGTTCACTGAATGCTAAACGACCTCATTTCCAGGCTCTAGGAAGTCGTCGCTCATGTCCAGTAATTGCACCTCCTTCCCATGCTAGTCCTAATCGAGACCAACGCCGTCTCTCTTCGTTTTCGAATTTCCGATGCAACCTGCATGACTTTTATGAAAGCCTATTCCATCGAGCCCACCCCAAAATACCTCCCGTCCAGGTCTGCAAGTCGTGTGCTGCTCTCAGGCTTTTGGTTGGAGACTTCAGCTCGATCTACGCCCGCTGGTTTTGGCTTTCTCATTTCTTGGACAATTGGGAAGCCATGTGGTGTATCTTTTTATCTTCAGGTCGTATCGGTTCTGCATTCCCTCTCGGAGCATAGACTGTCGTCCTCGGTTTGGAGTAATTACTGACGCGGCGCCCCAATGTCTACGATCGTCCGGGCGTTTTCGCCGATGGTTTATTTTTATCTCGCTCACAATCGGAGGACTCAATTGATAATTAGATTCTATCGACGGAGGAGGATGAAAGTGCTCGAATAATTGGCCGCTGAGGTCTCCGGAAAGCAAGCTCCTACTACGCCCTATTTTGGGGCTATCCAGGACTCTGGTGGGACCTCATTTTCACAAATTGTACCTCGTCTTACGCAACTGACCGCAAGCTTGGTTAAGGTGATCTGAAGCACGAAGGAAAATGCGCATACGGTCCGTTCTCTTATCGCCCACGGCCAGCTTTCGCACTACGCCCACGCACAGTCATATGAACCCCAAATCCACATCCTGAAACCAACCCCACCCCGTCTCCCAGCATCACCGAAGTGTTTGTGGCGTCCTCAAGAACTCGAATCGACGAAGGTTCTCTCAGCCACAACAAGCGCAAATTCCCTGCCAATGCCATGGAAGAACGCACTATCGAACCGCAGGCTGGGCCTATCATACAGACTACTGTGGGCCTCGGGCAGCGTGATAGGCGAATAGGCGAATAGTAACGCGGCAAGAACTTTCCCTGGGTTCTCTTCTCTCTTTGTTTTCGAAAGCCTTTGGGTTTGGTGTGGGAGCTACGGTAGCCTCCCGCGACGCATGTCATTCATTTTGTTTCCTCGTTCAATTGAATTGGATGACCAATAGCGCCGATGCGACGTATTCAATGCGGTCGATCTCAACATCTTGTGGCCGAAGACGTGTTGGTGTCTCTCTGACTTGGGTCTTCCTGAATCCCGAGTAAAGGAATATATAGATGAGGAAAGTATGGTACATGAAGGGATTATAGACCTATGTCACAAGTATAATATCCTGTATCTAATTGACAGCCAAGCAAGGAATCGATATCACAACCGACGAGTAAGAGTAGAGTTACGGCGATCATACTGTACCACGCAAATGCCAAAGCAGAGTGACGGAATGTCTCCAAATAAACCCTGAGACGAGCCAAAGAGAACAAGGAAAACAAGACAAACAAACGAACGTCCCACCCTTTCAACACATATGTAGGTCCATGGCCGAATGATACTGCTTGTGCATCGCAAGCGGCGAGTCGCCGGCGCTATGATGATGCTGCTTTCCATCCGGGGTTACCTGCTGAGACGCTGGGACCGAATGCGGCGCCAGCTGAGGGTCGAGCTCGAAATCCAGTCCAGCTTGCATGCCGCCTCCTTGGTGTTGGGGATGATGAGGCAACATCCCTGGAGGAAGCAGGGAGGGGGTAGACGCGGAGGACGGCGTCAATGGCGAGCCAAGCGTGCTCGTCGTCTCGGCGCTAACGGTGCTCGTCTGCGGCGAGCTAGCTCCCACGTTCTGATTCGAGAACGAGCTGATGATGGGGTGACGATCGGGTTTGGGATCAGATGTCGACGTAGGAGGATGGGGATAGGAGATGTAAGACTCACCCAGGGAGCGCGTGCCCACTCTCGTCGTGGCTAGGGCGTGGGTGGTGGTGGTAATACTCTGGGGGAGGATATACCAGCTCTTCGCCCATTTGATGGTCGTTTGATCCAATGTTGACGTGCATCCCAACGGGGACGAGATTATGAGTCGGTGGGAGGGCGAGAGGCGTCGTCTGGTCGTCGTGCATGCCTCGGTGTATGCGCTTCAGCGACGAGCCGGAGGATGAGGCCATAACGTTTCTGTGGAATTGCTGACGACGATTCTTCGTGAGTGGGAACGGAAACAAAGATAGAAGCAGGGTAGTCTCACCTGTCCCATATCGTCCTGCACAAATTCTCCTTTGCCCTGCGCATGATGGTGGAACGACATAAAACCGGGATCAGGCATTCCGCCTCCTACCGCCGACGCAGATCTCGGGCCTTCCCCTGTCGAAATTCGATACAAACTCGACGGACTATCCAAGTGGAGGTCAGGTGGACGAGGTCTATTAGACCGGTGCTCCCCCAAGGATAGCGAATTCCTCCTCGAGGCGCCCAAATTCCTCTTCCCGTTCCTTCTCGAGGGCGACGAGTCCTGCTCGGCGCGTTGGAGGGCCGCACGAACGGCTGGTGGGAGGTCGGGGTGGTCGGACGAACCCGCGCTGCTGTTCGCACTGCTCGTGCGATTGCGCGAGGTCCCTCGCGCACCACCACCTGACCCGGTGGCGCCCTTCGGTGTGGAACGCCCGTCGCTCCCGCTGCCGCCAGTCCCGCCGGGAGGCATTTTGGCTTTGGGCTTGTTCGGCCCGCGGACACGGCCCTCCTTCGCGTACTCGCAGACGAGCCCCCGAGCCAGGCAGCGCTTGCAGGCTGGGTGTTCACCGCTGCACTGTTATCCGTTTATGAATTTCATGAAGGGGAGGATATGAAACACATGTACGTACCTTCGCCTTCCTCGTGCGGCATTTCTCACATGCCTGGGCGGTGCGCAGGCGTGGGTGCTCTGGAGTCCGATAGAATATCCCAGTGGCGGGGTCGAGAGAGCCAGCGAGACTCATGCGATGTACTGCTGAGGTACCAGCATTAGAATGATTGGAGCCCTTGAACTGAAACGGCTGATTGCTGGGCGGGGGTGGCGAGAGACGATTAGGAAACGGTGGTGGGTTGTGATACGGCGCATAAGAAAGGGGCAAATTGCTCTGGGGGAACGGCTGGTGAATCTGCGGCGGTTCGTACGGAGGCCAGCTCTGAGGAGACTCGTGGGGGCGCTGAGGCTGCTGATGGGGCTGGATATTTGTAAACGGCGAGGACGATTGGTAAAGTTGGTGATGGGAGGCGAGAACGTGTGGGTCTAAGGGGTGATTCTGGGAAGTGGGGTCATCGGCGGTGGTATTATGCTGTCGGGTGAATAGCGGGTGCGGATGTATCTGGGAGGACGAAGAGGGATACAAAGCTGGGCGGGTCTCTCCTGCGGCAGAATCCGCATACCTGTCAGGAGGCGAGGCATAATCAGGGAAGCACTGATACTGTACGGGCGGCGGAAATTCGAGGTCGTCCTGGCGGAAGATGTGGGGGTGGTTGTACGACATGTTGTGGGCTGTGCGATGTGTATGTGGTTGGGTTATATCGCCCTCGCGCAAAAGAAGAGGAGAACCAGTCTATCTATGTAAACTCCAGGTTCGGCCCAATTCAATTAAATTTCGTCCGTGGGGCCGTTTTGGCTTTGGCAGTCTGATGTAAGTGTATGTTCGAGTTGCGCAGGTGCCGACCGTCCGGAAGCCCACCGATCCTATGTAATGATCGAAACCCCGCGAAAAGGAGATCCTGGGGGCCCCGATTTGGTGGGTCAGACTGAGACTGCCAGAACCACGCTGTAGATGTAGAATAAAATTCGAAAAATTCGCAGGGAGTCCTGCGTGTAAATCGGCCAGCACGAGTCAGGAATCGACGACAGAGAAATGGAGATGACCAGGACTTACATACTTCTTCTGGTTTCGGAGCGGCACATACTTTATCGGGAAATCGCTCGGCTAGATTTCAATCTCCGCGGTGTCACGCAACTCCAAACACGAACAATCCCAGACTCAGCCCCAGCGCGCACAGTGACCGCACGCTGAAGCTGATGTACTGTCCACTTTCTCCGGCGAGGAAAATAAATCTGCACGTCTGCCAGGCAGTGGCGTCTACACACAGACATGCTGTCATCAGCGACTGAATTGCTGAGCTTTACATATCCATCATATCGCCCGTTGAATCGACTCGAAAGGATCGAAATTCGAGATTTCATTTCTCTATTACCCGCGAACAGTGGCCCATTACTTACTCAAAGGCAAACAATAACTCTAAATTTCTTCTTTTCCCACAAGTTTATTGCACTGGCCTTGTGGCAGCGCTTGTGTCGTCGTTCTGTCCATGACTTGACGTTCGTTGTCATCCTTCCCAACGCCTGAAGGGTTTTACAAGTGCAGCTGTACAGTACCTTGCAGTGGTATGCGACATAATGTCATCTGATGAAATTACAACAACTCCAAGCTAGGGAAAGTGATATCAAGTACAACACCTGATGGGTCCCTGCCTGATTCTAGCGTCCGAATAAGCAATCTATCACCTATTTCTGGTCCTTGAAGACATCGAATATCACCTAGGTTTACTTCGCCCCAACCGTGCCCGTGCTTTGCTGGCAATCAAACGATGTTCAAACAAGCACGATGTAGCACGTAGTCTGATAAGCTCGTCAAGCAGGCTAGATCTAGGTCTTCATGGATTTTATAAACCCTTGGGGCACGACGGAAATAAATATTCCTTGGCGGCGTCATCGATGGTTCCTATACACAAAGGAACAAGCAGCGTTGACCATAGAAATCAATATCACGACTTCAACTTTTCACAGACGTGATAATCTTATCCAGGTCGACGGACTGGTATATGCTCAAGGACGTGCACGAGTATATCAAAAACACTAACCTCGTTGGTATTTATTCACCGGGTCGCCGGTGCCTTCCTGCCGAGCTTGCTTCAAGGTTCTGTAGGAAAAAGGTACACGAGAGCGAAGCGCCTCGCCGCCTACCAGGTTCTCAATGAAACAGATGCCTTTCATCAACCAGAAACTGGCTTAATAGAGCAGAAAACGTAGTATCTTTCAAACAATGTACGTCATTTTCAACCAGAGGCATTTGTCCACCCACTGGATGACATCCAGCAAAATCCAGAGATTATAAATAACCCACCGGCTCGCCCACATCGTTATACTTTTACGCCCCAAGTCGCAGGGTCAGAATTTAACGGTGTACGTTACAGCAGAAGTGACGACAAATCTGCCGTTCTTGCCGTTTCGCGGGAGCTTCATGAGTTTGGCTGGGGTACTCGGGGGAGAATCTCGCTCGGAAGGGGCGGGAATGGAACCCGCTCGAACGTGTTCGACCGCCGGCTTCCTTCAAAGCAGAACGTTGAAGCCTGAAGTGGGCACGGGCTTCTCAGCTTCGCGCGTCGTTGTTGCTTTGTCATCCTCCGACCATGATCGCCGCCGATGGCGAAGAGCTTCAACTTCGGCGTCGGTTCGACTTCGACATAACCATGTCATCCTAGTGCGTGCCACGGTGGAAATGCGTTTCGAGCACCGTTGAACATGCAGAGTAGAAGTCTAGGCCGTACTCCTTGACTTCGTTAGCTGATGAAGCTTTGAAGGACCACATGATAATGCCACCACCGAATAGTCGTTCCGTAAGGAAAGAGCGTTGCTAAATATAGGTAGCGTTGTATTTTCGACATGGACGGCGAACTAGTCGTCTATCTAGAAGAGAAGCAGAAAAAGAACAAAAACACTTATTATTATTTCACTGAATTCTTTGGGAGACGCACCAAGGAACCCCATCATCGTCAATCGAGCTATCGAGCTATCCAATCACGACACTACATAACAGCGTCAATTTGACCGAAGCTAGCCGGCAACCTCGGTAGCTGACAGAGACAGAGACGTGCAAGCTTTGACGCCTTCAGTCTCCAATCACAAATGCAGAGCAGCTCACCGAGATTCAGAAGCTAACTGCGTCCCCAGGCTTCTTTCAGAGATTTTAGTCGACTTCGTGGGGATCACGTAATACCTCCGATGAGATTGTCTTCCTCTGCCATGGCCAATGTCTCCGTCTCCGAGGTCGAGAGTTAGATATACCTAGAGTATACACAAAGTATTTGAATTGGCGGTGGAGGTTTTGCGATATACTCAGCACGATCTGAGTCCCTCTCGTACCGTTGGCGATAGCGAGCAGGTCTGTTTCTCGAACGCAAGACGCCGGATCCAGTGATGGGGTCCCTCCTGAGTGACGGAACGAGAAGTCACACCTGCATTATTTGTGGGTACTATGTATTTACTTCCGAATTATGCACAAAGGCACCCTGTGATGTCCTCCAAAAACATAAATTTACAGGAGAAGAAGCAAAATATGTAGTTTTATGAGAACACCAGACACGAAGACCGGAATTTTAGAAAATAATATCTGAATTTGCGTGAATTTCACTCAGATCGCTTGCCTTCGCTCCTCCGTCGCCAAATTTCATTGCCCTTTGCCCCAGACGAGGAACATACCTTCTGAAGAGCAGCTGACATCTGGTAAGCTCTACAAGTTAACAGGGTCGAGTTATATACACATTTCGGCAGGGAGGAACAAAAGGAGGAAGACCCCACGGGGTTGCAGGCAACAATGCAATAGCCTTTGTGATGGCCAAATATCTCGCGAGGGGCCTGATGAAATCTGAAGGGAAATCAGAGAGAGCAAAGGCTCAAGCCAGAATAGACGCAGTATTGTACTACCTCACGGTAGCTAGAAAATGATAACAAAAGTAAGGGGGGTGCGAAAAGGGACAGAGCTCAAGGCGAGGCATAACGAGCTACGTGAGATGAGGGAGAGTGAGCACGAAGAGAAAGGAAGTACAGTGACATGAAAATATAAAGGCGATGAAAAGCAAAGAGGAGGGCATGAAAAATAAATCTAAACACGTCGACGCGTCGCTCGCTCTCATAGACCCTAATCAATGATAATTATCCCCTCTGCGGCGTGAGCTGCTCGGCCGAGTCCGAGCGTTTAACCAGCGCCTATGGATTGCCTCGCCTGCATCAAATGCGCTCTGAGGATTATAATCCATAAAATACTCTGAGGGCGCTTTATGTAACTAGGAGCTACTTAGGCGCCCGCTTTCAGAAAATCCTACGAGGGCCGTGACAGTGTAATTATTGGGAAGCCACAGGGAGACATGGATAGTATCCGGGCCACCGCATTTAAATGATTTCCCAGCTAATGCGCCAAGACTCCCGGGCATCTCACATAATTCCTTTCTCTTCGCTGTTGCTCGGTAGGAGGAGGAGGATCTGTTGTTTATTTTATCGCACACGCCCTTGACGTTCGTTTCTTTCAATACCTGCTATTTCTCGGGCAGTGCACAGCCAAGGAAAAGGTAACGTGTACAGGGTTCGATGGGAACTCGAGCCTCCCGCTCTGTTGTCGGGGCGTCCGACAAGGCGCGTGAAGTTCGGGATTATGAACGCCAGCCCGAGCCGACTCCATCCCATTTTGGCGCCCGCGCCTCTAGCGCCGCCATTTCGCCAGCCGCCATTTCGCCACAAGCATGTGATTTACATAGCTTACTCTTTTGTTCACTCTCCGTATTGCATCGCCTTCCATTCTGTACCTATGGTGTTCTTTATTGCACATTTTCCCTTCATTTTATCTCTGGGATATTCAATCCTGATTTCCTCCTGTTCCACTTACTTCCTTCGAGTACTCTACAAACAATGTAGCTGCTCTGTATATCTGTTTCAACTTTCAGACTCGTGTCATTTCCCTTGACCGTTTGGGAGGCAAACGACTGAGGTGAGTTATCTACCTACTTTTGCATCACTCGTGAACTTATTTATGTACGTCGTCACCGAGCTCTTCATTTAGGGTTCGTACAGAGCTCAACACCTAGGTCTGCACACCCTCTCGTAACTGCTACGGCGCACCCTCGGGATTCTCCATTTTGGCCAACAGTCACGCATCCATTGGAAGCGGTGCCAGGATCCCCTGGCACCGCTCTAAGAACCACGACCTCCTTCCAAATACAGACCTGCTCGCTATCGCCAACGGTACTCTCGGAGATTCGGTGGCCTAAGTTTAAGAACGAAAAGATCCAGGGTACATGCGCTGGGATCTGGGACGCCTTCCTTACGCCCGCATGGCAATAACGACCGACCGTCAACGGGAGGCGCATTACGAAAGGATTCGAAAGAACCCTCGTCATGCCGAGAAGGCAGGTAACAGCGCCTCCTTCGTCTTCGTCGTGTTTCGCGGGTGTCGCGAGGACGGAGGGGAGGGAGGCCCGGTCGTCCGCCCATGGAAGGTCGAGGCTGTACCATCGCCGCCTTGACAAGGGACCCAATTTCGAGACGCGTCTCTGGATCCAGGGTCCAGACCAAAGACGGAGTACGCTTCAGCCCTCGACGGAGAGCGGGAGCAATTGAGCGCACCCGGAGTAGCAATACGCGCCACACACATCAAACGCGGGGAGCGGGCCAAGAGATTGTGCCACGACAGCGCCAAGAGCAAGGATTGTCGTCCCAAGCCTAAGGGTCATGTCCATAGTTCATGTTCGTAGTCCCGCCGTCGACGCCGGAGGGGCTCTTAGAGATGTCTTGTGAGAGAGGTCGGACGTCGGTGTCGATGAGGGCGGAAACTAGTGAGGACAATCATCCGCACTGAGAAGGTAGAATCGACAGGTTGGGGCTGTGGGGTATGGCATGCAGTGCACGATTGCTCCGTACTTGGCGCCGTGGAAACAGCCTCAAGCGGTCTAGGAATGCATCAGCGTCTCTTCCGTTGCAGGGTAGTGAGTACGTCGCCGGCCAGTTTTTCTCGCTACCATGACGGCTTCCGGGGTCATAGCAAAGATTGAAAACCCATATGAAAGTGTCGGAGTAAGTGGCATCCAAAGACTCTGGAGTCATTCCGACGGTGTCTACCTGGTGGCAGTGGAAGAACGTCTCTGGATAAACCATATTTTGCCTATGGAAACCGAGTAATCGTTCGTCCTGCGGAGAAAGATATGACAGCTCACCGAAGTGGAGATTTGTCTTCCGCGGCGAATAGGAAGTACAGAGGCCGGTTACAGGCAAATTGGCGCTCCTCCAAGCCAAGCTAGTGAGGAGTACGCGTACCGCATTGACTGAATAAAAAAAATAGCAGCCAAGACGTTCCGTGACCCTGTGATTGGCCTCGGAATAGCCCAAGGCTCTCAAATGTACTGAGCGCGTGCACACCGGAGGCATGAACGCAGACCGATAGCGTCAGTCGGCAACAACAATGAAGATGAGAGGTAGGTATGTAGATCCTTTTCAACTCCTGTGGGGGTACCCAAGCAGGAATCCTTCTAATATCAAGAGTATAATCGATAATTATTAAGTGCTTTTTGGCATTTATATGATAAGAACCTGAAATTTGAGCACGTATTTGAGCGCTTACGTGCAGCAGGAGTGGAAAACATGACCAGTGACGCCGCGTTAATCAAGTTCAGAGAATCAAGCGCAAAAGAATGGTCGTAGGGGTGAGAACAGGCAAGTAGATCTTAAATACATTGAAGTCTGGAAGAGTGGTCAACAAATGGGCATTGACTTCGTTCGATATCATTGTGGCACATACTACCTTCTTACTCACCTCGCACCCGTTCAGTGATGTCTTGCTTCTGAAGGCCGAATCTGCGTTCCTAATCAGGCGCAAAATCGAAAATTCTGACCGTTCTTCGTTCAGATTTATGATTTGCCTGGCTTACCGCTTGTTGAACAATATCTGTTTGCTTGCAGCGGAGAGGGGTGGGAGTGGATCACGGAAACAGCCGTTGTGCCTCTCAAAAGGAGGTCACAAATGATTGGTCAGAAGATGACATAATCATTAGTTGGTCCTTGTTATTTTGGTGTATTGTTCGTCGCGTCTGCCCCACATCATGTCTTCGTCATCACCGTCGACAGGGTCTACGCGAGACCCCTTGTTCAATTCTCAGCTGCATGATTCGTCTTGCCGCATTCGCTCTCTCACCACTATCTTGCAAGGCCTAAAGGATTGTGGTCCTGCAACCAAATCAAACGCCATCCCCGACTTTCTTAATCACCTCACCACGCTTCTTACCTGCGGTGACAAATACGATGGGGATGCCAAAAAGGTCATAGCCGTCACAGGGGCACAATTTGAAGAAGGTTTTCGTACACTGGTAGTGACCCAAAACCCGTACGCAACGCAGAAACTTGAAGGTCTGTTGAAAGTCCGAAAGATCACCCGAGAAGAGGATCGAACAAGTGAAGAAGTGATGAAAGGGTAAGCATTCAGATGGCACATGAAGACTCTTATCCTCACCCGTTACACAGGGCTATCGGTGTCCCTCTCCAGGAGCATATCAAGGATATTATAACGATGCTGTCTAGTGACCTGCCGTGCGAAGGGGATAGCGACTTCGATGACTTTTGCCAATTCGTCGTTGCTCGCTGCTTCCGAAAGCTACGGGTCCGCGTTCGTCAAGATAAGGTGCTGTATGAACGGGTTTTTGACACGCTTCACAAGTGGAGACCAAAGGACGAACTGGATCTACCAATCATGAAGGTTGCACAACCCACCTGGACGAAACGCCACGACATGATTTTGGGTGGCAGGTTCAAGCCTACCAAGGAGGAAGGAGTGACCTACTGGGAGTTCTCTAAAGACACGATTCGCGATTGGGCACAATTTCTTGCTTGGATTCTTATGAAACTCGATTCTGCCGTCACCGCGGTCCATGACATTTACTCCAGCCAGACAGAAATCGACGGAAAAATCTATTTCCATGTTCATGTCCTATGCCGTGAGCTGTATTACTTCTTGGGGCTGGAGGATGGATATATCGTGAAGACTCTTCTGAAGAAGGCTACAGGCGCATTTCGTCTTCGTGACACCAACTTAGGTGCATCTGGTAAGTCATTTTCTTTATAGAAAAGGAGCTACCAACTGAGCAATCCCCAGATGAAGACATCGAGAAAGAAATCGAAACTGACATGCGAAGGGAAGAACAGGAAACCATGGCGACATTTGTGTTCCGCTATCTCAAGACCGTCGTGTCTTGGCATACCGCCATCTTCACCCTCCTTCAGGAACCTAGGACGAAGGTGCTCGCGACAAGCGTCACAGTCGGTCTCATCGAAGTCTATCCCCAGACCAAGGAGGTCACTCCTCTCGCAGAGCTCGAGAGAGAGTACCACCGACGTTTCCCGCTTGCGAATGATCAAGAACGTAGCAACATGATGTCAGTACTCGAGAAACACTACAAACCGGCCTTTACAGGCAGCATTCATGCGGAGGCTACTTTAATGGGCCTTCTGAATTACTACTCCCAGAATGCGACCGTTCCCCTCCCGCGAGACGTGGTTGATGCACCCGATTTGTTACGGGAGTTGTTCGTCCCAGTGCGTCCAAAAAATTTCTAATTAGCATTATCCTTTTCTCACAATGCTTCGGTGCTTCTTCAGACCACCGAGAGGGCTATTGCTGTGAGCAAGAAATGTTGCTGGTGCTGTCAGCGCCTTGGCGAACTTCTCGAACCGAATATTAGCTTACCCGGCACACACGGAATTCTCTTTGCCTGGAACCCACCCTTTGTTGGGATTGATGCCGAAGTCCTTGAAATACTGGAGCATGAGTTATGGTCAAAGCTGCGACAGCATCTGCGCAACGGAGCCTTCTCCACGACTCATTCTCGCCATAGTTCTGGGTCAAGCCCTAAAGCGCGGCGGATAGTACAGCGGGAGCCGCACCCCGAGCATAAAGAAAAGATTGACGAGGCAAACCCTTGGTTTATGTCTTGAAGGACATAGTTAACAGAGATCTCTGCAAAGATATCTACGTAGTACGTTTCAAATCAATCGCGAGGATCACATCCTGACCTTCATGCCTGAAGGAAATCAGGAATATGCCATTGCGAGGAGGTAAATTGGCTCCTGAGCTACGTTCTGCATTGTCTCACGACTGCGACCATGGGAAACAAAAATAGAAACTAAATCCCATGGTAGGGCATTGTTAGTCTATTGTTAGTGCACTGTCGTTGTCTATCACTGTAGACAGGAAACGCGCCCGGCGAGCGTCTTTCTCAGCTTTAAACGGCTGGAACTTCCTGATCAAATCAGACCGTCCGTCTGATAGTTATGAACTGTCATCGGAGTGTTCACAGACGTTGCCGAATACCTCGTCAATTTTAACTCATTCAAGCCAGGGGGGAAACTCGTCCTAAAGATCGTCTAAGATGTTTAACGCTCAACTTCCGGGGATGATCGCACCAGGAGCGGTGTTCTCCTGCTCAGAGTTGCTCTGTGTAGTATTACGTGTGTAGTTCCGGGAGCCCAAAATGCGGTGGCGCAGCTCGTGAGTTCCTGGTCGGTCGTCTCAACTAAGAGAGCTTTCTCACCTTCACTTTATGTTGAGCATATCTGTGCAGAATGGCACAAAGGCTGAAGACCTCGATCCTCTGACAAACCTCGAACGGAGAACTCTATTCGATGAGTTGATGGACTCTGACCCCTTTTTCTGTCTCTGAAGCTGACATCAACTTCGAGAGAGATTTCGCGCTATGGTTCAACGAGAATAGAAATTAGGGTAAATTGGATGTCTAAAACACCGATTTCGGACTCTGTCTGGCCACCAACCCTGTGACGATGAACCTAGGGATTTCCCACATATTGCCTGTATCTGACATGGTCGGCTCAAGTCACATCGACCAGCTTACGCGTCTTGAAGCACCTAAAATGGTATTTCATCAGGAGGAATACGCGCGGTACGCTGATAACCAAGTGCGTCGCGGTGGTACGCAAAGAACGCTCACTGAACTGTACGATATTAGGATGACCCCAGCTCCGAGTCGGATGGGGATGTATAGCTCAACTGCGTCTCGACAACAACGGCTTCCTAATTTAGGCATCTTCCTTCCTTTTTCAGTGTTTACCTCAGCTATGCTTACGCCAAAGGTACTGCGCGTGGTAGCAAAGATCGTGGCGAGGCTGCTACAGTCGCTGTGCTCGTGGAATGGGAGTTGCATTGGAGAAGAATATCTCCGACATTCTCGAAAAAAGTTTACCAGGTCGAACTAAAACACTTTACAGATGCATTTGCCATCTGCAAGAGACACGAGCGAGATCTCAAAATCCCTAGTAGCGAGCTTTCGCAGGTACTATTTGGGTTATTGCGGTTCTGTGTTCGTGGTTCAGATGGAATCCGAGGAGAGGTGCACAAACGACTAGTGACTATAAAGTCACATGACGCTGGGCTCATACTCGTGCAGCATGTCCTACGGTTTGGATGTCATGATCATCTTGCACAATGCTTTGTGCGCCACTGGCACCCTCATGCTGTCCATTTTCGGCCCCAGTTCGTGGACTTCTGCAATGTTCATCTGCAAACGTTTAGAAAGGAAGACAAAAAGAGTAATTTGCAAGTAGGGTCATGCAAAATAGATGTGAATTAGCCGCCATAATTAGCTAAAACATCAACTGCGACACATCCAGATTGAATGGGTTGTAGGGTTTCCTTAAAGCCATGTATTAGGCATGAGGAATCACAGTGGATATCGCTCATAGGCAGAAGCTCACAGATGGAGTAGGGCGTATCATCAGGGAAAGCAAGGTCGACAGCTTCCCAAATTTAAGAAGAGCTGACTCCGGGTGGGACTGGAGGAGAAAGTTGGCAAGAAAGGCATCCTTGGAATTGGATTAGATTGGGAATGCACTGGCATTAACAGGAAGGACGTACCCAGTGCGCGACTTGCTTTTTGTGGATGAATCCAAGAGCCTGAAGGCATTTAATGTTAGCTATGTACCCCTGAGAGTGGGATGCTCTTACCTCGAGACTCGACTGGAGAAGGGTGTCCATCAAGTCGCCCATCGGGTTCCGTGCTAGACGGTATTCCCTTTTGGTGATCGCACATGAAAGGGAGTGGACGAGGTAGGGAGAAATGAGAACGTGCAATGGGAGGATGTGATTGTCAACGGAAAGGATGTTAGGTCCGGTTGTGATCAACGTGTCCCAGTTCACGTTGAACGTCGAATGTCGACTGTCCAGTGTCCAGTGTCCAGCCCGCCCTATGTCACTGTGCCTGTAGCAGGTCGCTTCTTGGATCCAACACCCCCAGCGACAGGTTGTTGACTATCAAAATCTCAAGGGCAACCCGTCTCGGAGCCCCATCAACTCGCAATCACTCTCTGGATGGCCAATCTACCCTGGACGCAACTTTCTGGAGACGTGAGCAAATTCCCACTGGGGACTGCTGCAAAGGTATCTGCACCCAAACAATTTGAGGAGCGTCATCACGAGAAAAGTTATGGAAGGGATGCAGGACGACCAGTTCAAGGCATGGCTGGGATATTGCAGGCTGTGATAGGTCCAGCTGGATGATTGTCAACATGGTGCTCTATCGCTTAGAAGCAAAGCTGGAAACCAACATAAAAATGGCGTGGTCTGCAATATCAAAAGACCTACGTCTTTATGGTGCTCCTTAGTGTTGTGCTTGCTTTGCTAATCAACGTGGAATATGGCTATGAAGGCGTAGCGATCTGAAGCATATGGACGACTAGATTGGAGCTTCAGAAGGGGTAGATTGAGTGAGGGAACAAATACCATGGGCACACAGAGAAAAGAATGGCAAGGACTGTCCTGCGCGAAATGCAGGGCAGCATCAGGTGCAATCATACCCAAAATCAGGGCTTTATCATGGAAAGAACGGCTGCACACGCACTGAGACTATCGCGTCGAACGACTCGTTCAATTTCACGCTTTGAGAACTCCTTTGCTCCCGCATTCTCCAAGAATTTAACCCCACTGCATTCTATAGCTCCAGTGATAGCTATGTCCTGCACAGTCACCTGGCCCTTGCTGCTCCCACGAATGAGAAGAGTTGCCATCCGGCGAAAAATGGGAGGGGCATGGATGACAAGGTCACTGTGGGGACCCGTATACGGAGGTCAGTTTGCTCGAAGTCAGAACCGGGGCTGATCACTTCCGGCAATACAGCTTTATACTTTCTGCTTGAAAACGTTTTTGGGGCGCAGGACTACTACGCCGTAGGAAACTGATTGAAAAAATGAACTTCAGCGGTGCAGAGGATTATTGTCGTGAGTATAGTCAAAGGACAAGAGGTGTGTGACATGGTGTAACATCGAGCAACTTTGCCTGCCACAATGATGAACAAGATGCCACCTCCTCAAGCTCAAGACCCAGCTCTCGCGCAGGCAGCGACCAGCACACCATTCAGCACAGGATCTGGGTCTCACAATCTCTATCAAACGCAATATACCCAAGGCCACTACAAGCCCTACCTTGCAGCCGACCTCGTGAATGTCGCCATCATCCCCTTTGACGATTTCTTCCGCTGCGCCTTCAATTTCGACAAAGGCAAAAACGAAGGGTTGTCTGCCAAGTTCGACGCGATCGCCACCTCGCAGGAATGCAACAGGCTACTTGATAGGTACAAGGACGAGGTCGGGCATGAGACGGAGCGGTACGGCCCTTTCAACAACCTTGCGAACCACATTCTTGCCGAATTGTGGGGAGTGCTTCCCGATAGCAGACCTAAGAATCTGGTTGTCTGTCGAAACGACCATGTCTCAGTGAAGGGCTCGACTGCTCAACAAAGTCCAGACTGCGTCGCAGTTCCAGAGAGCGTATTATCGGGTCATCCAGACAGAATGTCGTGCGACAACCTGTCCAAGGGAGGACCGACTGAGGCGGCTTTCCACTGGGATGAACTGCCCACCTTCATAGAATTCAAAATGGAAGTGAAAAACCTTCATACTATTCCGTTAGAATCGTCGACGAAGGTGCCATCAGCCCCGGCAGGCAGAGCAAGTGGATCGAAAACTGGCTCGTCTTCTAGTACGTTACCGATTTTCTTGCAACTGCGGTAACACATACCTACGTTCTGACAGGCGAAGCGGTGTCGAGAAAACCTAGTCGAACATCGACGCCCACATCGACGCCCGGTCTCATCCCTTCGCCGACAATCGCTCTTTCACCTGCATTTGGACCGACGCAGAGCACTACCGGGAGCACGTCGACTAGTACTGGCAGAAGCACATCTTCGTCGAAGCGACTCCGGGAGGACGATAAAGACAGCGTGCGGAAGCGGGCAAGAAAGGACGAGGATTCACCAGCGACGACGAGGGCAGACACGCTGATGCAGTGCGCGAGCTATGCGCTGGAGATGTTGTCGCATGGCGGTTTTCGGACCCACGTTCTTGGTGTCCTCGTCACGGATGACAAGCTCGAGCTGCTGTATTACGACCACTCGATTACCATCCGATCGGAGAGTGTCTGCTTTACGCAGGACACGGCCTCACTCGTCGCCTTACTTTATTGCATGCAGATGTTAACGCCAGCAGGATGGGGCTATGTGGATGTGATAGGGCCACCCCCGCTTGGCAAATCCTCCAATACTTCTGGACCCTCCGTTTCTCCCGATCCTCTTGTTTCTACCGATCCTTCCACCGCGCAGGATGAACTGCGCACAACGCGTTCGAAATCCAAACCTTCCGTGCCAGGTTACCGTCAACCACTCCACGGTACTCACCTGCATCTCCAGAATGGCCAAGTTTTGGAGTTGGGCGAGCTTATCTTCCGTCAGCACGCGCTGATTGGTCGAGGGTCCTGCGTTGTCTGTGGGAAGGCGGAAAATAGCCATGAATGGGCGGACAAACCACTCGTCGTCAAGTTCAGCTTTACGCCTGTCACTCGGATCTCTGAAGGCGCGATGCTCGAGAAGATTGTCGAGCTTGCCAAGGGAGACACTGAGAATGTCGGGATGTTGGCGCATCTTCCAGATGTGCTTCATCACGAAGCGGTTCCACCGGGTGACGTGCAATCGCGTTTCTCAGCGTGGCTCAAGAATCAAGGGATCGGTTACGAGGACAGGAGATTGCAGATCCTGGTGATGACGGAGCTGTTTTCGATCAAGGAGTTGCGGTCGACTGCGGCCATCGCACCAGTTTTCAGGGATGTTTTCAAATGTGAGCTGTTGCCAGCTGATTTTTTTGTTGCATCTCCAACTGATTTTCCGAAGGCTACAAGTGGCTGCATGAAGTGGCCCAAGTCATCCATCGGGACGTCAGCTTGAATAACATTATGTATCGGAAGAAGGAAGACGGTTCGGCCTGTGGGGTGCTCAGCGACTTTGATCTGGCACTTTTCCTCTCAGAGAACAAAGCAGCAGCCTCGACCTCGACACAGCGAACGGGGACAAAGCCGTACATGGCGATTGACCTATTGGACAATCCCAAGGTTACACTTTTGCATCGATACCGTCACGATCTGGAGTCGCTGTTCTATGTTCTCGTGTGTCTCACAACTCATGAGGACAACAAAGACATCCTCGCTTGGCCCGCCCTTGGATGGCAAGAGTTGGCTGTTGCGAAGAGAGAATTTCTGCGTTCAGAACTGCCTGTGCCTGTCCCGGAGTTCACCACGGTCGTGCTTTGGACTCTAGAAATGGCGGAAATGTTTCGTTTGGGTTACGACGCCAGAACGGCACATCGGAACGCTCTGCTACTTCGAAGATTCTACCCACAACAACAAACCGAGATTCCGAGCACATCTATGCCAGAATTCAAGGAGGAGACACTTGGAGGGCACGTAGATTTCGACAAATTCGAAGCAATACTTGAAATTAAGATTGACCAGTAAATAGCAAAGGACCAAGCAACAAAGGAAGGAGCAAAGTGTATCTAATGCAACTACATGGCTTTTATTGCTGTTTGCAATAGAGTTGGCCACGGGCCGTTTTCGGTCATCACATCAAAAATGCGTGCAGAATCAGACGCGACGACTTTGGCTTCGTAGCTCGACGAGTACATAGCCTTTTCATGTAAATTTTTATATATTTCGAATCTACTCGACGAGGCGTAGGTGCATGTAAAAAGAACGGAGGAAATTGGGCGACTTTTGGTACCCCAAAACGAGAGGGGCTGCTTGAGGCATATTTGATTCACTTTTTGTCTACAGAGGAGGAGCGAGGCAGCCGGTGGGTATATAAAAAGCTCGAATAAATTATTCTACATAATTGTGAGGTGCAGAAAAAAGAATGAAGGCAACCGGCATAGTGGTTGAGGAAAGAGCCATAAAGCTGGAGGTGGAGAGCAGGTCTGATGCGAGACAACTTTGCTCTCGTAGCGTCACCACCGCAAGAGATATTCCTTCAAAACAACGATACACCTGTAAAATAATGAATGGAAGCCTCCTGAGCTTTTTGAGTTGTAAAATTCGCAATTCTTACAAAGTTACAAAAAGAAAGTCATCGCACACTTTGCAGCAGACATATGTCCCCACACCCTTGTGATCACCCCTCGTTCCTGGAGAAATTTTTCTTTCAGCACCTCAAGAATAGCGACATAAACCATTTCCAGGTTGTTTTGAAGGAATATCTCTTGCGGTGGTGACGCTACGAGAGCAAAGTTGTCTCGCATCAGACCTGCTCTCCACCTCCAGCTTTATGGCTCTTTCCTCAACCACTATGCCGGTTGCCTTCATTCTTTTTTCTGCACCTCACAATTATGTAGAATAATTTATTCGAGCTTTTTATATACCCACCGGCTGCCTCGCTCCTCCTCTGTAGACAAAAAGTGAATCAAATATGCCTCAAGCAGCCCCTCTCGTTTTGGGGTACCAAAAGTCGCCCAATTTCCTCCGTTCTTTTTACATGCACCTACGCCTCGTCGAGTAGATTCGAAATATATAAAAATTTACATGAAAAGGCTATGTACTCGTCGAGCTACGAAGCCAAAGTCGTCGCGTCTGATTCTGCACGCATTTTTGATGTGATGACCGAAAACGGCCCGTGGCCAACTCTATTGCAAACAGCAATAAATTTACGTTGTCGACGTGAAAGTGTTGGCTGTATGATCTGACCGATAACCTTCGATGTCCGGCGCCGACTCCTGCTCGAAACCACACTTTGCGACCCTTCTCCATCGAACGACAAAGAGGGGCAGCACTCCGATGTCGTTGTGCCAGCAGCAACATCGGTTTCGTCAACAGGCACCATGTCTGTCAACCTCCACTGCTGGACCTTTCGGTGTCGAGGACGGTCTCCCGTCATCTCAGGTGTGGAATTTGCGTCAATGTCCGCAATGCTAGCGTCACCATTCTCTGGAAGATGGTGCATTTTAAATATCATTCGATCATTGGAATCGTGCGGGTGAGGATTATTGCCGCGAGTCAAGAAACGGACGGGATGCAAGATCTACGACCAGTTCAGAGCGTGGAAATGGTCCGAAAGGACAGAACTATTGCCACGAACGATCCAAAGCAGTATGAACGACAAGATTGACTGAGCGTAAGGATCAATTGAGCAAAGGAACGAACACTATAGGGCCTACGGAGAAAAGGATTTGAAGGGACTGTCACGCGCGAAATGTGGGCAAAACGTCAAGCTTATGCGATCATGTCAATCTCTCTCTCGACGGGATAGTGCTTACGGACTGTCGAAATAATCGCAGCATCTGTATCTTCGTACATTGCATTGATGACTCGGATAAGTTTGTTTGCGCCATTCATGGTCTTCGTGATAAGATTCAGAAGATTTCCCGGTGTGTCAACCTCTGAGCTCTTTGATCTCTTCGAGAGACATAGCACTAATCGAAGCAGGAATTCATACGACCAGGACATTTCGAAGACTTGAGTGAAAGAGATACTGCACCATTTCGAATTATTCGGTCAGGGGTGTGACTTTTACGTCCTGCCACGACAAAACGAATGATTCGAAATGGTACAATACTTATGTAGTTGCTTATTACGTAATTTAGTCGAAACTTGTTTTGCGCGTCCCTCCTCTCCCTTCGTTTTCTTCAACTTGCGGGCCGATGACTTTAGTAGCTTTCTTCAGCTTCCTCCCTTCATAATGTCAAGAAGCTATACTTTGGGCAACTGGGATGGTGGCCTTTCGAGCTTTGGAGGTCACAGTCGAGAACAACTTCAAGTCGCAAGCGTACAGGCGCCAACAGCGTACATGGACTCTCTTGAAAACATGAACACCATCCCAACATCTATTCTACCCTCCTCCCACCCCCATATGAGTAACGGAAACTTTGGGCTCAAAGAAGCGGTAGCAGGCCAAGGCAGTGGACCAACCACAAACGGGGTGAGCAGCTTCGTTTTGTTGTACCTTCAAACGAAATCTGAGAAAACATGATAGGATCACGGTTCGCCTGAAGCGTTGCTCACGCCGACGACAAGCTCAGAGCTTGCACGTACTGCCGCACAGGAGCCCATCAGTTTATTAAGGGTAACATTCTCTTCATTCGCCCTATTTGCGAGTCTCACAGTTGAGGATCGCAGGACAATGCCCCCATTCACCCCATCACTACAGACGCGTCAAATACCTTGGAGCCCCCAAAACTCGCGTTTGTTCCTATCGCAAATTCACCACTTTTCCAAACTTTTACACCCCGGACGCGTAAACCTCCTTCCATCGACACGAATACAAGCCCAACCCCTGTCGGAATAGTCCGGCCTCTAAATACAAATACCAAGTCTTTGAGGCGCGACTCCAACGCCTCAGAGCCCATTTCCATCCATACAGAGGATGCAGAAGGAGAGGAGGACGATGACGATGTTATCGTGGTGGATCACTTGCTGGTAAGCGCTTGCGCTCCGACAGCCTTTCGCGACGTCGAGATCGTATCTTTACGGTCACTTCCTCAATCAAACGAAGAACGGTCGGAACAGGTAATATCCCATCCTGATTTGCTCGACTTTACCCTCTCTGAACTGCAATTTTGTTCCAGAGCAGAACTCAGTCGTCTCATTCTGGTCGCGACTCCCTCTTCACCCCGCCACCCTCTTCAGATGGAATTATACCATTAGACAGGTTGTTTACCCCCGACCCACCTAATCGTCGCGGACATCTTCCAGTTATCCCGCCCACCCCCTCTCCACCACCTCCTCGCCTGATTATGTCTCATATTCAGGTGCCTCCTCTACGACGGCCCAAATCTGAATATGTCTGGCTCGATCGACTCGTTGGACCGCCCAAGCGGGCTAAGAAACCCAACATTCCTTCTCAAGGACCTTCCGGCCTCAGAGATGCCCTGCAAGCAGCGTGGAGTAATAATTTGGAGCTTGGGACGGAGCCAGTCCCGGAAGGAGACGTGACTCGGAAGAAGAGGAAAAAGAACGAGCGACGAGAAGGGCACCTCAACGCGGTCGCGGGTCCTTCCAGCTTGGCGACAAGTAGCTCGACCAGCGGTCTAAACATGGAGCCCAAGGTCTTCAAGTACGAAGGACCGAAGAAGGAGAGACGGCAGGGCGACGGGTCGGAGAAGAGGGTTAAACGGCCGCGGATAACGATTGATCTGACAGTGTCGGACGAAGACCGCCTCCAGAAAACAAAGTACAAGCCTCTCCTTCCAAAACAACATAAACAATCAAAACAACCTCCGCCTCCATCGTCGCTACCAGTTATAAAGAAGAAACCCGCTCGGCCTGTTTCATGTCTGATGTCGGACGTGATTATACCCGTTCCTTCTCAGGTGCTGGCCTTCAACACTCGCTTTATCTGGAGGATGTGTGGCAAGGAGAACATAAGCTCCCCCTCCCATGACTTTGACTTTGATCCTTGGAGCATATCCTCTTGGAAGCGTACATCTCTTTGCAGCGTTGAAGACTCCTCTTCCTATCTTTTTGACGAAGACGAGGCCGTGATGTCGGTCGGAGGAACGTCGAGGTCGGTATGGGAAGAGGATTTTCGCCAGCCCGCGGAGGGTGATTATGATTCGGACGACTCTTCGGTGGTCGTTATCGAATCACTTCCGCGGGAGCAAGTGCAGCCGGTGCCTCCACCTCCACCCCCTCAGCAACCTCCGCAACCGCCCAAAAAGATTGACCTGGCCGAGCAGTTTCGAAAGAAGAAAAAAGCGAAGCAAAAACAGGTGCCCTCGCCGTTATCCAAGAAACAGCGCTCTTCCAACCCACAACCCCATCGCACACCCTCTTCCGACACTCTCTCCTACCCAACGCCAGCGTCTTCTATCCATGTCCAGAGCATATCTTCTTCGGTGTCGATTGATTCAGACTCCAACCGGGATGACGCCTCCATCGCTAGCTCGTATCCTTCCGCTAAAGCTCTTGGTAAACGCAAAGCCATCAGTCCGCCTCTCTCGACGTCCCTTATGCAATCCTTCCGACCTTGTCCATCATCATCACTGTCCGTATCACCGCGACATGCCGTTGCACACCCCAATGGCAACCTCGACGTTTTCATTCACCCATATGCTTCGCCCTTGGACGCTTTGGCTGATTATCGCTCGGGTTCTGCCTCGACCGAGGAACAAGCAGACCCCGTTTACAACAATCATCATAGGAATAACACTCCTTCGTCTCCAGATCTCTACCAAGCTCCCGACACGATCGCTGAAGCAGCGTTCTTGACGGATGCGATGCCTCCTCTTAACGACTTTGAGACTATCCAAACGGAGCTTGAAGATCCATGGGCGTCGCTAGCTGATTCTAACCTCGGGTACAAGTTCGATACCATCGATCCTACGCTTTTGGGAGGCGAGCCGGTTGTCATCGGTCGTGAAGATTCGCCGTCAGTGGCAGGTCAGAGTCAGTCGCAAGCGCAGAGGTCGTGGGTCTATACGTCAAGCTTGAATGTTCCTCCTTCTCCCTCGTCTTCTTCGACATCTTTGTCTTCGTCTTCATCCTCGAAACCCCTTGCATCTAGGCCTAGGTTCTCGAAAGCATTACAAGACGAGGGTGCTATCTCTACTCCGACCACCACTCCGGATGGACTGGAAATCGAGGATGATGGTGCTAGCACTGCGGACATCGACGCGGATTCTATGCCTGAGATGACAGCGGACCGTCCTCGACGCCGAAAGCTGCAGCGTCGGAGGTTGGCGGACATGGTGCCCATTGACGAAATCGACACTTTTGCAACCACAACGACGTCGGAATACCGCTCCTCTTCGTCGTCCGATGAAGAAGTATCTCAGAGTGTGGTTTCAAGCAGGATACGGCGTCCGACATCGAAGGTTATCTATGAGAGCATACACGTCAACCGCCCAGTTCCTGAGGAGGTGAAGAGGGGTGTACCAACGAAAACGAAGCCTTTTCCTGAGACGAATTGGCCCACCACGAAGAACGATGCGTATTGCCATCAATGTCGCCGTAAGACCTTTTTGGTCAAGCTATATTGCTCAGAGTGCACGAAGCTGTTTTGTGTTCGGTGCTTAACGAACCGGTGCTGCCTTTCCCGTTTTTGTGTTCCATTCGCTTATACGCCCTCTCCGGTGATGCTAGATACCCTGATCAAACATTTGACACCTCAAAAGCTACGAGGAGCTGCCCATATTGTGAAGGTTACTGCAACTGTACAGTTTGCTGCAAAAAGCGAGGCGCTGTCTATGTGTCCTCCAGGAAAGTGTCGAAGAATCCCTTTTCTGGCGAGGTTATTCCCGTAAATCAACCTATACAGCGCACCACCCTCGGAGGCAAGACCAACCTTCCGCCCCCCGTCACATTCCATCAGCCGCCACCGCAGCCGCCACCTCAGCCAGCCAATGCCGTGTACTGGGGCACTGTATACGACCTCTCAGGCAAGCGAATCGGCAGAAGCTACTTTGACCCCAAGGCAGCTGCAAGCCATGTCCATGTCGAGAAGCCAGTCGACCCGACCCCGTTCGCACCGCGCAAGCCGGCGATGACGGCCAGGAGGATGTTCGTTGGCAAGATCCAGCGCTCTTGGGGCCTCGGCCAACACCCGAAGTTCTGCGAGTTCAATCCTCCGGCGCGAGCAAAGAAGTCGTCAGCGAAGCGCGAGCCGAGGCGATATATAGGCGACAAGAAATTCCTGTCATATCGGTTCTACGCTGAAGGGTCTTCGTTGTCGTCCATGGAGGAAGATGAGACTGATGACGATGACAATGGTTGTGGTGCTGGTGCTGAAGGACAAACGGAGGGTAAAGGTATGTGTCTCTGAGATCATGAGATTCGCATTGGGTGCTGACGGTGCTGGAAGAGACTTTTTCGCCTAACAGTTTGGGGGACGAGGATATCGCCCGTGCAATTGGGCTTGCACTGTCAGCATGTGGATGGATTGTCGAGATCTAACTTCTGTTCAGATTTTTTCCTAGCCAATATCATATCGAGCGTACACAGGTTTTTTCGACTGCGTCAACCATTACCAATCCCCCTTTCCAATAATTTTCATTCTATTGTACCATATTTCCACTTGAGTTCATGGGCCTAAGTGTTTCTTTGCTGCCTCATTTTGTCGTCAGTGTTGTCTTCCGGAATCCAGTCTTCATTGCTTTGTCGATGTACTGTACACATAGTACCGTTTACCTATATCTTTATACTTGCACCCCGCTGTCATCGATCATCTCGTCTAGATCCATGTGTCCGTTGCGCATTATTCGCCGATACCTCATCTCGATCTCATGGAGGGCTTCCACCCTCTAGAACTCGAGCTTCTTCGGAACACCTCTGGGTGCCCAGTCGCATGTTCCAGCAATGAGCTGAAGCGCTTCGAGTCCAAGGCCTTTCCATCGAAATGAGGGTTCTCGAAACATGCGGTGCCTGAACCTCAGTGGTCGCGGACCATAGGAAGCTTTACTGGTCTCTCGTCCATAGGCAGTCTGTAAGCACCACTTTGCTGAGTTTGTCTGGCAGCACACCGAGCTCCTGCAAAAGAATGATACTTAAAGACGTCATTCGGTCATTTCGGTCATGGTTCCGCCGTTCCGGTCCTCATCTGCAAAACCGCAAAAGGAAAACCCTTGGAATGGCGAAGCTGCCTATGGACCTACCAGGACTTACCTCTGAGGTCGGACTTGAACTGTCGTGGCTCTCCTTCCAAGTGTTCTAGCTTTAGCCCTCATCGCCCTCTGCAATGCCGCCCGATATTTCTGATTTCGAGCAAACCGACCTGCGTATACGGACTCTCACAGCGACCCTACAATCCATGCACCGATCTGAACCTGCAGTGCGCACTCGACGAGATCTTCCCCCTTTTTTGCGTCACCTGGCGACTCTTCTCACCTGCGGGGGCAACAAGGCTTGTATGGCTGCGCAGGTTGTTGCTATCACTGGAATTGTTGAGGAACGTGGTGTTAAAGCCTTGGTGGTGACCCAAAATGCGGCAGCAACGCAATCAACACCGTTCTCCTTGAAGGGACACAAGGTCGCGAAATCAAATGAAACGTTCGACACAATAATCTCAGGGTGCGCGTCACCGTTCTTTCCCTGATAATGTGTTCATTTCTTTCCTCGCTGCTAGCGATGCCAATGTTCCCCTGAACCAACACATCGTTGACCTCCTGGGCCTCTTGTCATCTTACGATCGGACCGATGCGAGTCAAATCATGAGCGTCGCGAGATTCGTCACTATGCGGAGCATGCACAAACTCTTCGCTCGCTTGACATCGGATAAACAGACCTGGAAGATCCGCGTCGCCGAGATCCTGAAAGACTGGAAGCCTACGGAAAGTGACGAGTCTTTCGAACCTTTCTGGGTGAAAAAACCCATTAACATGGGCATGGAGGAAGCTATGATGGAGAAGAGAGGCGAGGGTGACTCGGAGGAGTGGCTTTTCTCAACGAAGTCTATTGGGGTATGGGCGAACGCCCTCGGGACTTTGTTGTCCCTCCTTGAATCCCACATCAAGGAATATAAAGGCTTTCCTCAGGACCTTCGGGAGCAGCCAATGAAGCCGTCGATAAAGCAGCTGAAGAAGGATGTTCAAAAAATGTTATACTTGATCAATTCCAACGCCGTTTCGTTGCACCGCTTTCTGACAACGCATGTGAAAGTCGTAAAGAAAATCCTGGTGCAGAAATCCATCGAGCACACATTTATGTCTCAAAGTAAGTGCCAAGGGTGTTGGGACGCTTGAACTTGAACCTGAACCTGAAGCCACCGTGGAATTAGAACGAATTCATGTGATTGAGGACCTCGAAAACAAGTGGAAGAAAGAGCTCGACAACCCGACGGGGAAGCTTGACGTGGGAGACGAGATGGACGGTGAGTTTATGTGCTTGAGCTATCAAAGATTTCTGAGCTGGGCTTTGGGTATAGATGAACATGTGGAGCTGCGGCCCGAGGACAGGGAAACTGAAGGCCAACGTGTTTACAGGTACCTTCAGACAATTGCTGCATGGCATGCAGGCATAGCAACCCTGCTCCAGCCTAAGTATGAGTCCATCTTGGCTGGGGTTTCTGTTGGCTTGGTTGAAGTTGCTGGAAGGAAAACAGACTTGATGAACCACGATGAGTTTGTGACAGAATACCTCGCAAGAACTATGACTGCTACATCCGACGATGAAGTCGAAATCCGCGAGATTTTTGCCTCGTTTACTCCCACCTGGTTTACTGGCACCATTCACGCTGAGGCGACTCTGATGGGTCTTCTCACCTACTTCTCTCACCCAGAAACCACCAGCAGTTATATTGGAGACATGGATGCTGATATGTTAAGGACACTCTTTGAGCCGGTGCGCCTTTCTATCTGCTCTTGAATTCTTGCCCAGCTTTACTAACAGGATGGTACTATGCCAGGTATTATCAATGACTACTACACCTACCATCGGTGTGGGCAAGAAGTGTTGCTGGTGCTGCTACAAGCTTGCTCGGCTCCTGAAGGCACGCAATCAAGAAATATTACTTCCTGGAACGCATGGGGTCTTCTACGCTTGGAGCCCACCTCGCATTGGAGTTGACATACAGGTGCTCAAAATGATGGAGCAGGAATTATGGGAGAAGCTGGAGAAGGCGGTCACTGACAGACTTGCCCAGATACCTATGGTCAAAGCCCACTCTCGTCAGAGTTCAGGTTCAAGCACAGATGTGGAATTTCAATGGCCTGTGCATAAGATACAAAATGTCCGCAAGTAGGAAAATTGGTTAGCTCGTGTCTGTCATGCTCTGCTATCGCGAAGAGCAACAGTTAATGAATGACGTAAATATTGCGTGGTCTGCTTGCTCTATCTCAAAAAAAAAAGCCTCTCTGGTGCTCCTTGCCGTATCATATATCGTGTCGGGTGTGCACTTCTTTTCTTCCAACCTCATCAACCATAACCAATCCTCCTTTCCGATGATCCTTATTCGATTGTACATTTGTGTCCGTTGGGTATCGGCTGCTGATACCTCATCTCGATCTCATGGAAGACCTCAACCCTCTTCGTGATCTGGAACCCGAGCTTCTCAAATAACCGTATACTTGCATGGTTCGTGTCGTTTATCCTGGTGACAAGATAACGCGGAGAGATGTTGAGAGGGGATGTGGGCAGGTTGTGCGGAGAGGAAGAAGGAAACTGGGTCGAGAATGCCTCAGGGTATCCAGTCGTATACCCAAGCATGAGCTGAAGTGCTTCGATCGCGAGGCCTTTCCGTCGGAATGAGGGTTCTGTTGGAAATGTGGGGTCAGCAAGCTATTTGCAAGCAGCACTGGAAAACGGGGTCCTACCAGCAATCATAATCTCGACCTCGGCATAGAAACCCTCCTCCTCCTCCTCGTCCGTCAGTGCGACGCTTGAACTTTGTTCTTGCGAAGGAATTGTCCCATACATAAAGATGTTGACGTCTCCAACCATCGGAAGCTTCGCCAACCTCTCGTTTGTAGGCAACACTTTGCCCGCATCGTCTGCCAACACGCCAGGTTCTCGCGAAAGAATGATAAACGTCAATTTATCTTCGTCGACCTGCCATTTCTCTGTTCGAAAAACGTTAGCATCGACCATGCGAGGTTCAGAGTCAACGTACGTTGCATCTCGTACTCCTCCTCAAGAGACAACGGCTCGCTCGCAGTCAGCATCCTCAATTCCTCGTTGAGCATCCATTCGTGGTACTTCTATTGGACGTTTCGTGTAGTTGGTTTGTTGAAGTTGATTGTTCAGCGATTGAAGGTGGGGATATCATACTCCTCACGCACAGGAACATGCTCGGACCTGTACGGAACCAAGACAACCTTGGAGCCTAAGAGAACGGTGTCGACGTTGGCCTTCATCGTTGTCGCAGGTCTTGGGGGAACTTGGAGGGAAACGAAAAGCCGTTGGCAGCGCGTCTCGAAATTCCTTTACTCAGCACGTGATCTCAGCGACCACGACGGGGTTGAACACCCGGCGCTTAATTCATTGGCGCCTGAGCAAGCCTAAATTGGCTCTTAGATCGTAACTCATGGGCATTTATTTAACACACGCCAGAAATTATTTTAATATGGTACAGTTTGTTGTCGTAAAGGCCATTTCTGTCGCGATCATTGTTCAAGCAAGCCCAAAATGAAAGCTTGTAGTAAAGAAGCTGGTAACAAAAAGTGAATGACATGACCGAAAATACAAGGTGCTTTAAGCGCTCACTTACTGGTGTTTATTTCACTCGTGGAATCGCGAAGGCCGCAGGTTCCAAGGGTTGTCTTTGTAAATGTTGAGGTGGGTATACGCGTCGGTTTTGAAACCAATCCTCCATTTGACACCGAGACTCCTGAGGCCCTTGCGCAACGCGTCGACCTCTGGTTTGTTGGTATAATCGTTGACGTAGATGCAGATTACATGTTTTTCTCCCTCCTTGCATGTAGAAACCTTGACGACGCCCTTTTTGCGTTCGACGGTGACGAAATGGAGTATTTCTGCCCCACAACATGTCGATCTTCGATGATTCCTCAAAAACCATCCACTTGCCAGTCACCACGTTGTTTGTCTTTGAGATTTGGTCAACCGTGTCGACGGTAACCCGGCCTGCACCTAGGAGGGCTTGGAACGCTGCCTTCAGGCCGGGAATGTTTTGTCCTGCGATCCCTTCGCTCATGCCTCCTCGCGACGCGTAAATCCACGGTCCATACGCGAACGGTGTGCGGCTTGGCGGCCATCGGGTAATGAATTGGATAATTCGCTGTTGGGTTGAGTTTTCCGCTGTCCAAACAGAGCTGAGATCTTGCGGCGATGCCGGTGGGGCAACCGACCGGGAATTGCTTGTCGAGGTGGGTGTCTCCTGACCATCCACGGCCATCATGGCAACATCTTCGTCCATTGTGGGTGTGCGCGATGTCCGATCTTGGTGGCGATATGGAGAGTGGCGCAAGAGAAGATAAGATCAAATATATTTTGATCACAACGCGTCTCGATTAGATTGATCCTCAAACTCAAGGCCTCACTCCCACAACCCATCTTGTAGACTTCTCGCGGTGTAATGTCATATCATATCTCGGAAATTTATTGACTCATTTAAATAAGATTCCTCAAGCTTGTCGAAGAGTTCTTGAAAACTCGGGCAAAAAACCAAGGCCTCTTTATTTTGTCCAGCAAGGATACGAGGATTAGCAGTGGCCCCCGCCTGTAAATTTTTATCGCGGATCAGTTGCATTGAGCAGTTAATCCGTTCATTCAATAATCCTCCAAACCGGTAGTAGATACTTCCCGCAAATACTAATCCTCCCACTCCCAAAATCCAGTACGAGACGAAGGCCACAAATAGACAACTATGTTTTCCACGCCCTTAGAAACGGGGTCCTTATTACGTCTTGCGACCAACCCTCACCATGGGATCTGTAACGGGACACCTTCCTATACCGCTGACTGCCATGCTTCACTCATCGTACGTACCTTCGCTACAGGATCGAGCTCGCGTCCAGGAATCTATCGATGAAGTGGAATTGGCCATTTCCGCAGTCGACGCCGAACGTCTTCGCGTTCATGCAGCATTAGCAGAGCTCGAGGGTCGCCGTGACCAGCTCGAGGTTACTCTGGCCACTCACCAATCCATTGTTGCCCCTATTCGCAGTCTCCCACAGGAGATTCTTCGAGAAATATTTCGTTTTGCATGCGCGGGTCGCATCGTCCAGTGGCCATTCCACCCGACAGAAACAAGTTTGCCGTGGTTTTTGGGCAGGGTCTGCAGCTACTGGAGAACGACGTTTCTCTCCGTGCAGGGTTTATGGGCCAATATCGACCTCATATTCAACATGAAGTCGCCGCCGAAGAACATGGGCAAGGTGTTGTCGTTTCTGGGGACTGTCCTGGAACGGTCGGGCGAAGAGCTTCTCACCGTTTCCGTGACAGCAGACGGGGCGGGGGTTGACAGAATCTTGGTCGCCCTGTTATATCATTCTCGGCGATGGGCGGATCTATCCCTCCACGTCGAGCGCCTATTCGAGCACTATCCGCCACTCTTTTCGCTGGCGAAGAATAGCCTTCCCAACCTCCGAAGGCTGCACTTGTCCACGTCTCCAAGCCACGTTGAGAACGTCGCCGTTATCACCAACACCGTGCTGGATGCGTTCCAGACGGCGCCCAAGCTGAGAGAAGTGGCAGTCTCAAAGATAGCCAACCCCTTCCGCTTCGTCCACCTTCCGTGGTCTCAAATCACCCACTACACATCCAAATTCAATCATTTCCACGAAGGAGAATATGTGCAGATGCTAGCAGCGATGCCCAAGTTGGTTTTCTTTTCCAGTGAGCGCGAACGCGTGCTGGAGATAGGATCTTCGCCGCCCGCTGAGTTGCCTCACCTCAAATCGCTTACAGTTATAAACAAGGGAATGTACATGGCAAAAACTCTCCGGTGCCTCTTGGCGCCGAACCTGGCTTCCCTTACCATCAACGCCATAACGGCGTTCCCGCAAGTGGACGTGATGGATTTCGTGCGGTCGCAGTGCAAGGACACCCTTACGCACCTCGACCTGACTCTGCCCAACGACACCGGCCCCGGCGTCCTCGCCATTTTGATGATGACGCCGAATTTGACATCCCTGCGTCTGAGCATCGCTAACCCACCGGAGGGTCTCATAGAACGTCTGTCCTATTTCCCCCAGTCGAATCACGGCGTTACGTCGCTGCCCAAGCTTACGGCGCTCGAGTTGGAGTGCAAAGGATGCTCGTATACTGCATCACGGGCAATCACGGATATGCTGGTTTCGCGCATGAGCGGTAGTCGGGGAGATGACGCGACGCTCCAGTCGATTAAAGTGAAGCTGTCGAGCCCTCCTCTTTCCGACTTTGACTCCATCAGAGAAGCCGGGAAATTTGCAGGAATAGATGTCGATATTGAGGTCACTTGAAAAGGACACATATCTAGTGGATGTCTCTGTATTCGATAGCGAAGGTAGTTTTTTTCCCTGCATTTAATGCCGAGGAGGCCGAAGGTGCGCCACACAAATATGATCCCACGCTGTTTCTCGATCACCTTGAGCATTACGTTCCGTGCAGATATGTAGCCCGCTGAAACACAATTTTTTCTCTGAAAGAAAAAAGACAGAGTTGTCTTTCGACGATCGAGACCCCATTCAACTCCCTCAGATTTTCGTGGGGACAAATACGGATTTCAAGTCCAAGCAGCGCAGCAACGCCCTTTGCGCTGGAAAATCGAGCGCATGGTCGTGCGCTCGTAGTGCCAGAACACCTTGACACACCTCGACCATATATCACTATGCCCCGAGCTAAGCGGCGACGGGGAGGGCATGATCGCTGTCCTGTCAAGCATGCCAAATCTAACGTCCCTCAGCCTCAGCTTGGACCAACCTCCGGACGCACTCATGGGGTGCCTAGAGTCCTGTTCACCCGAGCATCCGAGCCTCCTTACTTGGGTATGCATATAAATATGGCGAAGGCGCTGATACGGAATATGGAAGTTATTGCATAACTTGATCGACCTACAAATGGGAACCTGCGAAATTCGAAGAAAGATACAGCTTCAAAGAATAAATTCCCTCGGAAAGGTGTTCCTCTGACATCTTGACTCATCCGACAGTGAGTTTGTCTATCATCCACACCTTGTATTGAACGTTAAACGGGTGTGGAATGGCTATATCCAATGGATGAAAGGCGGTGTTGCGTGCTGCTCGGGGAAAGCAAGACGTGCTTGGCATCTTTCGAAGTGGAGTCTACTTCGAGCGGTCGCACCTCCGGCCGACTCCGCCACCTGTCGGAGGAGTGAAACGAGTAGTATTCCTTGATCCAAGACAGAGTGTGGCCGGTAAAGGTGCCCTAGGCCAGGAGCATCAATAGTTTCGATGTATTTCTCCAACGTGATGCCGGGTCAGAGCTTCAAGCTTCATCCCGAAGTGCCCTCCCATAAATTACAACGGCGACGTTCAGAATTGGTCGTTAGCCTTCAGGTTAGACCAAGCCACTGGACAGGTGGATCGCGACTAGTGTTTGCCCAAACTAGAAGGTTGTAGTTGGATCAGGAGATGAGAGTAACCAGGAATTTGAAGATGCAGCTACAAACGTCGTCCGTACGTCAAAAAATAAATTGTTGCTTCGACTCCTCATAACTCGCGGCGTAAGCTGGGGCATGAGCTCCTGGATACTCGAATTATCTGATTGGGTGCAGCCTTCTAGTTATTTGCTGACTCAGCTGCCTGTGAACGCTGCCAGCGCGGATCCGCATGGGAGACATATACACCAACGCAACCATGAAGTAGACCAGAAGATTCAAGGCGGAAGTGCAGTGGGGCAAGCGCGAGATGACAGGAAGACCCAGTGTGCGTGTTTCTTCTTCGACTTCCTGGAGGCCGGTATCGAAAGCTACTGACGTGTGTAGCCGGAGCAGATGAAAGACATTGAAACAGAGCTTCTCCAAGAGCTTCTCCAGCTGGGGAAGGTCATATAGCAAGCACAGTCCGCTGTTAAATAAATGCTGGAAATCGGCAGCCTTGTCTCGCGGTGGTTGACTGGTCGCCTGGAAGAAGGTCGGCCGGATGTAAGCGACCAACCTGCATCCGGGCATTCTGGTTTCCGCAAAGTCCACGACGGTAACCAATCATTTGATTCCAACACAAATCATGAGGGGGCGGCGCTGTGACGGTGATGACGAGCGGCATTTCCGCTGAAGACGCTCCTTGCAGGCCTGGCCATGGCCAGTGGTCCGAGGCCTACTCTGACGAACGCCCTTCTGGACCAAAAATTCGACGATTTCTGGCTCTGTTCTAGGGTGTTCATCGCCGTCGCTATCGAATGCCAGCTAGCCGTGCTGGAGACAAACGCATGTCCAAAAATTGGGGCGATGAATGACCATAAGGGAGCTCGACGGTCATCCGGAGGTAACGGTTGGTCAGTCGAAGATGCCAAGCCTTCGTCGTGGACAAGGGGAATTTTGGCCGGCCGGAGATGAAATTTTTGTCGGAGGGACATGAATCCAGTCAAGGTAATATCTTCATCGTTTGGGAGGGGAGAGGAGGCAACGAGGAAGCTTTTTGTCTGATTTTCATCGTCGCCTCGCACAATGAGGACGTACAGTGCGTAGCGAGGACATTTGCTCATTGTCTTGCCCAGGAAACCAATCATCGGAACCCATTGTCGGTGCCTGGACCCCGGGCTTCGTATGGCAGAATCCGGTGAACCTCCGTCGTCATTCGCCTGATGGGGCACAACAGCCTGTTGATTTGACAATAAAAGGGGTAAAGCACAATGATGGCTCGGAAAGTTGAACTGAGAGCCCTGACAGTTCAACCGATATAAAAGCCCAGTTCCGTTACTGTGCTTTTTTCTTCCCCACCACAGGGTAGCCTGTCTCCGTCCTCCCCCTCCCGTTCTTTTTTTACGATTCCCGGTCCTTCCTCGCCACACTCTAGCTTCTCGCTGAGCGATCCAACTACCCAACCCCTACCTGTCGTTTATCGCATTTCAACACCCCCGTCCCACCCTAACTCCCGCCCTAACCAACCGATTACAATGAAGACCATCTCCTTCCTCCTCCCCCTCCTCGCAGCGACCTATGTGTCTGCGCATGGTTTCCTGAACCAGATAACGATTAATGGCAAGACATACCGAGGAAACAAGCCCAACCAGCGTAACGACCCCAGCGTTATCCGTCGAGTCTCGTCGCCCAACCCTAATTACGGCGCGAACAACGCGGCCTTGACCTGCGGCCCCAACTCCATCGCTGGCTCGCTTGTGGCCGATGCCAATCCAGGCGACACCGTCACCTTCGACTGGCGAGGCGTCAATCTCAGCCCCGTATGTTGTCAAATCTGTCGAGTCTCTAACGTTGATCCTCATCTATTTTTTTCAGTGGCCGCACAGCACCGGACCCATGTTGACCTACATGGCGTCGTGCGGTTCCACCACCTGCGACAAGTTCAACCCCACCAACGCCCGGTGGTTCAAGATCGGCCAGGCTGGCAAGAAGAGCAACGGACAGTGGTTCCAACAGGATCTCAGTACGTGCCCTCGATACTTCAGCGTCCGCAGCTTCTCATGTCATGTGTTGTGCAGTGAGCGGACAGACTGCCTCGGCCACGATCCCGAAGACACTCGCGCCCGGGAACTACCTCATCCGGCACGAGATCATCGCGCTGCACCTTGCCTCCAGCGGCCAGGCGGAGTACTATCCTGCCTGCGCCCAGCTCCGCGTCGGCGGCAACCAGACCAGCAGGCCCAAGGACAGCGAGCTCGTTAGCTTCCCAGGTGGCTACAAGGACAGTGACGCCGGTATCCGCCTTAACCCCTACACCAACGCGAAGTACGTCTTCCCTGGACCCGCTGTTGCCAGCCTGGTCTCTGGTGGCGCTGCTACTCCCTCTACCGGCAATGGAAATGGGAATGCCAACACGAGCAGCAGCGCTCCTGCTAGCTCTACGAGGGCTAGCAGCTCCACGAAAGTTAGCACCACGACGGCTAGCAGCACCGCGACGGTTCGCAGCACCACGAAGACCACGTCGGCCAATGCCTCCCAGCCCACGAAGGCTTCATCTGGAGGCTGCAGAGCCAGGCGCGCGAAGGTCAGGCGCGGCCCCGTCGACGCCGACACCCTCGCAGACGACGAGGAGATCATCGTCCGCCGCCCCCGGCACGTCAGCCGCATCATGCGCAGAGCCGCCTTCGAGCAGAGCCTCCACTAAGGTGGATATGCTCCCCTTATTCCTACCGGCAGGCCTTCCCCCCTCCCTCCCGCACCCCTCGACTCCCTATCTTGATGATATTACGACTTTTCACTGCCGGTTTCTCGCTGCTCTCATCACTCGTCTCTCTCGCACATCTCGAAGATTCATTTGTATTGGTATCTATCACGCACCGCACATCATGGAGACGTTGAACGTTGTGTACCACCACCCACGCATCCAACCACCTCCCATCTTGTACCATAGGCTTTAAGCCGCCACATTCGCCCGACGTCCCAGAGGCGCCTACCCTTCTCGCCTTCCATCGTACGACCAGTTCGTACAGCGCACGCGATAGTCTCGCATCCACTTTTGACGAAGTAACGACCAGGTCTCGTATACTACTGTCTTTACTAACTCTACTGTATTATCCTTCCTCGACGGTTTGGCGGGTTACAGTAATTGCTTTCATTTTTTATTGGGATTGGATGTAATACAGGCATAACTACCTACAAATCTTGATACAAAAAGAAATTTTAAATGCAATTTTTATGGTTGCAACATTTTTTTTGGTTGTGTCGGTGAGATCAACTTCGCTACTTCCTATGTAGCGCTCATCCAGCTCATCGTCGATTTCTTCGATTCGCTTCTTACTCTCCGTTTCTTGAGCTTCCGTCCGCGCCGACGTCACTTGGCACGTGGAATCTTTACAAACAACAAAGATTCGTCGACGTCGAAGAATCTTATGCTCTTGAACTCGCATCTCGACCTCTAAACAACAAGAAAGCCATTCCTAACGAGCGCTCGAGAACTTTTTGCACACCGAGTCATCAAGCCAGGCCTACGACATGGAAACAACTCCTAACACCACAAACAATGTACCTGGTCAATCTGGATCCTCGTCGTCAGGGGCTGCTCAGAGGCTCCGCGCTCTCTCATCAAGACAGGAGCGAAAGCTCGTAAACTACCTCGACGGGCGCTTTCTAGACCTTACCCGGAATTTCAAGAAACGGTCAGTTCCTTGTTCCGCCTCACATGCCTGGACACTCAAAAGATCCCCCGGGCCCGGTCATCCAGATCGCAGCCCTCATCCACTGTCCAGACCCTATGCGCGTTCCTCGAGACCTCGCGCGCCCTGCTGGCGTTCATCCTCCAAATCCCGCCCATCGACCCCTCGACGAGCCTCCGCACGGCGTACCTCCTGCGTCTCACCGGCGACGTCCTCGGTGCGATCCCGGGGTACAAGCTGAGCGCCCTCGGCGTGCCGGTGCACGCGACGCTCCAAGACCTCCTTGACTTCCTGGACGACCTCGACCAGGCGTGGATTACCGTCCTGCGCGGGCAGGTGTGGGACCCGGAGGCAGCGGAGGGGGTCGATCTGCGGCTTCCCCAACTCCAAGAGACGAATGGGTTGTCGTCGGATGATGCGAACTCGGAATCAGACTCGAACGAGAAACCGCAGAGATCGAGCCCGCCGAGTCAGACCGACCTCGCGAGGCTCCGCAGCTTGCTCTTCTCGGGCGAAGCGACGCTCGAGGAATGGTTGTCCCATGAACGAGACGGAGGCGATACACCTGCAACATTCACCAATGGCGATATCCCAGGCGCGGGCAAGGATGCTGCGGACGATATATCGGTCATGTTGGCTCGGATGGGCCTGCTGGAGCAGTTCGATGCGCTCTTTGTCCGTACGCTCGACCACCTGGGGGGTTTCTCAGACAGAGTCGCTGAGAATTTCGTGCATCCCGGCGAAGAGGTGGTCATGGAGGCACCGATGGTGTTGGGTGGTTGTCAGCTTGGAACGTAGCCAAGTCTCGCAAATTCATTGTGGCTGAACGGGTGGAGGAGCCTCTCGCAGAGTTGGCTCATTCGAGCCATCTTGCGGCCTCTGGTGGCATCGTTGCAGCTTAGAGCGTGTTGGGCGACCGACAATTCGACCTTTGGCCCAAGCGCCCTCGACAATCGTCTCCAGGATCCAACGCGCAACCCGACCTTTCAGCCGGTCCAAGCGACCGTTGCTTTCGAGGCCTTTCATTCGGGCCAGCTATCCTCCTTTATACTTACGCACAATTGGACGCAATGAGTACAGGTGGTTTCATCATTGTAGACGGCTCATTTCCTTTGCCCCTGCGTTTGAATCATTCTTCGGAGTGAAGGATCAACTTGTCGATTAATTCCTGCTCTCTTATTCCAAAGGTATTGTAGACGCACCATCGTTTCTCCAATATACTTACTTACGGCATTGTTCCCTTGACGCTTCTCCTCCTTAGACTTTTTCGAGGGATAATGACCCGGATGTTGTCCAGATATGCACAATGGGCGTCAAGACGCCATTGTCCGGGCCGATTATTTTTAGCGCCACGACGATCACCGCCTTCCGAATTTAGCAAATAAGTTCGTCCAAAGGTCCAATGGTCTTGTTCCCTCTAGGAAAAAGCGGTCCTGAACAAAAATAAACGACTGCATATAATGGCCGTTTTGCAGACGTATGGCCCTTGGAACGCGCCTCGACTTGCACATCCCGTGATGGGACAATGTGGACAATGGTGCCTTGACACGGAATTTGCCGAACACTTAATTTTGGGCTGTGGCATGCAAACAAAAACGTCGCTTGCCTCATGGCCACCGTGTACCAGATTTCGCTATAAAAGCCATGCGCATTGAGGTACGTACACCCCACCGCCTCATTTTATCGTTCCCCCCTTTCATCTTCACGACCTTTTCTCTGTCTTCTAGTCTGCTTCGCTGCGCGAACACCCATTTTAACGACACCAATCCATTTCGCCTTCGTACGACCTGAAGAAACGATGATCAAGACCCTCTTCTTACCCCTCCTCGCAGCGGCCTGCGTCTCTGCACATGGCTTTTTGGCGGACGTTTCGATTAACGGAAAATCATACGCGGGCAATAGGCCCAACGGCAACAATGGCCCCAGCATCATCCAACAAGTCAGCACGCAGGATCCAAACTATGGTGCGGGCAATCCTGCGCTCACTTGCGGTCCCGATGCGAGAGCAGCATCGCTCGTGGCCGATGCCAACCCCGGCGACACCTTTACATTCGACTGGCGCACAGCCAGTCTCGGCAACGTACGTACTCTCTCGTGCTCGATGTTCACCTCGATCTGATCTTTTTGTAGTGGCCTCACAACACAGGTCCCATGTTGACCTACCTGGCCTCCTGCGGCTCGCAGACATGCGACGACTTCGATGCAAGCAGTGCAAAATGGTTCAAGATCCAGCAGGTGGGACGGAAGTCACCCGGTGGGCCATGGGCCCAACAGGACATCAGTGCGTATACTGCTTTTTCGGCCTCGGATCCCCGGGCTCATAGCGTTTTTTGCAGTGAACGGAGATATCGCGACAATTACGCTGCCCAAGAACCTCGCCCCAGGGAACTACCTCATCCGGCACGAGATCATCGCGCTACACATTGCCACCCAGCGCGGCAAGGCCGAGTTCTACCCCGCCTGCGCGCAGATCCGCGTCGGGGGCAGCCAGACGGGCAAGCCCAACGCGAACGAGCTGGTCAGCTTGCCCGGCGCGTACAGCGACGACGACCCGGGCATCTTCACGCCCAATATCTTCAACGCCAACGCGCAGTACGTCTTCCCCGGGCCAGCGATAGCCAGCTTCGTCACTTCCGGCAGCTCGACGCCCTCGACGGGTGGTGGCTCGCAAGGTGGCTCGGGCTCGGGCACGAACACGACGGCGTCGTCTACTGCGACTGCTGGAGCACCCGCCCCTACCGCTACCAAGGCTTCCTCATCCACCAAGACCTGCAAACTGAAGCGGGCTCCGCAGAACGATATCATCCGCCCTCGGCACATCAGCCGTGTCATGCGCCGTCTCGCCTTCAATTGGAGTCACTGATATCCTCATTTCACATCGACACCGCGACACCCCACCCCAATCACACCAAATCTTCACATCTCTCCCATCTTCCCCGGTCTTCTACACAATCGTGTGATACTATTCTCCCGCTATCCTGGCATGATGATCGTCACGACCCGCACGAAGCGAAATGTCTGCTGTATCGATAACACTCTCCTTCATACTTATATTCCTCCTTATTTACTAACGATCTCTGGCCGGTACTTATTTGTATGTACTTATTATCTCCTTGGGATCCTGGTTGTACCATAGAGCAATAATTGCAAAAGATTTCAAACCATTATTCCGTCTCCTCTTGTGCAGAGAATCAGCGTTGAGCGGCGCACCATCTGCGTGGTCAACGTTCAACATTCAGCACCAGCGCACACTGCCCGAGCTGCCCGAATACACGTCTAGCACGCGTTGATTTAAACCTCAAGAGTCGAGGCTGGTAAGATAAACTCTGTAATTGAATGAGAACCACCAGGTTTAACCGCACGCGATTGAATTTTCTGACCGGGGGCCGAGGCGGACATTGATCAGATGAGCTCTACTTAAACACCGGCGACAAGATGCTTTTTTGTTACAATGTGGGGTGCGTGTGCAAGTCATGTAAGGATAGAACTTACTACATACGCAAACTGCTCGACGGTGTACATAGGTAGCGTAAAGTGTCGTAACACCTCGTGCCCCGCAGTCAACATACGCCTACACGTACCTCCAACCGAGAGAACCCACCAGCCATCGAAGTCGGAATCCCTTTGTCTATAGCAGATAGGCTATTCCGGTCCTTTTCGTCCCACAAAACATGCCGATACCCGAACGTACAGGCCCAAGGCATGCATACTGTGTTCCGTTAACATTCCGGCAAGACCTTGGCAAGCACACACATCCTTAAGCCGACGTGAAACTCTAAACCCATGGACGAGAGGTAAATTCGTACCCTATATTTCCCGACCAGGATCAGTTCTTAGGTCATTGAGTCTGGAGGATCGTCGCGAGCTCCGTAAACGAGTCAACGACACAATCAACATCGCCTCCATCCTTCTTGCTCCTAATGTCTACCCCGGTCTCCATTGCGTCCGCGTCCTCGTTGGACCGGCGGACGTAAACCGTCTTCATACCGAGGCTGGCTGCTGCCCGGAGGTCGAAGATGTGTGCTGCTACCATCGCACAGTTCTCCGGAGCTAGAGAAAGGTGACGCATGGCTTCGAGGTAGGCATTGGGGTTCCTAGTGGATAAAATTGCAATCAGCTGCTCGATCGGGAGGGAAGAAGAAGCTGAGTGTGGGTCGGAAGCAGGTGCGAAGGGTGGCCGGTGGGAGGAACAGAAGCTCACGGTTTGAAGGTGTCAAATAGCTCCGTGGAGAATATTACATCCCAAGGAAGATCGGCATGCTTCGCCTGTCGGACGAGATATGGGATGAATAATCTGTTCCAGAAATAAGCTGTCCGATTGCTTACCATGTCTACGAGTAGACGAACGTTTCCGTTCGACAAGGTCGCGATGATTAACTGTTTTTTGAGAGCTCGCAGTCCTTCAACGGTGTCTGGCCATCCTGATGAACGCCGATAAACGCGTAAGTCCGTGATAGACGTTCAAAGACTGCACCACTTGAGCGTGCATTTGATCCTCCTCACCGTTCAGGCGATGCCAGACCAAGTTAAGGTGTTGGCGAGTTTCTTCATCGAAAAGCCCCCCAACGGAAGCCCATTCCGCTGAGCTGAGGAGTTCATCAAGGATCTATTGGCACGCAATCAGTAATGAATAATGGACGATAGAGAGGTGAAAATTATGCAGAGACGTTTCACTGACCTGTCTGTGCATGGCATCAACGTTGAGAGGGCCAGATGCACGTCCCGCTGCTATGTTTCGCCTGGATATATGCGGTCAATGTACGCAGCAAAGGAGGCTCAAGGGTCATTGCCAGCAGACGTGTTCGTCATGTAGCCACTACGCCATGCTTGAGCGAACTTGTGCCAATCTGTGTCTTGAGGAGGCAGGTTATCCCCCCGGTCCAATGGAGCCATATGCAACTAGAAGCACACCTGTAGGGGCACCGTGCCTCTCGCCTAATACTCTGAGCTCTCCGACAACGCTTGAGCGCCAGTCAACGACCGTTCCGAAGACATCGAAGATGAGAGCCTTAACATCGTTCATGACCTTCATTCACGTCGATCTCGATGTTCAAGGTCTGGGATAACGACTAGGAAGATATTCGTCCCGTGACCCAGAATCATGTGGACGAAAGCCATTTCCTCTCTCGAAAAAAAGGCCCGATTAGATTGGTAGTCGAAGCAGTTGTTGCTCACCACACCAGTGCACGTTCGCGTGAAATGACTGTCGTGAACTTCTCCGAATTCAACACTTGGTGACTTGTTGTCCCACTCATCACCCGAGAAAATCCGATAAAACTTAATGTACACCCCAGAACCCTCAACACGGCTGAACGCTGCTCGGACAAATCTTGCGGCCAACGATCCGGAACAAGGGATGTCCAACAACGCCGGTAGAAGCTTCATTGGCCTCTCTACTACGTCGACATCTGCTGAAACTACGATATGCTGTCGTCTGATTCAGCTGCATGGATTTCTTGCCAATGATCGATAAGGCTTGAAGGAACTGTCCCACCCTCATCCTCAATAATTGCAACTTCCTGTAACCAAAGTCAGATACGCCGGATGTTTCTCAAATAATAAATCTTACCTGCTGCCGACAGTAAGAATCTAGTGCTCGAATCGTGGCAACGTAATGCGGAGTATTCGAAAACCGCTGTTCAATCCACCACGAAAAGGATCGATGTTCTTGAAGGTAGGCGACAATTTCTTGCGAATAAGACGCCCTTTTTAACAGGCCGGGAAGGATCTTGAACAGAAACCAAACTTCCATGGAGTCATCCAGGCTGAAAGTCCCCGTATTTCGCCGAGCACTTCAAAGGACAATGAACCTGCGGATCAGCGAAGAGAATAGACGGGTTTATTTTGATACTCACTGATACAAAGAGCGAATCACTCGGAGCGAAGCTCGGGCATATACCTTGGTACTGCCCCAACGTTTACCAGCACGTTCCGAGCAGCCAAACCAATCGCGCGCAATGTCGCCAAACTCCTTTACATGCCGGAAAGCGAGGTCGACAGCACCAAATTTGGAGTCATCATAACCTGTCTCGAAGTCGACTAGAGATTTCCAGAGAGAAGGGAATGGCAGGATGGAAAGTTGGTTCGTATCAAGACCCACAACCCAGCATGCAAGTAACTCAAATAGTTCTCCTCCAGGTGGTACCTTGTCCGCGATCGTGTTCAGGAATTGATCTACTGCTCGTAGATGCTGAGTATATAAGGTATCTAGGAGTCCTTCAGATCTCTGCACGGAGGGATGGTTTTCACTATTGAACATCGGTTATAAGATCCTTCATCACTCACCAACGATGTCAACCAGGAGAGATAGTCCAAGAGGGTGGTGTAGATTCCAGGTATCTCATCACCCGAAACTTGATTGAGCCACGTAGCGAGGTCGAATTGTCGTAAGCGAAACAAAAGGTTATCAGTAGGATCACCAAAACGACAGTGCAAAAAAATATTCCTTCTCGCGTAATTGGACGTGGCAAGCGAATGGCACTGGCCGACCCCATTCCCGACATTAGTGAAAATATGTATGCATGCGAGCGCAAGTTCGGTATGGACCTCGCTTGGCTTGATGTGCAAGTTGCCGGATCGAAAAGGGTCGGAAAGAAAATCGCACAGAGACGCATGGAGAACAGATATCTCTGAAAACTCAGCTTCGCGCTGCACTGAGGTCAAAGATCGGAGCTCATTCAACACGAGATACAAATCTTCCTGGCCGATGAACAGCAGTTCACATAGAAGTTGTGGGTTCCGAAGCTTGCCCCTGTTGCTTTCTACGAGAAGGCCCACTCCGTCTTCCATGGTGGAAACTCCCCCATCGTAAGCACACCCAATATGCGTTTTGTGAGGGCAACATTCTGGACAGCGCCAAGAATATGAAGGTAGAGGCTGTCGAGTTCCGCAAATGGGGCCGCCGAATCGAAGATGAATTTCGATGCCCCCAGCACGACCTGCAGCCGCTCGAGCGGTTTGTGCTGTGGGGATTCGACATATTTCATCACAGTCGACACATAGATGAATTGGCCTGATGACTTGAGCACTAGTTGGTCGATAACTTGAGCAGATGGCCACGTAGATGGAATGAAAGTAGATAGAGGGTGAGTGTTACGGATGGCAGCGAACTTGTCCAAAAGAAACAGTCTTATATCTGCCTCAGATTGATAGGCAACGTTGTCCAATGGAATCCGAACCGCTTGGGCATCGATTTGGGGTGAATTGAAGGCTGTAAGAATCTGGAATTCAGACCGACTGGAAATGAGGAAGATGAGAGGAAGATTGTGCCGAGACAGCGTGGAGATGATTGTCGTGAGGATATAGTGCTGCATTGCGCCTTAACACTTGTCCAATCCATCAATGATGACGAGCTTTGGGGGTAACCTGGAAGGCTTGGGCAGCACTTGGGGCGAGAGAGAAAGAAGCACGGGTTGTGCAATTAATTTCTCGAACTGTTCGCCGAGATCGCGCTCGAAGATGGATGGATCGTTCTCAACAGCTTGCCGCACATGATCTCGCGTCGAAGGTATAGATAGGGCGAGTTGGTACGCCAGAGTCGCCACTATTCCTTCAACGCTGTTGTGTTCGAATGGTGTCCTCGAGAAGAAGAAAGTGGCAACCAGTAATCCTTCTCCGTAGTACCTTTCCGCGATTGTTCGACAAATCGCGGACTTGCCGGCTCCAGCTGCGCCATAGAGCCACAACAAGGGTTTCAGCCGAACAACTTGGTGTTGCGTGACCCATTCCATTATGGTTTCGAGAACAGAGGTGCGTGTGTTAGGGTGACATTTCGGAGCGTCAAATTGTTCGCTAGAGTTGTGGAATGCGTTTGATACTATTCGGCCATGTAATATGTCAAACCCTGCAGATATGGAGTCTCAGTAAGGACCTTTAAACGCTAGGGATAACACACCGTCGCGCGGGAGCCATTGATGATGGTGGATCGTTGCACCGGTTTGGTTGAATACGCCACCGTGGATCAAGACATTGTCGCTATTCGAGAACATCAACCGTAGCGGTATTGGCCAAGGTTGAGATTAGATCGAGGATGAGGGGTCGATGAGCGGGAAGGGCATTGGATCGCAGAAGGTGGGGGGCTAAGGAGATCAGCTTGCGCCCTTATCAAGGAAAGAGGACATGGGAATCCGGTCTAAATGGGTTAAGTATTAGCTGTGGGCGATGACTGAAGGCGGTAAACGGGCATATACCCTGATGAATGGCTGCGAAAGATGACGCGTTCATGTTAGGTATTTATGGCATTCAGTTGGTTGGGCAGTGGAGACTATGGCGGCGGTGATTGGGTACTCTGCAAAGGGCTTGCATTCGTACCGGTCGAGGGTCCGGGGAGTAAAAGTTTGGAATATGGCATATGTAGAATCAGTGAACTTGGTGAAGTGGGCCATTGCCTCGGCATGGCATGTACGAGTCCAAAATTGGTGAGGTAGGCCTCTACGGTAAAGCAATTGTACTTTTTGGTAAGACTGTAGATTGGATGGAGGGCAGATGGAGGGTGGTTGTCAGTTAAACGTTTTAACTGTAGCACCACAGGCTTGGGTCGTGACGGTGCAGCTAGGTATATTTAGAATTTCACGTGACAACCCGGAGTTTGCCGGCTGACGACTGGACGAAATTTGGCTGGGACGAACCATATACATAAGTAAGAACGACACGGCGTCAATCCCTCAGCAAATTCGTGTCTACTCCCATCTCGAAAGTCTCCTACTAATCCTGGGCAGCACAACACTTTGTTTGACAGAACAAATCGCGCGGGCGGGAGGCAAACTAAATATAGGGCTATGTTTACTCTAATTGGGCAAGGAAGTGATCGTACAACAAAGGTGCGTACACCCAACTGACGAAAGACTTCCAACACTCCCAATAAACCTCTTTCACTTATTTCCGAATTAGATCAGGATCATGGAATATGAGCATTCGCTAAATACAACACGTATCAAACAAAATCACATCCAAGACATACTAAATATTAGCGTAAGTGAGCCAGCGGGAGTGTAGCTACCAGAAATTAAATACGACTATCATACACGGGGGGAGGGGGGATCGGGACGACCAACCGACTAACCAAAGGGGACAAAGAGACATGAGCAAAAAATAATTTCTCCTTTTACACCTTGTTCATCTCCTCGAGCTCTCTTTGCAGATCGGGATCGATCTCGTCTTCGTCGGTGATACCAGTCAACTTGGTGATAATGGCAGCGGCGTACAGATCAGCAGAGACGTTCATCGCTGTCCTGAATCGGTCGATGAACCAGTCAATGGTGACGACGACGGCATACATTCCCGTAATGGGAACGTTGACGCTCTGTGCGATCATGACGGTGAGCACGAGAGAGGAACTGGGGATGGGTGAGGCGCCGATGGAGGCGAGGGTGGCGAGGAGGAAGATAATGACGTATTCAGCACCGTTCAGTGTGATACCCTGGGTGGCGGCAAGGAAGACAACGACGACGGGGAAGTAGATGGCGGTACTGAGAAACATAAACTATCAGCTTTGTGATTAAATATTAAAGATCTGTACAACTCACCCGTCCATGTTAATCAAGCAACCAAGAGGGACGGTGAACTTGGCAACAACGTCGGGGGTACCCTGGGCGACTACACACTTCATGGTGACAGGCATGGTGGCAGCGGAGGAAGCAGAACCCCAGGCAGTAATCCAGGCGGGAGAGCCTTTGAACCAAAGCTTGTAAGGGTTCGCTCTGCAAACGGCGATGTAAATGAGGGGAATGATGATGAACAAGTGGAGGAAAATGCCAGTGAGCGAACCACCAATAAGGATACCCAAGTTGACACCAATCTCAGCAATGTCCAACTGGAACAAGTTAGGTAGAATGAGGAAGAAGACACCGATAGGCGCGAGCTTGATGAGGAAAGTAATCACAACGATGATGATAGCCTCGATTTCGGTGACCGCCCTCATCAGTGAAGAATTGGGTCCCTTGATGAGGTAGCCGACTACACACGCAGTGGTAAGCACAGCGAGCAGGCTGTCGGTAGCGAAAGCATTGACGATGTTCTGAGGAATGAGCGTGTCGAAAGTCGTGACTACGACATCGTGGACCTTCACGGCCGATCTATCGCTGATCGTCTTCTGGTCATCATCGTCGACTGCCAAACTGTCTTCTCCAACAACAGTCATCAGGCGGCTCCAAACAAGCGCGACCATGAGAATACTGTGCAAGATAGCAATGCAAGTCGTGACAACGTAATAACCGATCGTCCATTTGGCGAGAACTGCACCGCCCTTGGTCATGGCCTTCAGCTTCTGAATGGCCGAAATCATGGCAGTGACGATCAAAGGCAAAACTGTGGGCAGGACTCATCAGCGAGAAAATATATCAAGGTTGCAAAGTACAACTCGCCCACTGCTCTGAGAGCGCGCAACCAGAGTCGTCCGGGGATTCCGACAATCGCGGTGGCGGCTGCGGGAATGTTTTCGACCGTCGTGGAGACCGCAAGTCCGATTCCAACTGCAAGGGCAGCGGCGATGACAATTTGGAATGCGGATCCAGGCTCCTTCACCGAGTGCCACCACGGCCGCTTGGGTTCTCGCACAAGCTCGTTCTCGCCATCCGGGGTAGCTGAGGTATCCTTCGCATACCCGTAGACGTCGGCCTTCACTTCGTTGATTCCTGACATGTTGAACGCGAGTTCGGTGGGCAAGCAGAGGGAAGCGGTCAAGTAAGGGTGAGGACGAGTACCAAGAGACTCGCGAGCTGGAGAAAGAGAAGTGATCAAAAAAAGAAGCAAATTTATATAACGGAGCCATCCCCATTTTCACCCATGGACTGCTGTAAAGGTTTGGCGCCGAGAAAAAGATATCCTTATCGTTCATTCAAGCTCTCTCGGCAGCACAGCACCGATAATGAGCATCTCGCCGCTCCATGCCTAGACGACAGCCAAACGTCAAGTTGGCCGTTGTGACCAGTCTCCGAGCCTCGCAATCGCATTCTTGAAGAGTTTGAAAGCATCATGATCATGAACCATTTGAGGGAGGCTACAGCCTAGTATCAAGCAGTTGTCGACCAAGTATTGGAGCCGTACTAGAGCCCCAGCATTTGCCCAGAGCAAAGTTAGGTCACTGGTCGGGGTGTAGAATGACCTACGCCTAGATGCTTGGCGAAGTTGTACGGACAGCTCGTTCCTTCAAAAGAGGCAAGATATCGTCAGTTCCCAAGACACGATAAGACGTGACGCATAATGGAAGCCCTCTTCTAGAGGCATCTCTCTTGAGAAATATAAGAGGTATTTGCGCTGTACATATTCGTAGACGAAGCAGCAGAACATAGGAGCAAAACATAGAGGAAAGCAGCAGCAGAAAACAGCAGAAAGAGGAGAGGTCACGAGTAGAGTCACAGCACGGACGAACGGCAACTGAGTCCAAAAATAGGCATTTGTCCGTTCCAAGAAAAATACCCACATGCTGTTTTTGATCAATGATTACGCCTTTAGGTTGTGTATCGGATATCCCCCATGGGTTCTTAAAGTGGTGAATTGGCGACAGGACCGAACGCGACTTTGGGGATTTCACATTATTTGCCGCGTCTGAAGTGAAATCTGGCAACGCACTATAGTCCTCGTAATCATGAAAGGCGGAAGTTGAAGAAAAATGCCAAAGTCATTGGCCCACAACGCTAGGGAAACGAAGAAAGAGAGGAGGAGGAGGTTTGATTAAAGAGGAAGTTGTTCTTGAAAGTGGCGCAAACAGCGTCGGCTTGATTACATAATGCATGTCTCATTCCCGGCTGTCCCTCTCAACCCCTTCGTCGTACCATACTGCAGCATACGCAAGCCAGTGGCGTTTCCAGTTTCCTAATCAATATGCAGGAAATTTATATTTCCAGATCAAGCAATTCGAATTTCGCAAGCTGTATGCTCGAATCTGAGCTCTGAAGAGAGTTCTTTACTAAGGACTCATCAGGATGACACTCTCCGAGGAAGTGGCAGTGACTCCCTCTTCCACCCCCCATGCGAGCCGGGAAGTGATCGTGATCCTTTAGGAACTGAGCGAGCTTGTAGCAGCACCAGCAACACTTTTTGGCCACACTAAATTGCAAGAGTGCTACGCTGATTGAAACGGTCAACATGACAGTGGGGTTTTCAGGAATGCAGACCATGTAACATGGATTAGGTCAGTTTCCTCTTCGTAGAAGCGCGCTGTACTAGGCATGAGCAGGTTGCATTTGCAACTCTCCTAGAAGTAGACATGTTTTGCTTGCGGCTGTTTCAATGACTTCCACAACCGTACTTAAACCTGAGCTCTGACGAGAGTGTGATTTCACAAAGGATCTCTGACGAAGGTTGACAGCGACTGCCTCTTCCAGCTTCTCCCATAATCCCCGCTCCATCATTTTGAGAACCTGTATATCAACTCCGAGGTGAGGTGGGCTCCAGGCGTACAAGACCCCATGCGTACCAGGAAGTAGTATTTCTTGCTCGCGTGCCTTCAGGAGTTGAGCAAGCCTGTAGCAGCACCAGCAACACTTCTTGCCCACACCAATACTAGGCGTAGTGGTCATTACGAGCATCTGGCGTCATGCCATCCTCTCAGTAAATTTCGGCAAGAATTTGAGAGGAGATAGAGATGCACACCGGCTCAAGGAGTGTCTTTAATCCATCAGTGTCCATGTCGCTAATACAATTGCTGGCGGTGTCTGGGTGAAAAAAGTAGGCGAGAAGATCAAAGTCGCCTCAGCGTGAATGGTGCCCCCAAATCGGATGGGAGTAGCCGATGCGAGGATGTCCCGAATTTCGACTTCGTCGTTGGATGTCGCAGTTGAGCCTCTTGCGAAGTATTCTGTAGCAAACTCGTCGACCTTCATCAACCGCGTTTCCCTTCCGGTAACTTCAACCAAGCCAAAAGAGACACCAGCCAAGAGGGCCTGATACTTAGGGTGGAGCAGCATATCTATTGCGGCATCCCACGCAACAACTGTCTGAAGGTACCTATAAACACGTTCGCCTTCGGTTTCCCCGCCGTACTGGGAAATCAACTCCACGTGCTCATCTATAGTCCAAAGCACGGCTCAGAAATTTCTAATAGGTTAAATGCATAAACATACCGTCCATCTCGTCGGCCACGTCGAGGACATGTAATTCTTCTGGATCACGGTGACTTCAGCTTCTGGTTCAAGCATCGCAACGTGCTTTTGGGCTTACTTCGACGCCAAAGTGCGACCTCAATGGATTTCTGAGCTAAGATTTTCTCTACGATTTGCGTATGATTTGACAGAAAGCGATGCAACGAGTAGACGATAGTGTTGATTTCATGCACTGTTTCTCGAACATCCATCTTCAGCGGCTCGGTCGACGGTTTCATCGGTTGCCCCCAAAGGTCACCAGGAAAACCTATGTACTCCTCGATGTGGGATTCAAGGAGGGACAGCCCCAAGAGTGTTGGCCCATACCCCAATAGTGTTCGTCGAGAAAAGCCATTCCTCCGACTCGCCTCTCTTCTCCAACTTAGACTGCATCCTATCGGTGTGGATGGCCCATTGAGGTTTCTTCACCCAGGAAGATTCGAAAGGGTCATCGCTTTCTGCAGGCTTCCAATCTTTGAGAACCTTGGTGACGCCTGTCTTCCAGACCTTTTTATCTGATGTCAAGCGCGAGAAGAGTTTGTGGAGGCTCCGCATAGTGACGAATGTTGTAAGGCTCTCGATGTGATCCCAAGCGGCCCGATCGCAGGATGGCAAAAGACACAGGAGGTCAATGATGTGTTGTCTGAGAGATACACTAGCTGGACTGGAGGCGAGGAAGAAAATCAACAATTTGTTAGGAAAAGAATAGCGGCACGCACCCTGAGATTATCGCGTCGAACGGTTCACTCGATTTCTCGATCTTGTGTCCTTTCAAGAAGAAAGCTTGTATCGACTCCTTTGCTGCTGCACTCTCAGTAACCACCAAGACTTTAACACCGTTCTGTTCAATAGTTCCAGTAATAGCAATGGCCTGTGCACCACAGGGGTCCTTGCTGCTCCCGCAAGTGAGAAGAGTTGCCAGGTGGCGCAAAAATTCGTTGAGTGCCGAGTGCAGGTTCAGCTTTCTGCATGGACTGCAAGGTCGCTGTGAGGGTCTGTATACGCAGGTCGATTTGCTCGAAGTCAGAAGGATTCGAGGGCATGGTAGAATGTCGATGAAGACTACATAGAGCTTGAGCTTGAGCAAGCAGAGTGAAGGCATCCGTTTCCAACGATTATTCATTGCTCAGCCTAGGCCTAAGGGGTCATATGACAGTAGACTCGCGTCCGACCAAACGTGGGAAATATCGATAAAGTTGCCGGCCACAGAGGAGCTACCGCTTTGTCCCAAACCACGATGTCGTTCAACTTCGCGTGTTATTTTCCTGCCGAAAACCCTATTTTTCTTAGTATTAACATCGATGCGGAGCAGCGAGTAGACCAACTAACGAAGGCGATTCAAGCAGAGCTCCGATTGTATGGTCAAGAGGTCAGCCTTAGGGACATCCTCCTTTTTAAGGTAGACCTGTTCTTTCTCTGGTAGACAGGCCACTGACCCACAGCAGACGGATGTTCTCCTGGATCCCAAAGAAAGCCTGCAATCGCGTTCTCTTCTGTGGCTTCATCAGCAGCCGACAGACAGTCACCTCGAGAGATACGCCGGGTTTCAACCGTCTTTCCCAGTGGACCCCATCCACCATCCGATGACATGCTAGATATCATCATTGCCGATACAGAGGGTATGTTCTACTCTGTCCGTCAGTCCTATCTCACTGATTCCACGTTAGTTCTGGAGTTGCGCGACGGCCTGGGTGACCCATATGACCGCTATAAGAGGAAGATCAAGAAAGGTGCGCAATGCTGATATCTCTGTGTCCGCTTTTCTCATCCTTATGACCTAGCTCTCGACAAGTGTCTAAATGATCTGCCCCCTGGTTATTCTCCGTCTGAAATAGTCAAATCTCCCAAGATCCAAGCCCAACTATTGGGTGGTAAAGAGCATCTCATCCACCTGGGTCGGCCTGGTGGAGCCCCTGCCACGATTTTTAACCCCGCCCTCGCCGGCCTGCAAAAGCGTCTTGACGATCTTGAAAAAGTCGAAGTTACCCGTCAAGAAATCGAGCGTGCTGCCGATTACATCCAAGAGACGGTCAAGTTTCACGATGATGAGGCCCAGCTTCAGAGGGTGATTCAAGACATACTCGATCAAGCAATTGGAGGGAACGGCGATTGGGGACGTACTCTTGATTGGGCAGATAATATCAAACCTGACCGTCCTTGGTGGTATCAAGCATTTCTCATTCTGGTTTTGGAGCTCAAGAACACGTTGGGCCTGTCTGGGGACGCCCTTCTTCAAGCCGTCATTGATTACAGCAAAGTAGTTTCGCGAGAGAAGGTTTGATGTCATTTATCTACCGCTCTGAATCCTGTGGCTTACCGTTGCTTGCAGTACATGGATTTCCGGGGGCTATGTAATTTCCCTATTGTCCTCATCGGTGCTACTGCAAATCGCCTTGAGATATCCGTCGCCGTTTGCGTAGGACCGATCTATGTGACCAAGTTGCTCACGCTTGACCTCTCGTTGGGGTTTCATGCTTCCGATAACATCATCCGCCTGGCCCGTGTCTTCAATGTCTTGTCATCCTGTCGGACAGATCTCCAAGATTACTACAACAAGCTCGACAAATCAAAGACTCCCAAACTCTCTGCTCTATATCCCAGCCCAACACTTGCCGATCCATCCAAAGTATTGCCCCAACTTACCTACCGGCAATTTCTGACCCGAGCTGGTCAACCCACTTCTAGTCTGGTGGACTTGGGGAACACGACCTCTGCCTTGTACATTGCCACCCTCGGCGACACCGACCAGGAGGTTATTGTCAAATTCACAGCACGCTATAACAAGGCGGCGCATTGCTTGCTTGCCGACGCTCAGCTTGCTCCGAAGCTCCACTTCTGTGAGCGTGTTATCGGTGATCTATTCATGGTTGTTATGGATCGTGTGGATGGAAAGTCTGTTTGGCAGCTTCGGCAGGACAAAGAACCAGTTCCTGCCACCGTCTGGAACAAGGTCACAGAGGCAGTACAAATTCTTCACGGAAATGATATTGTCTTTGGGGACTTGCGGCACCCAAACATTCTCTACATTGCATCCAAGGACCATGTAGTTCTTGTGGATTTCGATTGGGCTGGGAAGGATGGGGAGAGCAGATATCCGGCCAGCCTCAACCTGGCGAACATCTGGTCAGATGAGGTTTTGCCTAATGGCATTATGCGCAAATCCCATGATTTATGGCAACTGGAGCGGTTGGAAGGTAAATCTGGTTCTTAGCTGCCTATGCCACTCTGATCCCTTGCACTTCCACTGATGGACTGTTCCCTGATACACCTCCATTGTTTGATACATCCAATAGCACATGAATACCTTTCTGCAATGAGAAACACTGTTGCGCTGTCTTAGGCAACATCCAAATCTGAGATGCGTCCGGTTACTATCATTTGTATCTATTAGGTCTGTCTAGGGCTCTGACGTCATGACCATTACACATCAGCTGCAGACGGCATGGTAGATGTCGATGAGGACGACATAGAGCTTGAGCAAGCAGAGTGAAGACATCCTTATCCGAGTCATAAGTAGGACTAGAGGGATACCCGTGCGTTGCACGGGGCCGGGGTTTCAAACTCCCTGTCTCCTTGTCTCCTGTTTCGAATATTTTTGTTCTTATTTGCTTTTCCTGGAGGGCTTACTTATTTATTTACTCCCCCAGCCCGTTCGGCGAGAGACTTCTTAGACTTGTTTTTCTTTATAGTATGAAAGCCCCGTATTTCATGTTTTTGTGCAATAACATTCAGGTCTCGTCTCTTTTTGCTCACTCGGGGCCCTCGTCTCTCATGCTCGTCTCTTGTCGCCTTCCTCTCCTGTCACTCGTCCCATTTCAACCATTGTTCAGGGCCGTCGTTGCCCCATCTCTCGATCCCGCCATCGTCTCGAGATACATTCCCGGGCTTAGCCCTACCATCCTCCGTTTTCGGGTCTTTACAGACCAAATGTTGGTCTACGTCGTGGCCACCTACTCTGTTCTTTCCTAGAGAACTCACTTCCTCGCTCCTCTGTTTCTGAATCGTGCGAGCCATGGTTAGAGCCGCATAATTGCGGAATCCATCCCCACCCGTCAGCAGGCGGTGATTCGGATGTGTCCTCATTCATTCTTTCCCTCTACACGACCACCCATAGGCACATCAATGCCCGTGCATATGCAGTGGCGGAACGCCGGAAATCTCGAGAACTGCGGCCCGCTACCGATGAGCCAAGAAGGGAGCTACTTCACGCTGCTGATCCAGTTGAACAGCCCAAGCGACACGTCAAAATTAGAGAGGCATCAAGGTCAAACATGCGTAAATTGCAGCTCAATGAAATGGAAGAGCACAATATCGAAGAGAAAGGTAACAGTTGGCATACCTTGTTCGTTTCCGTGTTGAGCAGCTCGTTCCCGCTCCCGCCGCGCACGTTGTGCAAGAGTTCGGTTTGATGGCTGAGGTGCCTTTGGCTCCTGCACTTGCTGGTCTAGACGAAAGGAGTGAGCATGGTTTTATTACCAATGAGGTGGGAGAACCATGTGAGCCCACCTTGGTGAATGCCCTCTCGTGCAGCTCTTTCGCGCTCTCGACGCGCACGCTGTGCAAGGGTTCGATTTGATGGAGGAGGTGCCCCAGCATTCGATGTGGGCAGGTTGGAATCTGATTGGTATCGATGAGAGAACGATGTAATGGAATACGAATGACATACCTTGAAGCTGACCCTGGGCAGCTCGCTCTCTCGCTCTGCGCGCCTTTTGAGCAAGGCTCCTCCGTGTGGCTTGCATCTGTTTGAGTGTGGCAGGTGGGGTAGGAGGTCCTTCAACGCAATCCTGCGTCAGTAAACACGCTGCTGAGGAAGGGAATAGAATGCTTACCCTGGTGCTCACTCGCTGCCAGCTGGGCTGTCTTCCCTCGTGTGACCGCCAGCTTCACTGCAGCTCTGAGAGTTCGGTAGTCAGCGAGCAGCAGGCGGGTCTTCGTGCCGTGCCTCTCTGCTTTGAGCTCACTCGCGCTCTTGCTGCCGTTGTCGTTCTCTGTGTTCAAATGCTGCTACGATGGCGTCGTCGAGACTGATTAAGTGCTGCTGCCAATCTGACATGTCGGTCAATGTTGAATGCCAGTCGAGCGGGCTGAAGGTGACGTACCTGGGGCCTCTGCCTGCTAATTTATACATCTCATCGCAGCCCGCTATGCAATGGATTGGTCAGCCCACAGTGTGCAGTGGCTGGCAGTCGAGAGGCTGACCATCTTGACGTTGTCTGCGAGCATGGTGGTTCGAGGTGGACGCTGGTCGAGTGGATGGGTCGAGGTTCTTCGCGAGCACAGTCGTTCGTGAATCGAGATGGACGTGTAAGCGATGATCGACGGACACGGCCCGGAACGGACAGCGCGAACAGACTGTTGGTTATCCACGTGACCTGGATAACCAACACTTTGTTCGCTTTCCTATCTAATCTAGCGAGATAATAACGTTGAAGGATAAGCAAAAGTTGACTCCGTCAACTTTTGAAGTTGTCCACCAGGAAAGGGATACCGTTTTAGTATTTAGATAGATCAGGGGCGTCATACAGTGGATTGCCGTACACTTTCATGTCCTTCCGGCAAAGGTCAGTATAAAGGATGACGGCCTCCTCGATGTACTTTAGAGCCACGTCATACAGTGTGAATTGCCTAAACTTGCATGCCCAAGGAGATATAAAGTATGGGCAAGGTCGGCATTGAAAAGAGTTCCTGGATAGACAGCGCATACGTGTCGAAATTGGACAAGGGCTTTCTTGGTTACGTCGTGCGCTTCCGCGGGATCCATCTCCGCGTCGTTGAGGCAATATGATAATTGCAATGACGCCCTGCCATAGTCGTACATAATTCGTTCAGCCCCGGTAACTTCGAGGCTGTCAAGGTCTGGAGGAGAACAAGTGGGACTTAAAGGCGTAGAAGAACTAGAACAAGTGGGAGATGGCGTTGATGTTGTCCACGAACTGTATTGTCGCTGAGGTGTTGTCTCTGAAGTTGGCTCCATCATGAGCACCTTCCAATCGTCGATCTCTGAAAGCATATTTTCAAAGAGGGAGGCGGCATCTTGTGCATCCTTTAACGCATCCTTGACTTCTCCTTGAGACCGCAGAATTGAGGCTCGGGTCGTCAGAGCTCGTCCGAGTTGAGCTCGGAATTCCTGCGTGTCACCGACTTCTTCCAATTGCCGATTGATGGCCATGCACTCGTTGGTTGCGTCGAGGGCTTCCTGAAAGTGGTATTCATCAACATAGTACCGCGCTAGATTGTGCAACTAGGTAAGGGCGATAAAGCTGTGGATTGGCTTCGACGAGGGTTCTGAAAAGGTTGACGGTCCACAGGCCAACGGTAGCAGCTTCTTTGACCATATGGAGGTAGTAGAGTCGTATTTCGAGGTTGACCATGTCCTAAGCACCCTCTTGGATGGAAAGATGTGTCGACCGTCGCTGCAAAGCGTGAAGAATCTCGAGCGTTTTCTTGACAACCTCTCGATGGGTTTCTTCTCGAGGTTTCGCAATCGATCTAAGCGTGATAATGGATTCGAAAGGTCGAAGATACCCATCAATCGGCTCCTCGCTGGGATAAGACTCTGAAGAGGCGAGTTCCTTCAAGGATTTATCGATCGAATCAACTTGAAGGCGCAGGTACATGTCCTCGAGTGCCGAAACAACAGCTTCCGACCCGAAGGGGAGTCCAAGAAAGGGCCGAGGAGGCACTGAGTTAACCAGGTCGATCTTGGTGACGGCTTCTTCGATATGCTGAAGTTCCGTGACTTTAGAGTGGTCGAGCAGTAGGTATTCGATCCTTGTAGTCGACACTTCGATTCGTGCCGTTCTATCTTCAATCCGGGCCGCCCTATCTTCGATCCGACGTGTATTCCCCTCTGTTCTTGCTGTCGCCAAGGTCTTGAAAAAAGAGTCAGGTGCGAGTTGTATTTCAAGGAAGAAATACGCTCACCATGAAGTGCATATGGCACATGTGAACGTGATCTTTCAGCGTTGCGATTTCGTCTTCGACCTTGCCAGCATTCCACCAGGCATTGAAAGCTGCTTTTGCCCACTTCAGCCTTTTGTTGGGTGGTGGGTTGAAGAGGCCTTGACATTTCCGTTGCACCTCCCTCATCTCACTAAGCAAATAAAATTAGGTTTGAGAACTTGGCAGAACAAAAGGTGATTTACTCTGCGAGATGACGCACTTCTGCCTTTAACTTAGGCGACCGATCGAAAACATCACGGTAATCCTCATACACACTCTCCAGTCGCGGTAGAATACTAGCGATACCGGCGACGAGGCGTCGAGATTTCTCCATATTTCGAGCTACCTATGAGGGCGTTGATTGAAATACGTGCTTCTTGTGTCATTGGAACCATACCTTATCCAAAGATTCACTCAGCTTCTGCGCTAATCCAACAAGTTCTTTAATCGTCGTTGCCAGTGTTATAGCGGTCAGGGAACCATCCATGCTTCAAGCCAGCATAAAAAGGTGTCCCGGTGGGGCAAAGGGTAACTAACAAGGTGGAGTTTCAACGTCTCGAGTTGGCAATGACAATCAAGTTCGGCTGGTGGCAGTCCGCAACGCATTGTTGTATTGTTTGGCATCTGTCGATTTGAACGGACGAGGGTATATTTATAAACGATCAGCACAGGTCAAGACTGAGCGCTGATATGTACTGGGACGTACAGCCATCCAACTGCAGATATTGCATATCTCTGCATATCTCTGCCCTCGCCATCAACACCGAGTCAGTGATTCTGTTGCACTAGCTTTCGGTACTCATACGAAGACGCTTTGAGCTTTGGGCAGAGAAGATACCGTGGAAGTATTCGGTAAGTTCGTGAGGATTTTGGGCTTTCAAACTTGAACAGAAAAAGTCGACGTTGGGAACCCGGAAACAAGCAGTGGCTGGGAACAACTTGCCAGTTCTATTGATCATCCCGGCACGACGGTCCGGCACGATCAAATTTCCACCAACAACACTAAGTTAGCCTTGGACCCCATTTATCATCTTTTATTCATCCCAAACGTCGTTCAGGGCATAATGGATACTCTAATAGCCAGAGCGGACGCCATTCAGCCGCTTGCTAAGAGGCGGAAAACTTCGCGCACCCCGTTGAAAGGCGCTTCTTCTAAAGGTCCATCATCTAAATCGCAAAAACCCACTACATCAGAGAAGACGTTCAACTCTGTCGCGAAGCACACATCCATACCCAAATCCTTGCAAGACAAACACGAAATTCCCGAAGATGCACGATATAAACACATTACGAACAAGAAGCTTCGGGCGCAGCTGAATCAACAGTCTGCCCAAGGAGCAAGGGCAAAAGCGTTTCTGCAAGATGCGGAGATGCTCTTGATGGATGAGGCGGGAGGGATGGAGGTCGAGGGAGAATTGGATCGGACGTGGAGGGTTGGGCAGAGCGAGGTTGTGAAAGCGTCAGGGCAGGAGGCTGCGAAGGGAAGGAAAGAGTACAAGCTGGACGGGGGGCCGTATCGTTCCCGGTATACAAGAAATGGACGGTAAGTTCCTTTATTCCCCTCCTCGACTTGAGGTTGACACGTTATTAGGCATCTTGCCATTGTAGGTAGCAAGGGGCATGTTGCGACCTTCGACTGGCAAACGGGGACGATGCATTCAGAACTTCAACTACAAGAAATTTGCAGAGACATCACGTAGGTTTCTTATTGATTCTCTACGCTGCTCAAATTCATGCCTGTTCTCCAGGTTTCTACAAGATCATTCATATTTCGCGGTCGCGCAAAAGAAATATGTCTTCATCTACGACCGCGATGGGGTTGAGCTACATTGTCTCAAAGCTCACATCGAGCCCACGCGACTAGAGTTTCTGCCGTATCATTGGCTATTAGCGAGTGTGGTACGTACAGTGATCACTCTTTTTGAAAGTTATCTAACCGAACCTCAGGGCAATGCAGGCTACCTAAAATACCAAGACACGTCCACGGGCCAGCTCCTCGTCGAGCACCGCACCAAGTTCGGCTCGTGTTCTGCTATGACCCAAAATCTGCACAACGCCGTCATCCATCTCGGACACCAGAACGGCTGTGTCACACTCTGGACGCCCAATTTGCCACATCCGGCCGTCCAACTATTAGCCCACCTTGGTCCCGTCGTCAGTGTAGCCGTCGATCCGAGCCAAGGAGGGAGGTACATAGCGACGGCGGGTCGAGATGGCACCGTGAAAGTGTGGGATTGTCGGAATTGGAAAGGAGCTATGCGAGATTGGACGGTACGAGGAGGAGACCCCGAGCTGGAGTGGAGTCAGAGAGGTTGTCTTGCTGTTGCGTCCAGTGGTACCGTCAATGTGAGCACTTTTCCTCCTCCTATACGGGCATTGTCTGAACAAACTCAGGTTTATCGGCCTCCGTCAATACACACGCCATTTAACGTCAGGACTCCGCCACCACTATACATAACCCATCCCATCCCACATCGACCGCTTACATCTGTCCGATTTGCGCCATTCCAAGATATCTTGACCGTTGGTCATTCGTCTGGCCTTTCAAGTGTTCTTGTTCCTGGCAGTGGAGAGCCCAATTTCGATAGCAGAGAAGCCGATCCATTCGAAAACAGGAAGGCTAGAAGGGAGAGGGAAGTCAAGACATTGTTGGACAAGGCACGTCTATTCGCTTTTTTGATTTGCTCATTTCTAACTAAAATCTAGATTCAACCTGATCTCATCACCCTCGACCCGGAGATGGTCGGCAATCTCGCCCCTCCTCCAAAGCTGACTACCGTCACCACTTTCGATGGAAAGCCACCTGTTGACATCCCATACGCCCGTTTACCACGGATGGAAAGACTGAAGGTCTCTGGCAAGCTGGACGAGAAGGAGGACAACAGCGGAGAGGAGGACGAAGGTGCCGATCCGGAGGCAAAGGCGAAGGCAAAAGAGGAACGGGAGAAACGGAAGATGAGGGGCAAAGGCAAGAGCCTGAATAGATACTTGAGGAAGCAGCGCAAGAACGTCATCGACCCGAGTGTGGTACGTTTCCGAACTTTTCAACTCAGTCGAGAATCTTATTGGATTTCGTAGATTGCCATTCGGAAGAAGATAGAGAGGCAGAAAGAAGAGGAGAAGAGGGAGGCAGAGGCGTCTTCGGCAGGCGCAGCTGAGCAAAAGAAGAAGCCCTCAGCGCTAGATCGCTTCAAGCGCGAAAAGTAGTACTGCTGAACTTCCTGACTACCGCCAAATATCATCGTTACTTTTGTGGCTTGTCTTCATCCAGGCGATCTAATCGAATACCGTGTTCCAAGGTGTGTACGACAAAAAAATCAAGCTAGTCACATGAGGTGCATAATCGACGAAGAAACGAACAGGAGCAGAATGGAAGAAGAATATTAAATAAATTTCATGGCGTAGGCGAAAGCAATCTTACTTTTTTGTTGTGCAAGTCACGGAACGACCACGACGAGGACCCTCAGAATGCCGCCATGTTGGGTCTCGCCCCTAGCAACTGTGTCCTTTGCCTTGTACCCTTCGCCTCACTTGACCGCTTCCGTGGCTTCCTCGGAACCTTCGTCTGCTGGACTCTTGGTCCTGCTCGCCGCCCATTCAAAATTGATCAGGTAACATTGGCGAAAAGGTGGGGTGTCCTGCGGCTGCTTGGTGCCAGTTCGCAATCTCGCAGAGCGCCTCTCCGCGGCGGGCGTTCCGTGGGCACCTGCATTGCTTCAGGCTGCAACTTCGTCAATCTCGCCCGTGGCCTCTTCGGTGCTGGTACAGCTTCATCTCCGTCAAGGTCTCCGTCTGCCCCTCGTCGATTGGGTTTGCGCTTGATGCCGCGGGACGATTCTGGTTGCTGATCTGAACTAAGAGGCGGAGGCTGGCGCTCTCTGCACTGCTTATGGGCTCTTTCGGCTTCCACCGTTGCTCTTGGTCTTCTACCTCCTTGATCGTTTCGTCGTTTCTGTCTGAGGGCTTTCTCGTCGCTTTTCCTTTTTCTTCTTCCTATTGCGAAATATGTAGCTCTTCACACTTGACCTTCTTCATGCGAACCCAGCAAAACACATAAAAGAAAGATTCGAGATCGTCAAGATGATCGTGCCCGAGAGGCATTCGTCCTTCCTTCTTGTCTAGCTCGCTCCTGAGGACAAAGATCGATTGAAAAGCCCTCGTGCCCTGGAAGTTAGGGTCGGACTTGTGAGTATCGTGTCAAACACATGAATGGAGACCTACCGCTGTGAAATCCACCAAGGGCATAGTCGATTATAATACCTCTGCGGCCTTCTGGCGCATCTTCCCCACCAAGAAGGATGTTGTTGACGCTGATATCGCGGTGGATGATTTTTTTTCTTGCACGTGTTCCGGTAGCCTAAGCGAGGCGTCAGGTCCTGTATCCCTATTAAACACGACGAATACTTCACCTGCTACAGCATCTCGGAACGCGTGCAAAAACTCTGTGCGGTTCTTGAACTCGTCTATCGGCCTGCCATACGCCTCAAGGACAGTACGACGGAACAAGAGGTCGATTACGCCATCTTCCGCGGTGCGACCCTCCATCCCCCTTAGCATTGCAATTGTCCACTTCTGCTCCTCATGGGCGACGATTTGGCCAATGCCATAAACACCCTTGAGCTCGAGCAACAGATCTTTCTCTGCATCACGTTCCTTGAATAGCCAGTTATCCTTGATGATGCGGACTCTGCCTTGAGACGCCAGCACACGGTACCATGGCCACAGTGCCTCCATCGATAGAAAAAATGGCGAGAATCGACGACCTCGTACTCTACTAATTCGTTATCTTCGCCGCGTGTTTTGATGTACCGCTTGTTGCCCTTCCAATAGACGCAAGTGTCAAAGCCGAGAGTGGCGCAGCCCGGAGAGCAGATGAGGAGGATGAGATGAATAAAATCTTCAGGCTTATTGTGTATGTCAATGCCGTTGGAGAACAGAGTCCCATTCCTGTCGTACTGGATAAGGAACACCTCATCCTCGCCCAGAACGAGAGAATAAACATATAAGCGATTCCCTTGCTTGGAAAAACATTTCCTAATAGACGAAAAATGTCAGACGAATAAAATTATCAAGATCACCCAACGTACCAGGCGTAGTTCGCTACCTGGTTCACGAAGTTGTTATTGTAACTTTCAGCAGTCACGACTTTGCAAGGCGAGGCGCAGTAGGTGAATCCACTTTGGAAGTCGGTTTCATGTCTTCACCATTAAAATTAGATCCTTCGCCGAAGATGAAGAGTTTAGATATTATTTTGAAGTCGGTATTATCTGCGGTCGCCGCAAGTGTGTTGATGACCGTTTGGCTGCCTATGCCAAAGGTCGACAGAACTTCTTCAAATATCTTCAGGAATTGAGCAGAGAGCTCCAGAACTTTTGGGGTCTCTAGCTCTATGCCGTTCCAATGCTTGGCATTGTGATCGTAGAGACTGCATGTTTCGACGAATTTTTCAATCGAGTCGCTTGAGAACACAGAGTTCCTGAGTACCCTCGTGAAGTAGTCCTCGTCTGCTGCTTGCTGCCACCACACACGTGCTTCAGGATCGACAGACATGCGTTGGGAGGTAGTAGTTGGAATTTAAGTCGATTGCATTACATATGGGGACGTGTTTGTGTGGCCCGCATTGGTGCAAGGTGACGCGTGATCGCATCTTGAATATCTGGATTCTGGAAGTGACTAGCGGTTTGGCCTTGCTCGTGCTAGTAGTTGTGCAGCCTTCTAGCGATCAACCGGAAGAGAAAAGACCCTTGCACATGAGGAACAAGGCAACCTCTTGAAGCTATGCCGCAGAAGGGGAGATCTACACGAATTCCGTCAGGAGACTCTTCCTCCACAAACATAGGACGTACCTCCGATTCTACCCCTTCTGTTTCGCACTCATGATCTGGATTGCGACCGTCTGCACCACTACCACCACCACCACCACCACCACAGGTCTCCTAGTACGCTGTAGTACCAATCACGATCCAAATGGATTTCGAGTCGGCGGCATGTTCTAACAATCTCGGCGAAGAATTCTGCAAAAATTATGAGCTGTACACAAAAGGCCGATGAAAAACCTACCAGCCCTGTGAATGAGGTTTTGACCTTCCTCTCCCCAGTTACCCGGTGATCCTGGCGTCTGTGCTCCAATTTATTTCTGTTGGATGAATCCTCGGCACTGGAAGATTGGAATTACAGCAGAAGGGGTCGAAACTTGAAGGCTGTTGGATGTTGTTGGATGTTGATGTAGTGTGGAACGACAGATTCAGACTTGGGTGTCCTCTCATGGACCCAGAGAATCGTCCCGAATCCTTTGGGAGTTAGTGATGAATTTTAGTACTGTAGATCTATCTGTCGTGGCCATAAAAAGCGTCCGGGGCATTCACTTCAAGCTCGATCTCCTTGATGCATGACGTGCCAACAAGATGTGTCGTCCTCCAGAACATTGACCTCGGCTTTGTTGTCGATTTTTTTGGCTTGGGATTTTATGCATAAGAGAATCTTCACAGAGAAGATCTGCGTAAGAGCTAAGGTGGAGACGCGTTGAGGACGGCTTATGATACTTACCTGCACAATGACCAGCGAATTTATCGACTCTATACTAGCAGGGGTTTCCGTAGTCGGTATAGCGCCGGCGTGGGGCGCGCTATTCACGCTGGCACTCGAACTTGAGGGCAGAGTTGGACACTGGATAGGTGACCGTATTTTCTAGGTTTTTTGGAGTTGCGTGAAGGAATTTATCACCAATCTTTCGACGAGGTTGGAGTTTAGAGCTTCGCCGAGTCGCGTCTAATTACTGAGTACGTTGTCTGCCAGTGACAGCGTAGCGAGCGGTGGATCTGGAAAGCGACGGCAAAGGCAACGAGATGTGGTGGTGATGGTGCAGGAATGACCACCATCGTCGTCACCAAAGCCAATTTCTTGGTGAAATCAATCGGATCAATTTCGAGAGCGGACAAAATAAATGCATGGTTGGGTTTTCAAACTCTTGATACTCATACAGTTGTTCCCTATCTATCTATCTGTTTATTGAAAATACACGAGTACAAGTGGTGAAATGGGGAAAGGAGGAAGGGGGGGAATAATAATAACGATAATGATATTACTGTTGCCTACTATTGTGCTTTGCTCATGGAAAGAAGTCATCGCAGAGGGAGAGGAAAAAGACACGAGACTGGGATACATTGCTAAATTTCATCGGGAGTCAATCTGGCGAATGCATCTAGGCAGTGAGGACTGGGTCGACGTTGGCGTGAAGCCCATTTTCTCGCATGCGCCGGAGGAGGAAGCTGATAGGCGTCGCGTAGGTGATATCAAGAGCCTCTGATAAGGGCCTGGCTGTACCACCAGTGAGCACTGAGGCCGCCGATGCGTCCGCGGCTGTCGACAATGACAGAACCAGAGTCACCCTTCTTTGAGGAGGTGCCAGAGTCGGAGTCAAATGCGAGGATTGACCATTCCTTTGAGGCCTCATCTTCCTTGCCCTCGAAGTACTTACGGGTGTAGGATATAATATTGTCAGCACGGCCAACGGTCAGGCCGGTGGTGGCACCGCGCTTGATCACAATAAGGCACGGCTGGTCGCTCTGGTCCTCTCCAGTCGGGCGGCGCATCTCGTTGTCTGGAATGGTGCCTCTGAGCATCAACAGACGGTTGTTGGGAAAGGTGAAGCAATGGGCATTCTTGTCATTTGGATGGATCATATGAGTGAGCTTGTTGGATGGGATGCGGGTACCGAGGTCGATGGCGTTGCCTTCGAAATTGCTTGCATTGATCTTGGAGGCATCGATCTCGATGACGGCCCAGTCCTCGGTATAACCCTCGCTGCCGCTGCCAGTGCTGATGGGAGGAGAGAGGGCGACATGGCCCAGAACGCGGCTCTCCGAGGTAGCCCAATGAGTTGAAAGGTCATGGTGAAGGGCGTTGAGGTGCTCTATCACCTCCTTCACCTCATCCAACTTGGCCTGTGCCTTCCGGCACTCTGCGGGGTCGTCCATCCCCTGAGCCAGCCTATTACGTTCCTCCTGCTGCCGGGCAAAGACCCCCACCTGATCAGTCTCTTCCTCGATGTATTTGAGGTGTTTCTCGAAAGCCGTACTGCCAAAGAGCATGACCTGACGATGAGACCCGCATTCGCGATCCGCAAAGTGACTGTTCTCGTTCTCGTGCGGTATGATGACGACGTGGCGAGCGGTGACGAGGAGGAGCCTCCCGGTATTGTAGCAATCGGTAATGAAGAAGCCACCGGTACCTTCACACCAAGGTGTAGACTGGGCACAGATGGGGTGACCGAGCGTAGTGGTCAGAGGTTCGCGTAGTTCAACTACGGTGGGGTCTGCATAGAACCCCAGGAGCTTGGGACCAGCCAGGAGGGTAACGATTGACACGCGGATCTCGACGTCGACGTCGATGATATTGGCCGCTACAACAAGCTCGCGGGACTTGCAGGCCGCAACGACGCCGTCATCGCCAGAGAGAGATGCGGGCTCCCAGGGAGTGGTCCCAGTGCGAGCGACCAAGAGCGGGGCAGAGGGCAGGCCGGCATAGTACAAGTTGGCTTCCATTTCGGATGGCGGGGACGAGGAAGACCTGGCAGTATCTCCCTTGGCGGGGGAATCCGTGGGCGAGAAGGTCATAGGAGGGAAGCGGTTCTCTGTTCTGTCAGCCATGGGGACCACGATGGAGGTAGAGACGAAGGTAGTGGTGGTCACTGGAGAAAGAGAAGAAATTTAGTACGGGAATGCACTATAGAGATAAACGCACTGGTAAATCGATAAGATCCGTCTATGCCATGGCGTGGGATCGAAAAGACACCAATGTGAATTCGGGCGATTAACCACTGCCAGACTTGTGCCTCGTCGCCTAGAAGGATTGGCGGTTTATGGAGCTTATTTCTCGCATAGAAAATTGGATAAAGGGTCGACGTTTTACGTCGACAAACACCTTGCAGAACAGATTCAACAGAATACATTGTAATTTTTTAGACTTAATAATCTGCATTGAAGATCCTCACGGTGAAGAACTCTCACCGTTCGTCGACATATACAAAGCACTATGAGGCTGGGACACAATCAGATCTCGAGTGGGATACAAAGAGGAGCAATTTTATATAACATCAAAATAAAATTCCCTTGGTAAAAATGCAGTGGCCGCAGAGGTAAATAGTGCAGGCCGAGAGCGAAGGCAATATTCGAGAATCGATGCAAAGCACGACTCATGAGGGGAATTGAATTGCCATACCGAGATGAAAATAGATAGGAGGTGGGGAGATACTGAACATACTCTATAAGTAGAGGATTTCTCGAACAGAAAATTGGATAAGAAAAAGGTGTATAATAAAAGTGAAAATATGCGGAGTGAATAAAAAATACAATTGTTGAATGAGATCCGTCTATAGGCTGTCGAAAAGTCCTACTTTTTGCTCTTCCGAGTCGCCGAACGACCACGTCGAAGACCCGTTGAGCCAGCAGATTGTGTCCTGACTCTTGCACCGCTGGTGCCTGCCCTGCTTGTCGTTTGCCTTCCTCCTGAGTTTGAGGAACTGTTACGCGACCCCGATCGGATTCCATTTGGCGATGGCGCACCGCTATCGACAGGCACCTCTGCAGGCTGTGTTGATCTAAATCCATTTCTCGACCTCGTTGATTGCCTTCCCGCCACGGGAGCAGGGGCGGGCTCGATGTTCGCGGACCCTGACTGACTGCGCAACCGCGATGACCGTCTCGGAGCAGGAACAGCCTCAGGATCTGCCCCAGTGACAGCTGCTGACACTGCTGGCACTGGCACTGGCTCAGGTTGCAACTGCGACAGCGATCTCGTGTGCGGCCTCTTTGGCGCAGGTGGGCCTTCCTCGCCATCGACGTCCATCTCGGCCCCACCTGCATCTCGCTCTTCTCGAGTGCGTTTCATGCCACTGGATGATTCCGGTCGCGGACCGGACAGTGGAGATGGCCTAAGGGCAGCAGGGGGCAGTTGCACAGCCGAGCGCGAAGGTTGTCGTTCACGAGAAGGCGAGCGCGACATTGGAGGGCGGCGTTCTTGGCGGCGAGCCATGGGCGACTCATCCAGGGAACGCCTTGCCCTCGTCTCCTCTTCTTCTTTTTCCAGGTCCTCGATTGCTTTGTCAACATGAGACAAGAAGATCCTGTAGTGCTTGTCGGAGTGGCTCCTCATCTCGTCCAGGGTGTTCGGCATCTCCGCCCTCGTCAAAACCTTCCACTGGAGCCACTCTCTGAAACAATTCCGAAGTGCGTCGAACAGGGTCTGGAACACCTCTCCAAAGTTCTGAATGACTTCGTTGTGGCGGTCCCAGGCAGGTTGCCCTAGCAGGAATTTGTGTTTGCAATCAATTACGTGGTCGACGTTCTCCTCTTCCCAGCGTTCAAGGACAGGACACTGAACTGGCACTCCATACTGGGTCTGACCCATGCAGACCCAACAGAAGACGTAGAAGAAAGATTCAAGGTCGTCAAGATGATCGTGTGGAAGCAATTCTAGCCCCGCTGCCTTGTCATTTTCGCTGCTGACGACAAATATTGATTGGAACGCTCTCGTGCCCTAAAGCCAGAGGTAGAGTTTTTAGTAGGTCATCGAGCGGAGATGAATACTCGTACCGTTCTGAAATCCACTGCGGCCATGGTGCTGGCACGCTGCCAATGGACGGCCATGTCCATGTCGATTACTACGCCTCTCCAACCTTGCCCAGCACCGTCGACACCAATGAGAATGTTGTTGACGCTAATATCTCGATGGATGACGTTTCGCTTCCACATCCGTTGGTGGCCTGAGGGCAAATTTGATGTTAGCTACGCAAGTACCGGCAAGCAGGCGCCTCTCACCTGCAACAGCATCGCGGAAAGCGCATAAGAACTCCATGCGATTCGTGAACCTGTCTATCTGGCTGCCATATGCCTCGAGAACGATGCGACGGAAGAAACGGTCGGCCATCCCAGTGGGCAAAGACTTGGGTTTCATGCCCCTCAAGTGCGAGATCCTCAATTCGGCCTTCTCGAAAGCAACCATCTGGCCAACGCCTGCGACGCCTTGCATCTCCTCCAGGAGACCATGCTCCGGATCACGTCCTTCGGCTTGCCAGGAGTCCTTGATGATGCGACGTCTTCCTGCCGGATCGACGCCAAGCCAGCAAAGTGTGCCACGGCCACGAATCGTACGCCGTTGAAAGAAGGGCTCCGACTTTATGATTTCGTATTCGACGTATTCGTCGTTTTCGTTGAGAGTTCTGATGTATCGTTTGTCTCCCTTCCAATAGACGCTGGTGTCAAAGCCGAGAGTAGCGCAGTCGGGAGAAGAGACGAGAAGAATAAGGTAAACAAAGTCCTCGGGCCTCTCGTGAATGTTGAAGATTTGACTACGCAAGACCCCGTTGCGGTCATACTGCACGAGAAACGCGCGGTCTTCAGTCATGATGAGGGAGTAGACATACTGACGGTTGCCTTGCTGAATGAAGCATTGCCTGCAGGGAGACGAACGTGTCAAAAGCGGAAGGCGGGTTAAGGATCTGCAACGTACCGAGCATACACTGCCACTTGGGTTACAACTCCAACCTCATTCAAGTTCTTCTCGGTCTTGACTTCACATGGAGACGCGCAGTAGCGATAGTTGGCTTTCTCCTCAAGTTTTAATTGAAGGTTATCGGCTTGAAAATTCGAACCTGAGCCATAAATGAAGAGATCCGGAGACGTCTTAAGTTTGGAGTTCCCAGTAGAGCCTTCGATGTGTTTGATCTTGATGTTGAAGGTGGGGACGAGCTCGCGCTGCTTGACGTCGAAGGTTTGGAGTGTTTGCTGAAATATCTTGTAGAAATGAGGGTAGAGATCCTTTTCGAGGGCGGTCTCGTGGTTCAGATTGTTCCAGCGCTTGGTCTCGCGGTTGTAGAGACCAGACTGATTGACGAACTGAGAGATCGAGGCGTCGGTTTGCTTCACTCTCTCTTTGACAACCCGCTTGAAGAAGGAGTCATCGGCTTTCTGGGTGGTCCACTGGATCTCGTCTTCGAGAATGGGTGTCATCGCCGCAACTGTAGGATGACCTTTCTGGGGACCGTTGGAGCTGGATCTGCCAGGTGTATCGATGAAGGACGTGGTGCCTGGGGGTGTGTGTGGCTTCGGGTCTGGAGACTCAGGATGTGTTTGCGCAGGACAGTCGGACAGGAATTGGTCTGCGAGCGATGCAGAGGCTTGAGAGAGTCGAATCGACTCGGAGTGGCTGTTTAAAAGCGCTGCCTTGTGAACTTTTGATGCCATGTCAGAAACGGTAAGAGACAAGAAACGAGTACTTACACGGCGCAAGTTTATATCGAACGGTGGCCCGACGGAGTCACAGAGGCCGGATGGATGTGGCTGATGTTCAAGCGCGGTGGTCTCGCTTAGCGGACCGCGCCATTGTTCGTGATGGTGAACGACACGTGACCGCGTGTGGCTCTCTGACTTGGCGCACAGATTTGCCTTACCCGGACGTGGCTCGAATCCTATGAATTTTCAGGAAAGTTAGCCTAGGGCGCATAGAGTACATGTAATTACAATTAGTGTGCTACGTTGAGATCGTCCAAGTAGTATTACGAGCGCGGTGCGCTTGCGGTACTACATTTACCGCCTCCTGACATTGACGTTTATTAGTGGCTACATTTCTAACATTTGCCGTCGGATGATCAAACAAATGCCAGAGACAGAATAGAAGAGATAGTTCAATAGATAAGCAGACAAATGCGAGGTCTAACGATACAAAATGCATAGATAATGAAGAAAAAAGATATAAGATAAAAAATGCCTTGAGTGACCTGAAAATGTCTATTTTTCGCCCTTGCGGGTAGCCGAATGACCATGGCAAAGACCCCGGTGGGACGATTGAGTGCTCGGCCCATCTGCCGGCCTCTCCGTCGTCACCTTACCTGACTGTGTCCTCGCCCTCATCATCTGCCTCGCTCCTCCTGACTGAGCCCTCTGCGTTGTTCCTCTCTGACCCTGCGAGTTCGTTGATGGCACCCGTGTCGTATTCCACGTCGAAGCATCAGTATTGACAGGCGCCTCCACGGGCTGGGTTGATCTAGATCCATTCCTCGACCTCGTTGACTGCCTTCTCGCCACGGTTGCAGGGACGGGCTCGATGCTCGCGGGCGCTGATTGAGTGGACCCAGTCTGCAACCGCGACAAACGTCTAGGAGCAGGAACAGCCGTTGGAGCAGCTCCAGCGACAGCTTCTGGCACTGTCTCAGGTTGAGACCACAACAATATTCTCATGTGCAACCTCTTTGGTGCTGGCAGAGCTCCCTCTCCATCAATGTCCATGTCAGCTCCACCTGCATCCCGCTCGCCACGGGTGCGCTTCATGCCACTAGATGACTCCATCTGCTGGCTCGAATGCGGAGAGTGTGTCAGTGCGGGTTCGGGGGGCGGCGAAGGCACAGGAGAACTTGAAGGAGACCCGTTCTCCTCCTCTTCAAGAGCCGTGACTGCAGTGTCAATATGTGCAAGGAATTCTGCGTAGTGCTGCATTGAGTGCTCCTTCATTGCGTCCATCTTGTTCGGCATTGTGTCCCTGTTCTCGGTTTTCCACTTGTACTTCTCCAAAAAGAATCCACGCAGAGCATCGAACAGGTCCTGGAAGACCTTTCCAAAGGTGTGATTGACTGCGTTGTGTTTAATGACCATGGGATTGAGGAATGCCGATTTTGCTGCTATCGCGAACTCGAGATTCTCACTCTCCCAAGCTGCTAAGGGTGGTTTTTCGACTGGCTTTCCGTCTGCGGTGTGGCGCATGCAGACCCAGCAATAGACATAAAAGAATGATTCAAGGTTGTCGAGGTGGTCGTGTGGAAGAGGGTCAGCCCCTCCAACCGATCAATCTCACTGGCCATGACAAAAAGCGACTGGAAAGCTCGCGTGCCCTAGCATAAAGACAGGTATGTCAGCGTCAGCCGCATCCACAGCAGCGATGAAAGGGCTCACTGTTCTGAAGTCCACCGCAGCCATGGTCGTCATATGTTCCCAAAAAACGGCCATGTCCAAATCAATAACGACACCTTGCCACCCCGCTCCAGCGTCTTCCTCTCCGATGAGAATGTTGTTGATGCTAATATCCCGGTGAATAACATTAATGTCCCACATGTTTTGATGACCTGCATGACTGACATTAAGCGTCAACGATCTTGAGAGGAAAACAGTCAATGCTTACCCCCAACAGCATCGCGAAATGCATACAAAAACTGCTTCCGGTCTGTGAACTTATTGATCTGCTCGCCGTACGCCATAAGGACAATGCGACGGAACAAGCGGTCGACCATTCCAGTAGGCCACTCTTGACCTTCCATGCCCCTCAAACCTGCGATCGACACTTTCTCTGGCTCGAAAGCAACCATCTGCCCTATGCCTGGGAGGCCCTTCACCTTTGTCAGCAGAGCATGCTCTGGCTCACGTCCTTGAGCCTGCCAGGAATCCTTGATGATGCACAATTGGCCACGGGGGTCTCTACCCAACCAGCAAAGCGTTCCACGTCCTCGAATCGTACACGCCGCTGAAAGAAAGGCTTTGCATCTACAATCTCATATGAGACACGCTTGCCCTTCTCATCGAAGGTTCGAATATAGCATTTGCCGTCCTTCCAGTAGATGCTGGTGTCGAATCCAAGAGTGGTGCAATTGGGAGAAGAGACGAGGAGGATGAGGTAAACAAAGTCTTTGGGGTTCTCGTGAATGCTGATGAATTGGCTGCGCAAAACCCCATTGCAGTCGAACTGTAGGAGGAAAGTACGCTTCTCCGTCATCACCAGAGAGTAAATGTATCGACGGTTTCCCTGCTGCATGAAACATTGGCTATTCAGATCAAGTCAGAACACATATATCAGTGAAAACTTTAAAATGTACCGAGCATATACCCCGACCTGCATCACAACTTTGTCCTTCAAGTTATGCTCCGTCTTGACCTCACAAGGCGATGCGCAGCACTTGTAGTTTGCCTTTTCCTTGTCCTCCTCCAGCTTGAGATTCTCCAAGTGGAAATTGCGCCCGGACCCATAGATGAAGAGGTCAGGAGATGTCTTAAGTGAGCTGTCGCCTGTATCACCCTCGATATGTTGGATCTTGATGTTGTACGTAGGGATGGCCTCACGCTCCTCCAGCTTGAATGTGGCGATGACCTCCTGGAATATTTGATGGAAAGGCTCATAAAGTGTTTTTTTGATAGTCGTTTCATTGAAGTCGTTCCACCTCTTGGTGTCATTGTCGTAGAGTCCAGAGTTTTGGACGAACTCTGTGATCGCGGTATCGGTGACTCCAGTACGCCAAACTCTCTGCTTGACCACACGCTGAAAGAACCCGGGATCAACGTTCTGAGTGCTGTCCTTGAGTTCGGCTTCGAGAAGGGGTGTCATGACTGCAATGTTCGAATAGCCGTCGGAGGCTCCATGGCAATGGGGTCTGATAGGTATTTGTGTCGATCCCGCAGCCCTAGACTCGGGAACTGGGGTTCCAGGTGGTGTTGGTGGGTGAGATTCGCTTGCAGGAAGAGCGACTTGCGATGGATCAATGGACTCCAATTGCGTCAATTTGGACCTGTAGCTGTTGCTGGTAGCCCTCTTGAAATTTTCAATGCTCATGTTAGTGGATGGTAAGAGACAAGAAACGAGTACTTACACGCCACAAATTTATATCGAACTGTGGCCCGACAGAGTCACAAAATCTGGGTGGATGTGGTTGATGTTCAAGCGCAGTGGCCTCGCTTAACAGACCGCGCCATTGTTCGCGATAGAGAACGGCACGTGACCACGTGTGGCTCTCTGGCTTGGCGTACAGATTTGCCTTATCCAGTCGAATGTAGCTCAGATGTCGTCTCGACGAATCCTGTGAATTTTCAGGAAAGTTGGCCCGTAAAGCATTGTGTGAGCTACATGATACACCGCACATTTTCCAGAGGCTCCGCAGCCATAAAATTCCTCTCTTCAGGAAAGTTTCGCAATTGCGCAGCTTGGGCATCAAGTTTACCAGCGGTCTAGCGCCAGAGCGAGAATAGAAAAGAAGCAATTCTTCAGGGTGAAAGGGTATGTTGTACTATAAAATCAATTCATTTTAATTCTACCTCGAAAGCCCAGATATAAGCCAGGACGTGATTGGATTCAGTATTTTAATGTGCCGCAAGGGCGATTGATTGGTGCAGCTCAGGTTCGACGTTCGTACTTAACGAGAGTCTGCAAGTATTGCGTTTACATGCGCAGCATTTCAGACACAAATCCACAGGTACTAGAGTACTTAATGTACGGCCAAGTTGCAAATCTCGCAGATATTACGGACACGATCTCAATGCAAATAAAAATAAAAAAATTAATGCAATGTGAGAAAGAACGAGACCCGAAAAGACATAGCGCAATATCCTCATACTCTAAGCGTTTGTCTGGAGGCCACAGCTCTCGTGCTCATCTACATGCGCCACTATTAATATCCAAGATACCTCTCAGCTCTCACCAGCAGTTCTGCAAAGGTCAGAAATTAGAGTATTACTTACTTCCATCAGCCGAAATTGACGCGCGGCTCTCTCTTGCCACTCCCAACACAGGTGGTTAGCCTGTGATTTCCCAGCTCTTTGTTGGTCCTGGTGAAAGACATTCTTGCTGACATTGGGAGCGGATATTGTGTTCATGGCCTCCGTATCGGCCTTAGGTCATATCTTAAGTTCCGACACACCGGGCATGAATTGCAGCCTGGATCATGACTTGCTCGTTCAAGTTGGCTTCAATAGTAACTTCACCGGGCGAGGCGTCGTAAATACAATCAGTGGGTTTGTGCTTCACGTTCCCGGTGTGGAAGTTGAGCACCGAGCCAAGTATAAGTAGACCAGGAGGAGGTTTTGCGGTTGTGAGATAGCAGTTCTAGGAGCCGTCACACTCAGCTTCGTGGAATGGGTATTGCTAACGTCGCGTTTCTTGACGCCAATTTTTTGATAATATCTGTGAATATCTGGAGGAATGGGACACAGAAATCTGTGTCAGTGACGGCTTCAGGTGTCGCGTCGAACTCGCTGCAACATTTGGTACGACGGTTGTAGAACGTCTGGATGAAGTCAGGGATTGAGGCCTGAGGACGAATTCACAGTTGTAAATCTCTTCTTGGACACCATATCGAATTAGTTCCCATCTGGATTCTAATCCCTCAGGCTCCCCATGAGTTCGGCGTTGACACTCGGTGCCATGGTTCTGACGAGATTCCAGCATGAATGGTGTCTGGCTCTCATTAGGGCATAGTAAAGTTCAAGTTAGTAGGATCAGAGTGGTTATTTAAGGGTACTCACATGCATTGTATTGAATTTTGAAAAGTTTGTATGGCGATGGAACTGGATGGATGTGGTTGGTGCTCAAGAAGCCCCTATACAAGATAGTCCAGACCCGGACCGTACCCTCCAGTGTTGTCTCCCATTCCTTGACAATGACCACGATCCCGGCGCCGTAGAGTTTCAACGACCTAACAAATTGTTTCTGCTAGTGCCCACCCTCGACTCGTGCAGACTGTAAACTGCCAACTCTAGACCCATGCAGCTTACTTCTCAATGACCAGACAACTCCACGAAGAAGTGTTTCAGCCTGCTTGGTGCTTTCTTCTGGTTGCATTACTCTTCTTGTTTGAATGAAGCACCAGTGCTGCATTAGGTTCTGCATGCAGATGACATTCATCGGCAAGGGCCTTCAATTCCCGAAAGACGTAAGCGTCTTTCATACAAGGCGCGATGACCTTGGGGGCTTGAATACGCTGCGGCACTGACCGCTGGGCTTGAACGACAGCTTCTTGTAACCCCATGATGCTCAAAAGCGACGCACTGGTCATTCCCACCAAAAGTCACCGGTTCACCCACAACCTTGACTGTGGACAGCCCATAGCGATTCTTGAGGCAGGAGACATCCTGAACTCGTATTATCCATCCAGGTAAGCCGCCTTGTACATATACATCTTGCAGGTCAAAGTTCATCAGTATTTATAGAGTTATAGAGCAGACAATAGAAACTACTATGGCGACAAATCCAACCATCTCTCTCGACTCAGCCGTCGATCTTCTAACATCAGCGCTGCAAGATCCCGCCAAAACCAATGTCTGCGCCGTGGGGCTGGGACTTGCTGCGGACCGCATTAACATAGCGCTCGAGGGATGTACGACCATCGCTGCCAGGATCAAGATCGTGAAAGCTTACCCCCAGCTACTCAGAGCCGGCATCAAGTTCCTCACATTCAATCAGCCTCTTCCAGGCCATGTCGCGATGGTTAATCATTTGAATACTTGCCGATGCGACTTGTGGTGCTCGACGGCAAAACGTAATCATCAGCCCAGCAGGCCCCGACCCGACGGGCAAGTCAAGGTACACAACATCGACCTCTTATTTGATGCAGTAATCGCTGTCAGCAATTGCCTTATCCTTGCCCTTTCCGATCGAACACAACACAAGTTTGACACCGGAAACGTAGATAATGGCGAGAAGCATTGGCCACAAGGCCCCGATGACCTACTTCCCAAAGGACCCAAGGACGCTGTTCTTGGACTAGAGCTCTGGGTTGCAAATGTGTCCTATGGAGATGTCATCTTCAAGTTGGCTGGCTGCTTAGCTTTATTTTACGACCCGTTCGCTCGAGAAGTCCTCCAGTATCTGCACTTTCGGTTTACTCTCGCTCGACCTTTTGGACATCTTGAGCATGCCATCAAGTTTTACAACGAAGGTGACCCCTCCCCCCTCGCCCGTACCCTTTTCTTCCAATACTCAGTCACAACTATATTCGATTTTTTTGACAATCTCATAAGCTGCGACACTGTTCGGTTCAACATACTGCTCATGGCACGAGGTCGTGAGGTCGGGGCTTCGCCTGTTCTTGCACGTCTTACGACAATCTCGTCCACTCTGCCTCCGCAAGAATGGAGGAAGACCTGCCGTCTGGTGCACTTCATGGGTGCTTACATCAATGCGGACATGGATCCAACCACAGGAGTCAGACTCGTAAAATTCGAATGAGACGACTTTCAACTGCAGCTTTACGATGGACTCGAAGAAGCGTTCATAAAGCTTGTTGATGCTCGAAAGAAGGGCTGTTGGAACATCAAGTGCCCAAGTTCACCGTCTGCAGCCATTCATTCCCGCTTATGTGGCAAGTGCAATTTGCTCAGACATTGCGGAGAGCAGGCAAGATTTATTTCACTCTGTCTAAATGGAGGTCCATTCGCTAACATGGCCCCTTCCTCTGCAGTGCCAAAAAGAGGTGTGGAAATGCGCAACTCTCCCCCACAAGCCTGTTTGTGCAAAGATACACTCGTTGAAGGGATTCCTTGGTGCCAATAACTGGGAACTGCTCTGGACGCCCGACTGCAATTACAGACAGTTCCAATTGATGTGTCAAGACCGGGGAATTGCCACAGAAGACGTGGAGGTGATCGCAAGAACGATATCCGCGCTCAGGATCCGCAAAGCTGCATTCCGGGATGATGAAAAGAGAGCTGGCGAGTCACAGGTGGAGCGCCTAAGGCGAGTGGAGCAACGCAAGGTGGTGGATAGAGTGCGGGAAGATCTCATTGCGAGTGTTGGGAAGGAGTCGATCACGGTGTTCAGCCGGGAGGAAGGTTTGGCGAGGCATTCCTATGGTGCTATTTTGTGAACACGCAGGTTTGACCCAGAGAACTTTGTAATCCAATTTCCCTTCCATTTCTCTTCTTACAGGCCTATTTTTTTTTCTTTCGCATCTGCTCGATGGTGATGAGTATTATGATTCCTAGATTACATCTCCACTGGCTCTCCTGTGAATCCTAAGCTGCGATAACTGCTCCATGAAGTCTTGCTGTCTCAAATGCTCAATAAAAATTCAAGGCTGACACCGTTGAAATAGCACAAGATACGCTTGTAGGCCTCAAAGTGAGATCTTGCCCTCTTTCCCACGTTCATCACGCCACACAAGCCGTGATCGCACTCTCTGTAGCGGCGTGGCTCAGACAGCCAGATTAGCCGCCCGCCAGCAAGAAGCAAGAGAGCGACGAATGTGTTTGTGTCAACGAACAAAGGTAGCGCTCTGACTCAAGCGGAAAACACCCTGACCTCAGCGTCCACTTGCTGGTATCGATCTAGCCTGCCGAAAGGAAGCCTGAAGGAAGTGTATTAACCGGCAGCAAGGTCCCGTTTAGGTAACGGCCGGCCCCATAAGTAAGGAAAAGTACGTTTAAGTACGAAAATACATACTACTAAGGCGTCTTTTTTGGACCTTGGACCTTGGCTTTCTTCTAAAATTATCCTGTATTGAATTTCTTTTGACGGAGGAGACAACATTTACTCGGGCAAGGGTGGGCAAGGTAACTATTAGGAACTTGATGTTAAGTCTAACAGTGCTCTGGTGGAAGAACTCAAACAAAATGAGGGGGGCATTATTTCCGATAGATAGCCTAAATCAACAAACGAGTGTGGTGTGTAGGCTCCTGAAGTCATGAAGCTGAGAGTTTTAATATAAGGTGAGTTGTGTGCACAAACGAGATAAAAGGGTTTTCATTTTGCATGGCCGCTTACAACCCTTCTATTTATTTGTACGCTAGCGCTAGCCCGAGTGAGAGGATCGCTGTAAATGTCAGGATCGTTTTGCATTTATCAGTTGCAGATCGATGTCAAAGCATAGCGACTAAAAAGCTGAAACGAATGTTTAACCTCTCAGGACTCAGGGCTAGGTTGGTGTTTTACATGTCAGAAGAGACTCGGTAGTTAATAGAAAGGGTCTTTTCAGGCTAATTTTCAAGAGCATAATAAGGTCCCCTTCTGCTGGAAGCCCATCTGGACAAGTTTAGCATTATTGGGCCAATGAAAACACGACTGCTCATGGTATTCATGGCAAAAAAATGACGATCATCGGCAGAAAGAAACTCATCTTGATGCTAGCTTAAGCGCTCATGAACCAGCGCCTCTCACCTCAGCTGACCGACTGGAATTATGCAGAAACGGTCAATTTCGACTAGGTTTACCACGCAAGCACAACATACCACCGTCTGTTTTCAAGCTTTCAACTAAGTCAATCCTTACTTCCATTCCACAAAGACAGGGTCGTTCAAGTCCGCATCAACACCACTCATCACGAGCTTATCCTGTTGGGGCGCATACAACCACTGCGCAGTCACCCTCCCGTTCAGATCAACAGCCTTCGGTCTGGCGTTCACCCCGAGAATAGTGATCTCCTGAAGTTTCTGCGCTACTTCGAAAGACCCTGTGCTGGAGATCGATATAGAGTTGTTGCGTATCGAGAAAGTGAGAATCCGATGTGGGCCAGGTGGGTAGCTAATACCGTCGTCGATATATGCGGATCCATATGCCACACCCTCCGCATTCAGAGAAACGAGAAGCGAGTAGGGCCCTCGGCGCGTTTCTGCGATCGTATACCGGGGCTCAACGTGCAGAAGGAGTGCAGAGCCATCGCGAATATGGACATTAATATGGCCCAGAGGCGCCGACAGAGTTGTGGGCTCCCCAGGAACGCTGTGGACGACACTATGGGTATACCAATCACGCCAGATGACTTGGCCACACCCAGGAAAGAAGCCTGACATGAGAATAAGCCGACGGACTCTAAAGTTGCTTTAGCCAAAATGACAGACCTGACACGGTGGATACGTTTGGTTCCAGCACGGGGGTAACCAGGATATCAGCTCCAATCAAGAACTGAGCATCGACGTCGAATAGTTCGGGCTCGTTGGGGAACTCGAAGAAGAGCGCCCGAACTGGAGGGGTTCCATACATGGACGAGTTCGCAAACAGAGTGTACTAAAAATAAAAGAACGACCGAACATCATCAATCCCAGACTGCGGAGTGCGGAGAGGAGAGAAAGCGCCCTCACCCAGTACGGCAGCAGGGAATAACGAATAGAAATAGCAATACGTGACGCGTTTGCGACACTGTCCCAGCGATACGGCTCCTGTGGTATTGCCCCTTGATATTATGGTTCCTGTAAAAGGGCATGAAGGCATAGAGCTGCATCCACCGATTGCAGAGCTCCTCGTCCGTATTTCCATCTAATCCAGAAAACAGCCATTATCAGATAACTTCGGATGAAACACGGAGCGCACCAAAGCCACACGTGTCCGCACCAACAAAAGGGATCTGGAATATCTGGAACTGCAGTATACCCTGATAGGAAATCTCAACGTCAGCTGAGCAGGTGAGCCAGTCTGAAATGAAGGGCTTACGGCTATGCTGTATCGGAGATATGACCATAAGCTGAAGTTGTCTCCCAACTGCGAGAAATGGCAAGTTCGAAGCGAGGTCAGCATGTGGAAAGGCAGGCCATATCACACCTCACTACGCACCCAATGTCCTGTCCATCTCCCCGAGGAAGGGAAGGTTGAGCGGCTAATGATGAACGGACGCTGTTTCGGAATGACTTCTTGAAGCACAAGATGCGTCGCCTTCTGTTCCATCAAACCCCAAAGGTTGTGGACGTCAAGCTCAACTTGACCTTGGGCATGGGTAGCGTTAGTTGCCAGAGCATGTGTCGATAATCGTCCGAAGCCTGTGCATTCATCATCATAAACGCGAACAAAGACCTCATAAAAATACAAATTACCGTTATGAATTGCATAAGGAGGGGTGTTCAGATCGACATTCCGCTGCTTGCCAGCTCCAAGACCTCGCTTGTTGATCGACGAAATGGGTGTGGCATCCTCGTTGAAAAGACATGTCAACGTTCCATTCACGGTAATGTTTCCGCTTGGGCCAAAGATCGTTGCGTTGTAGCTGCATGCCTCTTAGCCCGAGAGAAGTGATGTCTCCATATAAGATCCTACCATTCCGGATAATCTGCAGGCGTCCACTTCAGCGACGAGTCCTTTTCACTGTAAGAAAGAAAGTCAGACCCACCGAGTATCAAATGACCTGGTTCGCCAGGGAGAATAAACGGGACGCTCGTGTTTATGAGGTTGGCTCCAGTCCCACTGCAAGGACGAACATAGAGCCCAGAACGTAAGCACAAAAGCAGAAGCGATTTTTGGTGTTTGATTTCAGAGAACACGACGCACCAAGATCCGTCGCAAAACGAGCTAGCCTCGTTCATGTCCAGCCAGATGCCAGAGAACTCGATCCCAGATTCACTCCAGTTGCGGAATGCATCCGTCCACCACTGCTGGGTGTTCTTCTGGAACCAGTCAGGGAAAACCTAACCAGCAAATGCCCGTCGAGGGGTTCGTAAAGGTTCGTAAGCATGATGAACCATGTGCACAGCGTGTCGAAGCCAAACGGGAAGGCAAGTGACCCAGGTGCGACAAAGGAAAAAAGGCTAACTTACCGTGTATCCCGGCCAGACCTGTCCAACATACTCCGTACCGTCGGGGTTCGCGATAAACACCTCCCTAGGAATTTCGAAAGGCAGTCGAATCAGCGTCCAACATCGGGCATCAAAGGAGTCGAGTAATCGACCAGATTGGTAGCCTAGACGCTCAGATTTCAGAAGCTTACTGACTCTTCGACTCCTTTTGTGTACGGATGATACTAGACAGGACGACAGAGATCAGTAACCTTGACTTGGACGCCGAGTGGCAAGCGGAAGACGGGCTTCGCGCGCGGGTGGAAAGGGAGATAACGTACCAGGTCGGTTGCGTTGACCTGTTTCGGGATGGCTGCGTCGACGATTGGGATATCTGAAGATGATTGGTAGGCGCATCGCATCAGTCGCCATCTCGTCTCGACGGCATCACCGCAGGAACGACCTATTCTCGCAACTCACAGTGCTGGTGATTTGCGTTCTATGAACGCGTAAGTTCATTTCACCGCCCGAAGAACAAAAAGAAAAGACCCACCAGCTCTCGTATGAACTCTCGCACTTTGTCGCCAGGATAGCTGACAGGGTCAGAAGTGAAATCACGAACGGCATGGTAAAGATCTATGTCGTTCCACATAACTGCCGATTAGCAACAGCGTCAGAAGCTCAGCTCGAAGGGTCGTTGTTGCGCCACAAGGAGGAGTACCTTCGAGAGGAATATTGGCTTCGCGCATCCGGATAACCTGTTCACGCGTTTCGTTCAAGTCCTTGTAGCCCCATCTATCACGACGGTGGTTAGCAAAAATTAAGGAGGGAAAGGGAATCCCTTTGTACCGGCAGAGATGGAAGCCAAAACCCCATGCAGGTTGCCATGTCGGAAGGCCAATCAGGGCGCCGTATTGTTCGATGACCTCATTCGGTGTGGGCCCAGAGAAGAAGTAGAAGTCCAGAACACCACAAATCATCCTATATTCGACGAGAGAAACACTGGACGAGGGAGGCGTCAGGAGGAGGATGTCTCCGCCAGCAGCACTGAGGTAGGTATGCACGTATTAGCTACTTCCTGTCGATGAGCAGAAAAATCCAAGTTTACCTGAGCAAGAAAACGCCATGAGATTGCGAGGTTGCACTTTGAGGGTCGAAACGATGCTCCAAATAGACGGGATGCGCGCCGTATCTGCAGACGAAGCGCTGTCAGTGTTAGTTCTCCAAACGCCCTCACATGACCTAAACAGATAACTACAAGTTCTCGTCGACTGGCTCTGATACGTCGCGACTCCACATCGTCTGGATCGTGCCATTGGCGGGACCAATGTTTCTACGAAATCCTGAGCTAGAGATAACCTCGCCTAGACCATAGATGTTTGTGTTTTTGGGAACAGCAGAAGCCAACTAGAAAGAGATCATTGTCAGCAAGATTTCTATCCAAAGACCCACCAACATTCTACCTGGAGATACTGGTCTTCGAAAACAAGAGGAAATCCACCCAGAGCTGTCGAGTTGTCGCCCGGGATTACAGGTGAGATAGGCGTCTCCGGTAACGAGGTGATTCTGGTGTCGAACAGCGGTGTTGTGTCAGGTTGCGATCTTCTCGTGATCCAAAACGCGAATGGCGACGACTCGTAATTGAACAAAATGTCCGAAGTTTTGGTAAACGATTGGGTTGGAGGTGGAGGTCGGTCGATCACAGACTCGGGAATGGTGTACTGTTTGTCGGCCGTGTCAAAGATGTTGACATGGAGACTTCACGAAGGAAGATGAGCAAAACATAAGCTCGAATATTTCTGGCTACTCACCGAGACTGGGTTTCATAGACGACCTTGATCGTGAGGTCAGAGACGTCGGTTCCAAAAGCATTGCAGGCAGGTCCCGCAAGGGAAAGACGAGCGGTGAGTCCGGTGTTCGTGTGTTTCAGCGAGTGCAATTCGTAACCTGAAAGGCAATGTGGTTAAAATCGTCCCAATAGACAAAAGAGGTGGCGCCATACCAGGACATTTTGCGATGTCCCGTGAATGCGAAGGACCAGAGCTTGGGGGTGTTTCTATGAGGCGTTGAAGGTCTGGCAGAAGATGAAAAAATGCTTGAGCAAGTGCTGCAACAACAACTAAGCTGAAGAACAGCCTGCGAATGAGGCTGGACGTCGTAAGCTGCCTGTTGGATTTACGCTGAGATTGGACATCGTCTATGCCGCCATACTCCAAGCTATCTTTAGTGGGGCCTCGCGTTGAAAATAGAGGCATATCGATTGCGAGACCTATATGTGAGCGGACGCTCCACTACAAAGAGAACAACGGGAAACAGGTGTCAGGAATTGCACCGTGGGGTTCAAGTTACGTGAATGGACATCATCCCAACAAAATCTTGATCCCTGGTGGTGAATTACCCTTGGCCTTTTGACTTATTTTGAGTGCGAATGCATGAGATTGGGGTTTGTATAAAGGGATCTGAAGTCATAGAGGCAGAATTCAAGTGCTGGCAAAGGACAAGTCTCTGCAGGTCAACATTTCTGTCCAACTCTACAATGGCTCGGCAATGCGATTGCCGAGAATGTCACCTGACGTGTCGCGAGTCACGGAAGCTGTGACGGGCAGACAATGCCGGCTGAGTGTTCGTCTTTCTCCCTGCCCACCTCAATCATGCAAACTGCTACACGCAGTAAGGCGGCACTCGTGCAGGACATAGAACTCGTGAATGCTCAGATCCAAACTCTCGTCCATCGCGAAGCAGATTTTCAACGAATTTTAGACGATCTCCGGAAGATGAAGGACGAGGCAGTGGCGGAGCGTCTGGAGCTGGAGGCAAGGCGAAACGAGCTGGAAACGCAGAAGGAACCTATCAACTGGCTTCCGACAGAGCTCTTGATTCAGATATTCACGGCATTTACTGATTTGGACTTTGAAGACATTAATTATCGGCCGCCTGTTGTTGTATTGCACGTCTCCAAGAAGTGGCGCGCCATCGCGCTTTCTACACCCCAACTATGGTCTCGTATCATTCTCGAAGGCTTCCGAAATCCAGAAGTCGCGCAAACCTTTTTGCTTCAGTCCGGAAGGTCTCTCCTTGAAGTTGACTATTCGAGTTTGCAGGAACACAAGGCGAATCAAGAGTGTTCCCACATGGTGGACTTTCTCGCGAATGTGTCGCAGCATTTCAGCCGCGTCGGTGCCCTTGCTCTCTGCTTCAAAATACCTCTACCTATCGTGTATCTGTTACCCTTTATCAACGACTTCGCCAATGCTTTTCCTCGTCTTGCTCAGCTTACGCTGTCGATCTCAACGCCCAACCCCTCGTTCATTGAGGCTCCAAGTCTAATCGACAAAGAAGATGCCATCCTCATGAGCCGACGACCAGCTCCAAGCAACAGCGCTCTGCTCTATCTCAAGTTGGAGCAGGTTCCTTTGTTTAATTTCCCAGTCGCATTCATTTCCAATCTACGAACCCTCGACCTGTACTGTTCTCCCAGGAAGATGAACAGTGCTCGTCACGACTATCACCTGAAGATGTCGTCGCTCTGTTGCTTTCTGAGTCTCACTCCACTTTTGGAAGAACTGATTCTTGTCAACACGGTTCCATACTTCGACGTCACTCCCCCACCTATCGACAGTGCAGATGCCGTCGACGGCAGTCTCGTACAGATGTACCCAGTCCGTTTAGAACATCTGAAAGCCATTGATTGGACGTACCCATACACCGCTGATGTGCACCGCTTCCTAACGATGATCGACGCACCAGGGATGGAAAAGCTGGACATCTGGGTGGAAGAGCTCCCCGCCAAGCGCATCCTAGAGACGCTGAACATGCGCGGATACCATCCGGCCACCTCTTCGCACAAGTACACACGAGGAGTGATCAGCTTCCCTGGTCTTCGCGATCTGAGCCTGCAGACCGCAGGAGAAGACATGGCGGCCTGTGTGCTCCGTAAATTCTCGCTCCCATCGCTCGAGAAGGTGGCGTTCACGAACGTCGACAGTGCCGCGCGGGAAGCAGCTGGCGCCGTCGACGCCTTGCCCATCTTTCCGCGCCTCGAGTCCATCTTCCGAGATCCCCGGCTGCCCAATCTCACCCACCTCACCCTCTCCCACTTCCGCATCTCAGACGAGCTCGGTCGTGCGGAAGGCGTGCTCGGATACATGCCGCTGCTCACCTCCCTTTCGCTCGACTCATGCGCGGGCGTCGGTCGGTTGCTCGACGGGCTGAAGGAGCGTGTCGCCGTCGGCGTGCAGCGTGGCGTCAAGCTCTGTCCGAGACTCGAGGCGCTCTCATTCTGGGGGTGCCAAGATGTCGATTTTGACGGCCTGCGTGCAGTCGTGCTTGCGAGGAACAGAAGCGCGGTTATTTTGGAAGAGGGCAGCAAGGGTCTCGATGGAGCAACGGGGACGATCACGAGGGAGGCTGTGGTGGTGGTTCAACAGGGGGGCAAGCAGGCAGCTGATGCTCCCCAGAGGGGAAGGAAGATAAAGCCTCTGAGGAAGCTTCGACGCCATGCTCACGGTTTTGTCCCCTCGTCTCCGCATTTCGTGTCCACTGTCATCGCCATGCGAGAGGCCCTCGCGCCCGCCCATATCACCTACGTACGCGTGGCGAATTGCAGGCTGATAAACCAGGACGACGCTTCCTCTCTCAGGGACCTTGGTGTCGTGGATGTGGTTTGGGCTGGTTCGGATTAAAGGGCTTTTCCCTATGACAGCTTTAAAGCCTTGCGAAAATGATGAGCCAGGGTTTGTGGAATCCTGTGGAACCACAAGGTCTGGATTCCTGGAAGTTTAGCACGCACCACCCATGGACTTCGGATTCTAAGCCCTTGTCTTTTTGTTCATCTAGTACCTCCTTTACCAAGCAATAACTCTCTTTTCACCAGTAGATCGCCCCTATTTGCCCGTCGTACATACACTGCAACAATAACGTCACTTTGGACAGTTTTTTGATCCTGGTTAAATCGTGGGCGTAAATCCGAACGGTCAAAAAGCTTCATCCAGGCATAGTTTATGAATAAACAGATCATCCTAGATATATTTAAATCGGGGGATACAGTTCAGCAGACCCCCGCCTACGCCAATTCCCAGACGCTACCCTTGTCCGAGTGCATCCGCTGCGAAGATTCATCGCTCCATGTCAGCGAACCGCCGATCAAAATACCCACTACAAAGGCACTTACGCCTTGCAGTATCTTCGTGTTCGCCAACGCGATTAAAATATCCCGCAGTCCATAGAGGCGGCAGAGAGAAGGGTGACAAACATCGACCAGGTCAGAGGGTGTCTCCCGTGCCGTAGAAGAGACTTACCAACGCCGTCCAGTGTTCAGTGTCTTCGACCTCCTACGGGGTGATAAAGTCCCGGGAGGTGCGAGCCGCGAAGACCATCTACGCCGCAGCCGCGCGAATGACGGAGCCATCCCACAGCGAGGCTCCAGCTTCATTGGCATCCTGGGCCGAAGAAGGAATGGAACCATCACCACCCGCCGCCTCCGTCTCGATGGTGGGACTGACAGGGCCAGCGCTGAGAGGCGCCGCGCCCGCTTTGGGACCGGTGGTCCATCCCCCCCAGCACGCCGCGAGGTGGTAGAGATGGAACGTCTCCATCTGCACAGACACACCGTCTATTTTTAATACCAGACAAAGGAAGGAACGAAACGACCAATGAGACGCCGGACTCACCTCGAGTGTCGCGAGGTCTGGGACACTCTTCACTAGATGCTCGATAAGGTCTGAATATTGAATATTGAATTATGATCCGGGAGTGAGGTCCGTCTCCCTTGAGACGAGTAGAAACTGCATCAAAACAAATTAATCTCTGTATTTCGTAGTAGAGTAATACCTGTAGACAACGACGAAGATCCAACATTGATGTCCTTTATATACTCCAAAATTCCGCCCAAGGTGCGACTTACGACGCGATTCGCTACGTCTCCTGGCCTTACACCGAGATGATAGACGCGCCCATCCGCTGTGTGGGTAAAATCTAAATTCGAATGAGAGTCATCAGACGCCCTTCTCGAACAGACGGAAGAAGACAGGACAGACATACTCGCATCGGTTAAGGTGTCCTTCATGGTTATGTTCTTCGATCTGAGATATCTATATGTGTCACCTCTGACGCCGTTATTCAGGGTGTTGTTGGTCAAGGGACAAGGAGGGTGTATATATCCGTATCTTATCACCCACCACGTTTCCGTGATTTCTCAGTGGGTGAAACCCCAAGTAGCAGCAGGATAAACATGAACTATGTATCAACTTTTCTGATCTCGTCAAGATAAAAACTCAACGCACATGCCAATATTGATCGGCATAGTATCTGATGAATAGTTGGACATCGGGCAGCACAACTCCGTTTTTCCTATCCCAATTCAAGGCCCGATACCCCTGGAAGTGGTATAAAAATACGAGCAATTCAAAAATAAATCGAAAAAATCGAAAATCGAAAAGGAAAGAGCAAAAAGGGCAGGCAGAGGGAGAGTTCGACAGTACCTCTAGTAAGAAATCCATCCCGCCTTGCCAGTTGTGACGACGGGAACGCCGCGTTGCCTAAATGCTATCAGTCCGTGCGTCTGTCCACGGATTTGATAGCGGGATTTCAACCTTTCCGGCGGCCAGCCCTGCGGGCGCTTAACTGTGAGAAATCACAAGATACTCGTGTAGATGGTGTCCGTTCATCTTATCGTCTCTCCAGACAGTTGGGTGTTCTGAGCAGAAGTGACGACCAAGGATCAGGCAAAGAGGAACGAGGAGCGTGGTCTGCAGTGAGGATCGACTCACTAAGAACAATGTCTTTGAGCAACTGGATACTCGATCAAGCTCCCAGTCAAAATTGAACCTGAGGAAATCTGATGGAGTGGCAGCACGCTGAGATTGCCTGAATCGAACTGACGTTATCTGATCAGTTCTTGAAACGTCAGCTGGGCGCAGATTACATAAATCTGAGTCGGACTGTTGAAATCTGATGTCATCCGAACCTTAAAGTTTTTCGCCAACATCGTGCCCGAAAAACATGAACACGGCATGAAGGGAGCACGCAGAGGCCAACAAGATCGTGTCCAGTGTTTCTGTCGCAGGTGCAATGGCATCTACGTCTCGAAGCGCACAGAGAGAGAGAGAGCACCGCCGCCAAGCTGCACCTCATCCCGCCGTTCCAACGTTCTCGCAATGGATGAATGCAAATACCCGTCCTTCCTCTTCGTTTCAAAGTCAACAAGATCCTCAAACAGAAAGTGACTCAGATTCTGAAAGTGATATCACGACAGACAGCGACAACTCCAGTACCCCAGGTGACAGGAAACGGCGTCGTGTTGGCTATTTCAGCCGGGTACGTCCCGAGACACCGAGTCCTTTTCGAAAATTCTCAATTATCTTACACTGTCTGAACGTCCTCTATTGGATAGGGAAACTCCTTGGTAGAGAATATGGACAACCAAGTAGAAATCCAGGAAGCACATGAGCATGCAGAGGTACTTATATTTGAATACATGATGAAATACCTGAACCTCTTGTTTAGGATCAAATCAACTTGCCCATGGATCCAGCCAATGAGACCGACATCGGGAACGGGATAGAACCGGAACGTGAATATGATCAGGTTTGTCTGTTGCAGACAGCATCCCAGCACAATCTCAGATTATTATCTCTCCAGCCCGAAGGCCATCGAGGACGGCGGTCCATCTCACCAGAAGAGAGACAAAATCTCACTCAAAACCCTTCAGGTCTGGGTCAGGAACATGCTCATGCACAGCGCGATCAAATTTCTTTCGTCGGCGACGGCACTCTTCCTCCGGGTTATACGACATTCCCACCGCAGCTCCGAGTCGATCTGGCTCTCGGGGTGGTCGCAGCAGCTCCGGCTCAGATTCTGACTCTAGTTCAAGCTCAGAAGACTCCGCTAGTGGGTCTGATATTGATCCTGAAACTGGAGAGCCAGCCTATGTCGAGTCACACATCGAGGACGTGCGCATCTCTCAGAGCTATGTCCACGATATCGCATCAGCAACTCAATACCCCTCGGACCGCAACTTCAGGCTCTCAAACGATCAACAGACACCTCTGCTGCTCTATCTTATCATGCTCACAAAGTTGTGGAGGTTGTCGCGTCGCAAAACCGAGCACGATCTCATGCAGATCTCATCTATGATGACATCTTCTCTGGGCGCGACGTTCTCGATCTCTCCGAGAGGCTTTCTCTGACCGAGAATGACATAACCGTTTCTTTTTCTCTCGATGGTGCACAGCTTTATCAAACCAAGAAATCTGACACTTGGATCGCAATTTGGATTGTCACCGACTACGACCCATCGACTCGATACAAGCGGAAACACGTACTCCCAGCGGCAGTCATTCCAGGGCCCAATAAACCCAAAAATATTGATTCTTTCATGTTCCGTAGCTTCTATCATTTGTCTGCACTTCAACGTGAGAAGAACGGTCGTGGCCTACGTATCTGGGACGCCTTACAGAAGAAGACAATCGATTCTAGAATTATTTTCATTCTGGGCACGGCTGATGCAGTTGCATTGACTGAATTTGACGGCCGTGTTGGGCATCACGGTGCCCAAGGATGTCGCCTCAGTTGTGATATGAAAGGCCCGCACAAACCCTCGAGCGGCCATTATTTTGCCGCACACCTTCGCCCCAACAAGCTGATTCGAAATTACGCACATCATCCAGACTATAACTTCCATGTCATGCCCTCTCTTCCGTCGCCAGAAAGCTATCAGGCCCAGCTGGAACAAGTCATTATGTCATGAGACCAAAAGGACTACGAACGAAACCGAAAGCTTACTGGCCTCAGCAAGCCGTCTATCCTCAGCGGCCTGGACCCTTCTTTGATGCTTGAAGTTCCTCTTTGTTTCACAGTTGACTTGATGCACCTTCTTTTCATCAATATTGGCGAGCTCCTTATCCCTTTATGGCGCGGACAGTTGAAATGCGAACCAAGTGACAGTAAGGATAGCTGGGACTGGGCCACTCTCGTCGACGACATCTGGACAGAACATGGTAACCTTGTCGCGGCAGCTACCATTTATTTTCCGTCTTCTTTTAACAGGCCCCCAAGGAACCCTGCCGAGAAGATATAGAGCGGATACAAGGCGTCCGAGTACTTCCTCGACCGGTGCTCTTGTTTTTCGTAGGTATAAAAAGTCTGTCATTAGTTTTTCTCTCCAATAACATATAGTTTTCGTCTCATTTGCCCACTCGGGGCACTCGTCTCTCGTCCTCGCCTCTCGTACTCATCGTCACTCGCCTCTCATCCTCGTTTTGACTCGCCGCTCCGACCCGCCATCGCCTTATCTTTCGACCTCGCCGTCATCGTCGCCCCGTTCCCACACTTAGCGCCCACCTTCGTCTTCCGTCTTCGAGTCGCATAAGCACCCTGGTTAGAGCCGCACAACCTCGGAACCTATCCTCGCACCTCAGAGCCCTTCATGCGGAGATTTGGGTGTGTCCTCATTGATTTATTTCTTCTACATGACCACACCCAGCGTCTTTCCACACGTGATACATGATGTCTGACATAATTGCCGGGTCCCGTACATGATATGATATTACACCGCTTGGACCTATCTCGTGCACGATCTCGTCTCTTCCTCTCTCTACAGCACCACGCCGCAGAGCTCTCCAATTATGCCCCCGTCCCCTCCGTCCGAGAGGGAGGCCATGTTATACTATGTTGGTCTGCCCTCTACCCCGCTCCTGGTCGCTCGCACTGGCTCCACTCCCTGGGAGGAAGTTTATGGCCCATGGGGGCACAACGTTCGCAAGGACCTCCGCGTCGTCGGCAACCACCTGATCCAGGACGTCTGGGAAGACAATCTGGCTCTCAAGGTCATGGACCTTCTGGACTCGATGAAGGTGAAGTGGACTAGCCTTGACGTCGTCCGCATCGGGATAGTTGAAGAGGATTTCGCCCCTGTTATCCTATGGATCGGCGTGATCCCCACATCTCTCTCGGGCGAAGATGGCGTCGTCGCGGCCTACAAGTGCCACGAGCTTCTTGTGGAGTCCAATATCACCGACGTCGACGTCGAGATCCGCGAGTCGGTCGTTACCCGCTCGGGCGGTCCCAAGCTCCTCAAGCCAGACTTCTACTCTTCCAAGCTCATCGTAGATGTCCACGAACCTCTGACCACTACGCTCGGTCTCCCCATCTGTGCCCAGTCTATGCCTTGGTGTGAGGGTATGGGGGGCTTCTTTATTACCGAAGGCGGGAATACCCAGAGGCTCCTCCTTGTCACTGCTCGCCACGTCCTCTTCACGCGGGACATGGACGAGAACAAGCACTCCGAGCGTACGGACGACAGCGAGCCGCGTTATAACGTCGTGCTCTTTGGCGATGCTGCGTTCAACAAGTACGTCGAATTCATCAAGAATGAGATCAGAGACCAAGGAATTAACGCCGATTATCGTGAGCGAGGTATTCGGCGGCTTGAGGGGAGGGACGACCCAGCAGCAAACGAGGCACGTGAGCGTGTCCAGTACGAGGTGCACGCGGCGAAGAGGGCGATAGAAGAGCTCAACGCCTTTTACCAGAACGTTGCGACTCAGTGGGCCACCCCGGAGAGCCGCGTTCTTGGCCACGTCGTCCTCTCTCCTCCCATCAACGCTGGCGAGGGTTACACCGAGGACTGGGCCATCATCGAGATCGACACCTCCAAGGTGGACGCGAGCAACTTTGAAGGCAATGCGATCGACCTCGGGACCCGCATCTCAATCTACGACCTCATCCGTATGATGAACCCCAAGCCCCCGCATGACCATCCCTTCGAATATCCATTTGACCGACTTCTGCGGCTCGAGGGCACGATTCCGGACGAGGAGATGCGGCACCCGACCACGCTCGACAAGAACGATGAGCCGTGCCTTGTGGTGCTCAAGCGCGGCAACACCACCGGCCTGACTGTCGGCCGTGCCAACAATGTTTTCTCCTATGCCCGTACCGACTACCACAATGACGACAGAGCCGAGGCGTCCAAGGAATGGGCGATACTCCCGTTCGACTCCAAGTCACACGCGTTCTCGAAGACGGGCGACTCAGGTTCTGTCATCGTCGACGGTCTCGGACGCATTGGCGGCCTCCTCACTAGTGGTAGCAGTGCCAAGCCTTCCTCGGACATCAACATCACGTACGCCACACCCATCAGCTTCCTCCTCAAGCGTATGCAAGAAAGCGGACTCCGCGAGCTCAACGTCAACCTGGTCAGTTTCGATGACCAGCCTCTCGTTTGATTAATTAGCGTCTTGGTGCCGAGCTTGATCTGCTCGATGCGCAAAGTGAAGGCGAAGGCGTAGACGCGTTGAGGAGGTCTTCGCGTTGGGGCTTGCGGCCTCCAAGACTTGCACGGTCAGCGAGGGCATCGGGTTGGATGCTTAGTCTGTTCTCAGGAGTTGATATTATTGAGGTACCGTGACGCAGTGCTGTGTTCACACTGGCGGTCAGGCTAGCTATAGGCTACTGCTTGGGTTGTATTATGGATTCATCACGAAAATGTCTTCATGTTATTTGGCAGTGTGAAGAGGGACGGCGGCGAGTTTAGGGAATGACATTGTCGTCACCAAAGCCAAGTTCTTGACGAAATCGAGAAGTTGGATCAAGAACGGACAAAACCCGAACGCCTCGTCGCGCAGGACCTGGTGTGGTTTATGCAGGATTATTTCACACCAGAATGTCGCGCAGAAACCAGAGTAATATTGGACACGAAAAAGCGAAAAAGAAAAGTGAAGCTATAATATAGAGAGTTAATAAAAATACAATTGTCCGTTTAGGCTGTCGCAAGGTACTCTAAGGTATTAACTAGTTTTTTTTCTTCCGAGTCGCTGAACGACCACGTCTAAGACCCGACACGCCAGCCGATTGCGTCCCCACACCTGCACCGCTGGACCCTCCAGATCTTGTTATTTGTCTCCTTCTTGAGCCCGTCGAACCGTTACGGGACCCCGGGCGTGTTCCGTTTGAGGACGAGGCGCCGTTATTAATAAGGGGTGCCTCTGCAGGTTGGGTTGATCTAGAACCATTCCTCGACCTCGTCGATTGCCTTCTTGCCATGGGCGCCGGGGCAGCCTCGACGTTTACTTGCACTGATTGAACGGACTCTGCCCGCAACCTCAACGAACGCCTCTTCGCACTGGGTGCAGCTGGGTTAGCCTCAGTGGCAACAACATCTGTCGAAGCTGCTGGTGCTATTCGAGAACGGGATTGAGTCGGTGATCTCGTCTGAGTCCTCTTTGGCGCAGGCGGGCCATCTTGGTCATCGACGTCCATCTCATTTTCGTCGGCGTCCGGTTGGTCTCTGGTGCGCTTCATGCTGCTGGATGGCTCGATGTGTTGGCTAGAACCAGAATCAGAGCGTGGAGGCGCTGGGATGGAAGGTTGCTCAGATAAACTGGACGACCGGCTCTGCTGCTGTTCCCCCTGCTCCTCCTTGTCCAGTGCTACGATAGTCTTGTCGACGAGTTCGAGGAACTTGGCATAGTGTTCGTCAGAGTGTGGCTTCATTTCCTCGAGCTTGTTCGGCATTGTGGCTCTATTGAGGAGCTTCCACCTGTGCATTTCTCGCGTGAAATCCCGGAGCCCATCGAATAGGTCCTGAAAGGCCTGCCCGAACGTGTTGACAAGTTCATTGTGTTCGGTTACAATGGGATTGAGGAAGGCCGACTTCACCGAAATCAGCGCTGAAGGAGTTCCAGTCTCCCAGTCCCCGAGAGGTGGGGACTTGAGTCGTTCGCCAGTAGGAGTATAGCGCATGCATACCCAGCAAAAGACATAGAAGAACGATTGAAGATCGTCGAGATAATATTATACATAATTTTAGCTTTCTGTAGATGCCAAGAACATCAGGAGAGACCTATTTTTGGTAAAGATATGGTGCAAACAGTGGTTTATACACCAAAAATGCGAAAATGCGCACCAAATGTGCCCCTCTCATGCCCCCCTGACTCAAATAACCTATGTGATAATTTAGGGTAGTGTATTACCTTTAATTTTACCGCTTAAAATTGGTTGTGCAGGCAGTATTGACTATGCTATTCCCTTATAGAGCGCATTTTCTAAAAATAGAAAAGAAGCGCACTCAATTCTCTACCATTTTCAGGCATCTAATCCTCGATGCATGTCAGCGATTCTATAGAGAATATATAGAGCTTTCAAACGAGCCCTCCCGCGTGTTCACGCGCTCAGTATTGCAGCTTATATTACAGGATTACCCCTCATGCATGGCAATTTATTGATGGCTGCACATCCGTGCAGAATTCCAGCTTCCCCTCTCATTATTTCGCTTAGATTTGGCTGAGCGAAATGCTGGGTACATTAATACCTTCTAGTAGACACCCTTATTGCGTGAAACGGGTAGAAACTCGTTGAGATATGATGAACGCGATTTTGCTGCTATAATACATGGTGCACCCATGCATCCTCAGGCATGTTTAGGGCCATTTGAGTCGGCCAAAAATGATGAAATACATGCCTGAGAGTAATGGCAGCTTGCATAATGCCAGGGGGTGTCTGGGTGTAGTAGATATGAGGGGGTATATAGGTACACCAGGAGACCCTCTCCAAATACCCCACTAAACGCAGCTCTGAAAGTCTGGAAAGTATATACGTGAATAGTGGATGACTGTCCATAAGCATTTATTCGCCGCAATAGATTATATTCGTGCTCCTTGGTGGTGATGCCGTGATGCCGCTGCCAACATGTCAACGCAGATTATCCGTCGTGCCTGGTTGGGCCCCTCAATAAACCTTAATCTATTCAGAGGGTCCTACCCCCTCGAATAGACTTTTTTCGGTCGAATAAACTGTTTGTCCCGTGATGCACAACCAAACAACTCCCTGTTTGCTTACGCCGTGCTCTTATCTTAACCTTCGTCATCGTCCATCGTTGTCGTCCATCGTTGCCCATCGAGCTTGCCAAAGCCCCCTTCATGTGTGAGAGTGAGTCATTACATGCTACTACTTCCTCGTACCATGCTAATCACATCCAATCATGAGCAGGGTCTGCAATTAGGTCCTTTATTGGCTGCAGCCCGCATTGCCAGGGGCTTAATTGCGCTCACTAGCGGTCTCAAGACGGTCTTGAATGGCTTGAGGAACATTATCAAAGGCTTAGGAGGGGAAATGAGGAGCGGAAGACGGCTGAAATGCATGGAGAGATAGGTATAAAAGTGGTGAGTTGTTGCTGCTACCTCCCAGGCTTCGTGTCACCAAAACTCAGCTCGTTCTACCTCTTCATCAACCGCTATGGACCCCAACCAACTTACCCCTGTTCCTGGCAACCCTAACATCCGATATGACAGGTTTGGGCGGCCATATGTCCAAGATGTCTCTGGTCATTGGGTTCAGTTATACGCGCCAACCATGGTGACTTCTCAGGTAGGTACCCTACCCTATATGGTGTCTCTACATGTCTCAATCCCTCTTTCCTTCTCTTTCAGTCTGTCCCTACTGCAACTCATGGATTTCCTGCTGTGTCCCAGAACGAAACTGCCCTGGTACA